TTGCCAGAAATAGCTGCGGGTAGATGAAGCTTAGGAAGGGACAATCCCCTTGCCAGAAATAGCTGCGAGTAGATGAAGTTTAGGAAGGGACAATCCCCTTGCCAGAAATAGCTGCGGGTAGATGAAGCTTAGGAAGGGACAATCCCCTTGCCAGAAATAGCTGCGGGTAGATGAAGCTTAGTAAGGGACAAATCTCCTTGCCAGAAATAGCTGCGGATCTCCGCCTTCTTTTATTCTTGAAGCATGGCTCTGGGATTACGACCATTCTAGTACCGGGCTTTGATTTGGACCCTCGTTTCGTCTTCGGGAAACCTGTTGCGCCACGGGTCGACGGATACAACTTTAGCGAAAGGTGTTCAGCAATCAGACACTGCCCACTTGAAAGGGACCCCCCGAGAGGAGGGTGGTTGTCACAAGCTTGAACAAGGGACCCCGGCTCTCTCTTCCCTTCTTTTGCTCCGGTTCTTCGGGAAACCGGAAGACGAGCCTTTTTTTTTTTTTGGTCTTGAAATCAGAGAACTTGAGGGGGCTTCCTGGATTCGCATGAACCTGAAAAAAAGCGGAAACAAAAAGATGTCCGCAAGGGCATTCGCTTGGAAAAAAGTGGAAAACAAGGGTCCGCAGCGGAATTTGTGCGGGTTCCATGTTGCTTAGTTAATGTGCTGAGCCTTGTGTCAAAGGAGGAGCCGACCACGCGCTTGGATGCCGTCGTCTATGGCATGATGTCCGGGTACACTGGGCAGTGCGCCTGGGCAACGTGCAATTTGTGATTCCTTTTAATCCCCACTTGAGCCACAATCAAAACCCGGGTAGATGAAGGTTAGTAAGGGACAATCCCCTTGCCATAAATAGCTGCGGATTTCCGCCTTCTTAATTCTTGAAGCATGGCTCTGGGTAGACCATTTTAATACCGGGTTTTGATTATGACTCACTTGAGCAGCGCCAGAAACCCTGACAATACAAAGTAGTAAAGGGGGGTGTCCTATAGAATCCCCGTGAAAGCCAAAACGCAGGCCGCGAAAGCTTGCGAAAGCTTATCGCGAAAGTAACCAAAGAAAGTCCCGCCGCGAAAGACCCGCGAAAGCCTGCATGCTGTGTGACGCTCCGCCGCGAAAGCGTCGCGAAAGCAATTCTAAAGAAACCAAAGCCCGCGAAAGCAAAACATGGGGTCGCGAAAGCATCGCGAAAGGGTCCGCGAAAGCAAGTTTATAGGACCGCTTTTTACACAATTAAGAGTATTTGGCACGGCTCACTTGTCGTTGGGTGTTTCCCTTGTTGCCTTGTTGCAGCCCCAGCACGGAATGGATAAGGATTAGCAGCAGCAGTAGCAAGGCAAACCCGCCTTCATACGCCTCCATGTCATGTCACACATGCTGTTCACCCAAAGTATCGGCAGTGAAGTTGCTAGTGCGTGGCTTCTCAATTTCAACTTAGCACTCCATGTTCATGATGCAGTTGCTGGCGAAACAATCGCACACCTCGCGACGACAGTCATAGGATCCAACCCCTCATCCTTTTATCCCCCGCCTTCCCCGATTTCCGCGGCCTCACGACCTCAACACGCTGACCGAAGCAAGAACTGTTGGGGAGCGGCGGCTTCAGGGGGAGGTTGGATCGGAGAGGGTCCCCAGACCCAAACCAAGGGTTCCTTTGCCACCCGCCTCGAGGTCCAGTTTGCGAATCCAACATGCCGCTCGGCCAAATGCGAACGTGGAAGAGCTCGTTAACAAATGTTGCCTGGAGGGGTTTTGGGATTTGGGCCCTTGGTGAGGCACAGGTACTTAGTTGCAGGCCTTCTTTGCAGCCTGTATGCAAGATGTATCCCATGGGTTTGAGCGTCTCTGCCCCCGAAGGCTTAGGCGTGATTTTCCTCTCGACTTTGTCCAGTGAAACCTTGTTTGCGATGTCTTGGTTCTCGCCTTGCTGTGAGCCATTGCTTCAGCCCATCTTTTGTTTATGGTGCCCTTTAGCCACTGCCGTGCGATCGCCCACGGCTTGGTGACGACTGAAACCCCTATAGCGCATCCGCGAGACAGTCTGCGCAGGTCTTAGAAAGGGTGGCTTTGGTGTATTTCTGGCAAGGTTCCTGGGTTGTTTCATATTTAGAGCCAGGCTGAATATGAAGCAGAATCAGAAGGTCTTGTTTTTGGACAGGATTGGGCCCAGATTCCTTCAGCACCAGATTTGCGTCGAACCGGTGTGATTCCAAGCCCAGGCTTGGGTTCAACGAGCACCTCTGCAGCCAGACGCATGGCGCGAAAGGTGGCAGGGCCTGCGGGCCTTACGTATTCCGTTAAACCGCTGCTGTTTGATTGGATATTTAGACATTCACTTTTCAAATAGGCACCCAAAATGAAACCCTGGTAAATGGACGCACGGACTACAGCTTGCGGTCCCTTACCGGTTTAATTTTGACTAAATGGTGATTGTCTCTACCAATTAAGCAGCAAGTTGTTTTCGCGCTTGCTCACGACGGGGTCAATACTACATCTGTTTAGGTGTTGTGAGCAGTAGCCCTTTCTGGTTACATGGTCCGTGTCGTGCAGTTGCGTGTCTTTGGTGTGCACACGCTCAAACCCAACATGTCAAAGCATCACTCAGACATTCGCTGGGGAAAACCGCAAGGCCATTTAAGCTGACATGAGATACAAGCTGTTTTGATTTTCCTTGACCCCTGTCATGTGCTTATCCCAAATCCCCAGTCGCAGTTTGTCGAATTGCTTCCCTTTCAAATCAATCAGCAAAAAACAGAGGTGTTGCCCCTTTTTTCATGGGAATTCACTGAACAACTGAATTGTTCCCACAGTGCTAGGACTTGCCACTTGAAGGAACCAACTTGCAACGGGAAGAGGCTGACCATGCTCCTGTGGACAAGTCCACTTCCCAGCAGTTGGGAGTGGTGGTTGTTCAACCAATGTCTTCCATTTGTTGAAGCGAATTCTTTGTTATTGTCCCTTGATGGTTTTAAAGGGAATCTATCACTACTGGGCATACTTGCTCACTCTTTCCAGGCGGATCTCCAAATGGAAGATATAGAGTGTCATCCATGTAAACCCCCCCACATTGGCCCCATGCGCGGATTTCCTCGAGCGAGGAAGCATTGGAAGAAGCTGTGGCAGAAGTTCAGCACTGGACCACCTGACCCGCCCCGAACTGAGCCGAACCCGGAGCCCAAGGGATCGGCTGCAAGCGTCGCTAAACCCCCTCTCCCAAAAAGGAAGTTGAGGCCTCTCTCAGTTGCCCAAAGCGAATCGACCTTTCGACCTTTTGGTTTTGCCGTTTTGGTTCATTTTTAGTGGAGGTGCCAAAAGGTTGACCTTTCATTTCTGGGTCCTTTGGGCAAGTGAGCTCTGGGTGTGGCTCAAAATTCAAGAGCTAGGGTTACGCAGGTTTTTAGACTTCCGTTCCATTTGCCAAGGTCATTTTGGTACCAGTTTCTTGAGCCACAGCCATATGGCCATATGGCTGTGGTTGTCAAAACCGTTTTGGGATCCCATTTTGGTTGGTCGGTGAATTCACCACCCATTTTAGGACCTATTTTAGTGGGGATTGGGATGTTCACTGGGGGTACGGGCTTTTGACTGAATGCTAGAATTTTCAGGTACGAGACAATTCCAATTGCCAAACCAGTGAAAGGATTGCAGAGTGGAGTGGCTCCCGGAGCTGGTAGCCTGGATTGGCTAGAGGTCTATTCTTGTGTGTTCGGGCGTGTCCTTTTTGAGGGGACCCCCTTTGGATTGGTTTCAACAGGTTTGGCGTACCCACACTGCGAGAAACAAATTTGTCTGCGAGAGGCGATTCATTTCTGGAAGCCGACGGGGCCCATTTCTATTTCCCATTTTGTCTTCCTCCACAGATGCCCCTGGCGGCATCCCGCCTGGGCCGTGCTCGCGTGCAACCAGTCCCAGCCATCTTTCTAAGTGTTCTGCGCTTCTGCAGAGGCTTTCGATGGCGCAACAGAGAGAGAGAGAGAGAGCACAAAACACATGGTACTTACCTCTTGAAAAAACAACTTTTCAACTTTTTGGATAACATGGGCTATATGTCTGTAAAAGATTAACTTCCCCAGGGCTTGGAGTTTTAAGGGGTAAGAACACGTGGTAGGCAGAACCGAGCCAAGGCCAATAGTGACGGACTGGGACAAGCCCTGGGTGCAGCAGATCGAACCATGGCCAAAGGTGCTGATGGTTCCTTTGGGAGGGACACGGCGGAGGAGTTCTTCCTCTTCCCTCCACCAGACAAACAGGAACCTCAGGAACCTAATGTGTCCTGCAAGACCAATGTCCTTTTCAGGGGACCCTGTGTATGGGCTTGCAATGTTAATTGGTGAGCCCTAAGTGTCCCATGCCCTCTTGATCGTGGCTCACATGCCCAAACCAAGCAAAAAGAACCGCGAGGGTTCTCCGGCAAGTCCATGCACTTGTGAAAATATAGGTCGCATCTGGAGGGTTCTCCCACCTATTTTTGGGTGTGAGGATGCCTTAAGAACATGGGCCCAGCTCATATGGCGAACCCCCCTTGCTTTTTTTAAGTTCATGACTGGAAGAGGCAGATAATATTTAGCTTGCCGCAATCTATTGAGCCCCTTTGCAAGTTTCCGTTGGGTGGGCGTCTTACTTTCTAAAGCTCAAACCACAACTAGTTTTCGTTTCCCCTACCAGGATCATTAGACAACTAGGCACCTCAACGCACAGCCCACTACTCATACTCTGAACTTGAGAGATTGGAGCCTCAGGTGCGCGTTGTTCTCCTTTGCCTCCTCCCCTCCTTCCCCCCTCTCCGTGCAGAGATCTTGCTTTCGCGTGCCAACTGCAAAGGTCTACGGTCCTTGCAAGACATGGCCACCAGGGCGACTCTTTCTCGAGCCGTTTGCGAGCTTTCATGTCAGCCTCAGCTAAAGTCACTCTGGGCATTTCTATGGTGCCGATGTCTGGAGTTGGAAAGTTGAAAGCTCTAGCAGAGAGGAACTGGGAGGGTTGTGCCAGCGCTTCCGCGTTGAGCTAAGGCGACCAGCCGATGCTTGGCTGAATAGCGATGGGTTTACCTGGCATGCGGGTGACAAGCAGTCAGCCACGCAAGGGTTGGCACTTGGTTCCCTCAGCAGAATGTCGACCCCGGATTCAACCTGCTGGATTCATGGAGCGGTGCTCCTCAAGAGTGAGTTCAGCAAAAAAGAGGTCCCACCCTTGAGCCTTGTTTTTCCCCCGGCAAGCAACAGCGGCGTGCCTACGTGTCTGAGGTGGCAAGTATTTCTTCAACCATGTGACTGGCGAGCAGGTGCGGGCTGCGGCAGAGATCCAGGGGTGCACTTGCACATTGCCGGGTGCTCCGAGACCTCCGTTGAAATAAGTTTCGTTTTTGAACAGAATCAGAAGTATTGTTTTTTGAAGGGGTGAGGCTGAGTTTTTTGTTTTTTTTATCCTTTTCAATTGCTTTCTGGGGAAGCCAACTGGAAACCGCATTGAATCATTGGCTTCAGGGCAGAAAAGAAGGCCATTCCTTCTAAGAGCCTTTTCCAAGAATGCTCCTTCAGCGTTTCCTGGATTGTAAACAGACCAAACATGTTAACTTCCTCACAAGGTAAACCGAGAAGGGGTAGGTAGTTTGTCATCGTACAGACCGTAACACTCGATTTAGTGTTTGTTTTGGCCTTTGGCATCCTCCCTTGCTTGTCTGGTCAGGGGCTGGAGAGCGAAATTCTCGGTGACGGAGGCCGGGAAGGAAGTGCCGCCTGACCGAGGCGAAGCGTGTCAAGGCAGAAAGGCCTCATGGCTCTCAGATTTCTACTTCCTAACGGTCCCATGCACGGCGCGCATCCTTGATGCCATCTCACCGGTGTTTCCTTAAATGGGACGCCCACTCTTCGGGGTGGTTTTTAAAATGTCTATGTTGAGACACCCCGTGGGCCACAAGCGAGCATCCGTCTCTTTGTCAGGCCCGCCCGCACCTGGCCGCACAGGCGGGCCAACAGGGCAACGGGGCGGGCCAACAGCGCAGGTTTCGGCAGGGAGCAGGTTCCGCTGAGCTGCTCTAAGGTGACCAAACCACCAGGGTTGAAGTTTGGCATTCAAAGCTGTACAGCAGCCACGACCAAAGTAACCACAGGCATAATTAAAGTGACAGAAACAACCACCGATATGTTTGGCGTTTGGCGGTCTGTGCACGTGCACCGAGTAGGCTTCGCTGTTTTTTTGTGTTTGGGGAATTTCGTGCCGAGCACGAAGGGAGGGTACTCTCTCTCTCTCTTTCCCTGTGTTCGTACGTTTGGCAAGACGATCCTCGCAGTAAGCAGGAAAAGTAGACTTTGAAAGGGCTTATTGCAATCGAACGTGCCGCAACCCTGATGCCCCGGCAATGCCGTTGAGACAAGGGTTATTGTTGATTGAATGGCGCAGTGCACGCGCTGCTTTGATCTCCTGGCATGACCGGCACAAGGAACATCGATTGCCTTCTGGGAGATTCAGTGGGTCTGTCAGGGGTCCTAAATTTCCATATTTGGGACCTCCAAAAGTTGAGTTGAAACCTTTCAAGGGGAAATTGAGTGAGCCTTGTGACTTTTGTTCACGGGTCACGCGAGGCATCAGCCCCATCAACACTGACCCAGTGCCGGTTGCCATGCCACCGATGCCTTCCACACCGGACACATCGATGCCTCCTGAGTGCTCTGGCAGAAGGGAGGGAGAACTGTTGGGTCTCCTCCAGATCTGTTCAATGGTTATCCTCACGCCTCCAGAACTTGTTTTCATGTTTAAGGGTAGGCTAAGACTCTTCCATGGGCTTCCCTTATTGGGGTTCCGGCTAGAAATCTCATGGTTGTTGTTCGGAAGCATTTTACATTTTTGTTTATTGTGGTTTAGCGGGAAATCCCCACATAACTGCTAAAATTAAAACTGCTCCCCTTCCAACGTCAACCAAGAGAAGACCGGAACTGAGGAAACCCAGTGAACTTCAATCCGAAGCCATGATTGTGGGACATGTATGGAAACGTTGTTTTAGGGTCACTTTCTCATGGTCACTTTGGCATATTTGCAACCAGATCTGGACAGAATCATTTGTTGCTCAAGCCCCGCGCCAGACAGTCCATTTCCAAACGGCTCGCTTGTGAGGGTTGCCCATAAGGGTAGCGAGTCTTGGCCGCCCTGCTCTTGTTTGGGTTGTTGCACGGAAATCCTTCATCCTTGCGCTGGGTAAGAGGTCCCGCTTCCAATCCTTTAGCAAAAACGCCTCTGAAAAAGATGGAGCGCGGGATGGGCAAATTTTGCATCTTGAGCAGCCCAGCCGATGGCAAGACATGTCCAGGCAAACTGGGGCGGGCAATCCCGCCTCGCCCGCGCATCCCGTGCCGGCCGCCGCCGCCGCCGCCGCCGGGGCCGGGCTGAGCCACCTCCACTGGAAGCTGCCCGGCCGGGTCGCTGCGGCCAAGGGGTGCTGATCTTGTGATTGGAGCTCTCGTGCTTCAACCTGTTTACTTGACTGCTATTTGGTTGGATCTTTAGACTTTAACTTTTTGGTTGAAATCATTTGGGGTTTTCCACTAAACCCCTAAAAAGTTAAACTTTTTGCAGGGGGGTCAACAGCAACCAAGGTTAAAGTCAATCCTCACTCAACAAGAGGTGTCCCTTGTCGGGGTGTTTTCCGGGTCCAGGTTTTGATGGGATTCAGAGGGCCCAAACAGAGTTCGAATCGAAGTTCCGCCCTTCGACTCTGGGTTTTGGGTGGGTGGGTCGCGTTAAGACCAGGTTTTGATTCTCATCCTTTCCATGGATGCAAGGATCAACCATCAAAGATTGCCAGAAAGCTTTCAACTTGAATGGCGCAATGTTGGGGGCAATTCCCCAACTGACAGCAGAGCAGAAGAACTGTGCGACTTTCAGCGAGAGGTGCTGGAGGTGTCTCCTTTTTGGGAGCGGCCGGGGCCAAAACACCCTTTCCTTGTTTTTGTTTAAGAGGGGTATTCCCTTCAGATCAGCCAGACATGTCGGCCTTGCTTCCACGTTGGGCTTTTGAGAATACAGCCTTGGTTGGGAGGAGATGTCCATGAGTTGGCGAGATGTGCTTAGAAAGGGAAGGGCGAAGTGCGATTCACTGGAACCTCTGAACCGTCGGTATTCACACACCAGCCGACCAAGACCCCCTGCATTGCTATCATGGGGCATGAGCAGCATGCCAGTCCCAGTGAACCAGTGCGACCCATCTTCAATCCAGGCGAGCTGTTCGGATTGTTCACTTCATCTTCCACTGGAAAAGTCGGATTGGCCTCTGGCCGATTCTCCGTTTCAAGCCAAAAAAAAGAGAAAAAACACCAGAAGGATCCAGTTTTCCGGGTCCTTGGACCAAGGTTCTCGTGAGATACAGTCGGAGAATCCTCCGGTTGGAGCGGTTCGGGCAGCCCTTTTGGTCCATCTTTTGGTCCAGGCGACTTCAGCAAATGGCGGGGGCACTTCGCTGTTCTTGGATCATGTTTTGTTTTTGTGATTCTGTTCATTTTGACTGGGGGTCTGCAAAAAACAGTCAGTTTTTTTCTACCATACCAAGAGTAGAGATTGGCAGTTTTGACACAGTTTACTGAAGAAGAGAGAGAGAGAGAGAGAGAGATTGACAAGAATCCAGATGCACCAAAAAAAACCACTGAGGTCACTCACAGAAGCCCCCACAATCGGCCCAGCCGTTGCTTTTTCCAAAATTGTGTCCACTCGTAAGAGCTCAGGTGCATTGTGCACGCTGCAGCGCGGAAGCTTCAAGAGGAGATAGCCGCCGGCACCCTGCCTCAGTTGCTGGGGGGGAGGTTGCCCGTGCTCGCAGTTCTGAAGTTTGCTCGTAGCTGCTGCGGCTTAGACTCACTCCCTCGGTTCCTGGACTTTTAAGCACTTTTGGGGAAGGCCACTTTGGCAAAGGAAAGGTTTAGACCAATGTGGATGCTGGAAGATGCTAGCCAGAGCTCTCAACTCCACTGTTTGCAGCTTGCTTGCCTGATCTTGGATTGAGAAGCCTTAGTCTTGTTTTCCAAACGGAGCTCGCTCTTTTGACGTGTTATTCCTCTTCTTGGTGCCGAACACTGTTGCCTCAAGGCGCCCACTGGTGCAGACATACGCTTGAAGAGTGCATTTAAGTCTTGCATGGCCGTCACGTGCTTAAGGTCATTGGGTCGTCGGGATGATTGTTGATCAGCAGGATCGCAAATTTGCGGATGCGATTGCAAGCGCACTGAGGAGGAGAACCTTTTTAACTGGTTTGAGCTCCCACGAACGTCCCTTCAAGAGGGAACTCATCTTCCAGATGCCCTCCCGCTGCCCACTGTTTGTGGGAGGAAGTGTCTCGTTCGGCCGGAGACTAAAGAAATCATAGCACCAAGCTGAGGCGAAGAAGAATTGGACGACCCTTGGCAGGAACGCGATGCGGAGTGCTTTTGCAGCCTGTGCCGCTGCCGCTGCGCTGACATGAAGGACCGGTGGTTGTATACTGAGAGGGCGGGCCCGGAGCCCCCGCACCAAAATTGGCTTCTCCCAAGTTTAATGTTATCTCATGGTGGCAGTCAGGCGGCGCAGACTTGATTGGTAGAGCGACTCTTTCCTGAGGCGCGATTGAATCGCCTCAGTAGCATAGCACTTTAGAAGGCGCTGATTGATTTGGGCCTAAAATTCGGCCAGCTGCAGCCGCGGCAAGTCAGAAGAAGCCAACGGCCTGTTCCTTTCTGGCCCCTTCAGAGGGGAATTGGATGACCCGTCACCCGGTGAAATTTTAAATTTCATTTGCCTTGATAGACGTACACTTGGATATGTGTCAAAATAGGGAGACTTTTATATTCAGGGTTGGTTTCTCTTGAAACCAACCTGGAAAGAGACCAACAGAAACCTGGTGTCATGTGATGCTCCGAGTGGCGTAGGCCGCAGGATGGCTTCATAGCTGTACCCTTCCTCCCACGTCACCTGTGGGAGGGTAATTACCTGAAAATATAAAGTCGAATTCCTCTTTAAGGGGCCCTCTGTCACCCACCAGTTCTAGGGGAAAGGAGGGTACCCTTTCTGTATTGGCTAGAAATTGCTTGTGCTCAGTGCAAAATGAGTTGGAATGACCCCGAGATAAGCCATCCAACTGGTGGTTTCCTTTATATCGCACCAGCAAGTTAACCCCCCTCCCCCCAGTAAGGCGTTTTTAAGCGTTGCAAGGTTATGACTCGCTCACCGATCGGGGGTACAACGAGCTCACCATGCAATGCATGATAAAGATGTGTGAAGATAGGTCTTTGCTTAAAACGGTGAAATTCCACGGGTTGAACATCGACCAAGTTGCAAATGGTGAAGATGTTTGTCTTACAGGCAGTTGTTCATAGGGGCTTGATTGAACACGGACGAGGTGACAAGATTTAGTTAGTAGCTGCCTGTTGCTTCCCATGGCTCTCACAGGGTTTCCTGGACAGTGGGATGGCAATGACGTTCTGCAAGATGTCACCAGTCGGCAAATATAAGCATGTGCCAAAGGGTTTGAACCCCGAGAAATTGTGGTTCTCTTTTTGCTTTCCCTTTAACTAGATGGTGCTCAGGAGTGAATGAGTTGGAATGACCCCGAGACAAACCCGCCAACTGGTGGGTTCCTTTAAGGGGACCTTGGAATGTTCATTCCCACATTCCCTACCTATCGCACCCAAAAAGTTCACCCCGCTCCCGCCCCATCAAAAAAATGGCACGGGCCGCCATTCGAAGGAGCACCTGGAGTCGGTGGAGCATTTTAACAAGGTGCAGGCGTCTTTGCCGCAAGCTGCAGGTGTGGGGGGCGCTGAGGTTTGATAGAGGTTTGTGGCCGGTTTTAAGAGGTTTGTGGTCGGTTTCAGGTGGGTTCCAAAGAGGTTTGTGGTCGGTTTTAAGAGGTTTGTGGTTGGTTTCAGGTGGGTTCCAATCATTTTACTAGTGCCATCCCTTTTTTCCAAAAGGACACCTAGGGACACCGGTATGATTTGCCGCCTGTGCTTCGGGCGTTGCGAGGCTCTATGCACCAATGGCCGTTTTTTTTTTCTTCTTCTGATTCTGGCGAGTGGTTCCACTGAATGAAAGGAGTTCACGCGTGAGCATTTGCAGAACGTGCTCTGACGCGATGGTTGGGCAGAGCTGACAGGTTGGGATCTTGTCAGCTCGGGAAAGGGGACATCTGCTAGCGATGGCAATTAGAATCACGTTCTTCCTTGAAGGGCGGGTGCCTTTCTCATGAGTCGGGTTAGCAGGGTGTCCTCCATTTCCCTCAGTGGATCTTCCAAGAGTTGCGATCGCTTCAATGAAAACCACCAATACATTCATTAACCTTTGATTTGGGTAAATCCAGTGACTCCTGGTTACTTAGTGGCTCCCAGCCATCCGGTTCCTTAACTTTTTAACCTTTTAGTGTTTGGAAGTTTCCATTTAACCCACTGAAAGTTGTTCACTTTTAGCAGGGGATCTGAGGGCGGCCCAGGTTAGTGAGCATTGTTTGAAGCTCAATGGACTCACCATGGCTCTTCCCCAGAATTAGCTCCCCTTTTTGCTTTTTTGCTTTTTTTGGGTTCCCTTTGTTTTCCACTAACCAGCAAAAAATGCTGGGGTCAACTAATTCCAGCCTAGGGCTGTTGGTTCCAGGTCCGAACCACTGACGCACCGCGCAGCCGCGCAGCCTGAGGCCTGCCTGGCAGACGCGGCCAGGAGTCAGCCAGAGATGTCGCAGTGGAATTTTTCCGGGTCGCTGTCGCAGGCTGGAAGGAGTGCGTTTGAAAATGCGCGGGGTGTTTGTCTTTGTGTGTGTGTGCTGTGTTCGTGTGTTGTTGGGGTTGTGTCTGTGTCTGTGTCTGTGTCTGTGTCTGTGTGTGTGTGTGTGTGTGTGTGTGTGTGTGTGTGTGTGTGTGTGTGTGTGTGTGTGTGTGTGTGTGTGTGTGCGTCGTGTTTTGTATGTATTTGTGCGTGTGTACGTGTGTGTATGTGTGTGTGTGTGTGTACGTTTGCGTTCGCGAGAGCATCATTTCCGGGCCTCGTATGGATGACGTCAAGCATGCAATGCCGCTCTCTTGTGGTTTTGGACTCGCAATAGGGACCCTATTCGTGTTCCTTTTGTTCCCCTTCAAAACCACTCTAAAAAGGGTACCGTGCACAAAAAGGCATCCCCTTATCTTCTGGTGGTGTTGGGCAAGCCAGTGGCCATTCATCCAAGCGTCTGAAACCAGGGCAGGCGCGCACACACACACAAGCACACATCAACAGGATTGCGGCATCCAAACAGGTGACATGAATGAACACGTGCTGACCATTTCGTTGGTGCATTTTGCTTGGATGTTAGGACTTAGTGTTTTTGCCAACAAATGGGTTTTCCATTAAACCACCAAAAGTTAAACTTTTAGCAGGGGAGCAGAAAGCAACCTATTTTTCTTGACCTGCTCAGCATCCCTGGCGTTTTTGATCCGGAGGCCCCACGGTCCCTGGCGCAGCAGCTTTTTTCTCAAGTGGACATGTTCTTAGCTAGGTCCCCCAGCTAGGTGCCCTTTCTCACCCCTTTTTGGTTGGGAGGGTTCTCATACTACAATAGACTACAGAAAAAGTTGGTACCCTCCCTTATTCTAACCTCCTCTACTGGAGGACCTAGTTCAGCAAAGCAAGTCGCCTTCCATGGTTTTGCCGGGTAGGAAAAAAATGAGGCCGGGCTCAGGAACTGGCGGCTCATCCAAGACTAAACCTGCATGATATGTCTTTTTGATCCGGTTGGCTCCAAAGAAATGGTTGTCCTCTTTGGTTTCCCTTTGGAAGCCACCGAAAAATACGTCGTTTTTCCGCCCATTCGAACAGCAAATGCCGAATTTACGGGCACCATGTTCACGGATGACCGTGGAAGATATTTTGGGGAAAACATGTTGAGATGAGTCTCGCGCAAAGCAGGGACAGCTCTTGGAAGACAGGAAGCCAAAAGGACATGCCGCCCGTTGGAAGGAGAGACATCGAACCCGCGACCCATAGATTCGGAGTGAAGGGCACAAGGGTATGTGTCAATGTCGGGCTTCCAAATATAGTGTTCCTTTTGGCTTCACTCTAAAAACCAAGCAAAAGGCACAAGGGTATGTGTCTGCATAAGCGGAATGCCAAACATTTCCCACCTATTCTGGTTTTCCTTTGCCCTTAAACACCAACCAACCTTGCTGGTGCTCAGTAGGGAAGGAGGGAATGACCCCTATGAACCATCTAAGGGGACTGGGTTCATTCCATCATTCCCTGCTGAGCAAGCAACCGGCGGTCCACAGCGCAGGAGCAATCCAAGCGTAGAGGACCTCAGGAGGACCTCCGCGTGGATGCAATCCTTTGAGACAGTCGCTGCAGACTCAGGCGACTGAAGAGGTTTTCCTTGATAGGCAGGGAATGAGAAACTGAATGCTCCCGATTGAAAAGACAATCCACCTGTTCTGTTTGGTCTCGAGGTTTACTCCCAACCCCGGGAAGGTCATTTCCTACTGAGCACCAGCAAGTTTTCTTTGGTTTTCCTTTCCAAGTCCAACAAGAAAGGTCCCCTGAAAAGATGTTTGGTCAAAATGTCCCGGTTCTTGCACTTGGGGTTGACACGAGGGGGACTCAATGGCTCAGAGATCCTCATGCTTGTGGCGGGCGTGATCTCGAAATTTTTGTATGTCGATTCAACGGGGACACAGAGACTCGGAGTGACGGAGATACGCGGCAAGCGCGCATACACACGGCCTCATGGCCCAAGACGTGAGGTTTTCAACCACTTGACGCTGGAGATCATTGCGAAGTAGCCAGGGCCCAAAAGAACACATCCGGATCGAGGTCAACCCACCCAGAAATGGTCAAACCACTCTTCCAAACTCTTGTGCAAGCCTGTGAATGTTGGACCGCCTTCATTGGAGTATCAGACAGCCGTTAGTCGGCGGTTTGAACGCTTGGATGATTCATCGACGGAGCTGACACGGTTTGCTTCACCGCGCTGTTGTTATTTTCAAGTCTTAGTTGGTGGTTTGAATCTTTGGATGGTCCATTGACACAGCTGACCGGGCCTGTTTTGTTGTGAGAGAGCCTCCAGACTTGGAACTCGCCCAGGAACAGTTTTGCCTCGCTTCCATAGATTAGGCGCGGAGAGCCAGGCGTGGCAAGGGATGGCCGAAGTGGAGCAAGCGCTCCCGAGCACATCTTCAGGAGGGGGGTGATTTTTCTGGAGATCTCCACTTAGGGTTCCATTTTCCCTGTTGTGAAGGCTGAACTGAAGGTAGGGGGATGTGAGCGCTTTGTGGGGGGTTGGTTGGGTGCCGGTCATGGACCCTGAAGGAACTTTGTCGAGGTGGCAAGGGAACCGTGAGCTCGACCGACATGAGCTTTGGCCATGGCAAGAGCTGCTGGTTGACTTTTGAATGGGCGCATTCGGCCTTGGAGGGCATTTTCTAGAAATTTGGTCGAGAAGTTTGCTCGAAACCTCACTGGAGTTGCTGGAGCTTAAACTTTGTGTGAAGACCAGATTAGTGGCAGATATCAAGTTCTCCGGCTTTTGTCGGCCCATCCAGGAGAGAGAAGCTGGGGCTTTTCAACTCCACTCGTTTGGCGCCCATAAATTCCAAGAGCCTGGGGGTCATCTCCCCGTCTGAACGGGTCGTCTGAGTGCGCCTCGCCGGTGGGTTTGTTTGGCTCAAGCTTGGGAGCTTCGGGACTTGGGTCCCCGGGCCAGGCGCGGTGTCGTTTGTTTGGGGTGATTCGCATCTGCAGGCTGGGGCTGCCTTGCCGAGTCCCATCAAAAGAATGGCCGGACGGCCTCGGGACCCAATTTGGAGGAAGATCCCTTGGGAAGTGATGGGGGTAATATTGGCCCAACCATTTTTTTGCAGTGGTGTGATAAAACCCCAGGGTGCGGATATATGGCGAGCGCGGCCGGAGGTGTTGTGCAATTCGTGTTTGGTCCATTTGGCAAGGACACGAAGGGGGGGTAGTTGTTTGATTTTTTCCTCCCAAAAACCTGGGGGGGGGGGGGCAGGGGGAGGGGTCATGTCCTTTAGGGGAAATAAACAAGATTTTGACTTTGTCTGCGGAAGAAACTTACTGGGATGGTTCAGCTCGATTCGGTGCAGACCGAAGTGTCACAGTGTGCGGCCTGACAGGGCTTGAAAGCCCTGGCACCTTGAAAAAACACACCCGGGTGCCCCGTTCGACAAGTGGATGAAGCGTCTAATATGAAGCCTGTGGCCTGGTTTTTGTTGGCTCTTTGTTGAAAACCTCGATGTGCAGACTAAGTACTCCCTAGGGTTCAAGGACCCAATTTGGGCAAATGGTGGTGAAATATGCAAATTGCACGCCCATCTAAGGGGGGAAGTACGGTTTCCAACCCACTTTACAAGGGGTAAATTCCCCTTTTAGGGAGGGGGAGGCCTTTTGGGTTCATTTGCCCAAGGGGTATGTTTCATGGGTATGTACAAGCACCCCTGGACGGGCCCCAGTGTTTTAGTGGTGGCCTGCCTGAACCTCAGCACTTCCTTCACCAGAATTAGCTCCCCTTTTTGTGTTTTTTTGCTTTCTTGGGGTCCCTTTGTTTCCACTACCCAGGCAAAAAAGATCTCATTTTTTGCTGGGGTCAACTAATTCCAGCCAAGCACTTCGAGTCGCATTAAAGCGGCTCGCGGAGGCTCCCGGCCATGGCTTCGACTTTGAACAGCAGAGCAGGCCGAAACGGAAACCGTGTCGTCTTTTGGGGTATCGCGAGAGGTTGCGGTGAGAAGTGCGACCTATCGCGGATGGTCCATTTGGGTCTGGTATGTTTTGAGGGGATCGTTTTGTTGGGGTTTTATAGGAACTCACAAGAAGAAAAGAAGAAGGTTCAGCCCAAAAGTGAAGCCTTTGTGACTTTCAGCATGGCTTGGTATCTGCAGTCATGGCCCCTGGTATCTAAAGAACTTTCTGCAGCTTGGTTAGGGTGGCCCAGCCTTTGGGTGAAAAAAGCCGCCTATGTTTTAAACTTGGCCGCTGGGCCTTGAGGCTGCCCAGCTTTGACAAGCTCCTCCTTTTCAGCGGTTTGAGGCCGGTTGGCGTATTTGTTTGTGGCTTATAGTGGTTTTGTCGCTGGCCACATGTTAAGTTTGCGTGTTGATGTTTGGCTTTTTAGTGTTTAGTTTTGTGGTTTCCATTGACCCCACTAGAAGTTATTCACTTTTAGCGGGGGATCCAAGGACTGCCTATGTTTGGCTTTTGACGGCTGGCTTCCATGCACGAAACGCGCCCAGGTTTTGGCAATGCTGCAGCCAGCGTGGCAATCGCTGTTGCAGCCATGATTGCAGCGGCAGCTTGTCTCAGTCAAATCAGCTTCACGAAAGCAAGTTGCTGCTTGGTTTGCCCCCGCTTCCTCTGGTTTGGACTTTGCGGGGTGGTCCCCCATGACGCTTGTGGTCTCTTTTGCACCTTTTACAGGCTTGTCAACAAGTTCTCTGGCCCTTGCTTCTGTGCATGGTTTCGGCTCCCCTGCAACGCGGGGAAAGCTTGCTGCTCATGAACTCACCTGCTTCTAGCCGCTCACCATGGCTTGGAATCTGATGCTGTTACTTGACTCCAGCCGCAGGCATGATATTTTCAACCCTGGGCTCGCTCAAGACTCCCAAACTCCAAACTCCAAGCAACTCCAACAAGTCCCAAAGAACTCTGACAAACTTCCAAAACTTCCAAACGTTCCGGTTCCTTAGAATTTGTTGGTTTGTGGCGTTTAGTGGGGGTTTTCATTTAACTAACTAAAAGTTATAGTTTTCGCAGTGGATCTGAGGACAGCCCAGTACTTTGATTCTGCCTCTGCAGCTTATCAAAGTCAGAAACTGCTTGTTGGTTCCCTTCAACCACTTAGGGGGTCTTTCGTAGCATGGCAAAATAGAAGCACCAACCATGTTAGGGAAACTCTATTTTGAGCAACCACCAATTTGGGGGTTCCCTTTTGGATTGGCGAATGGAGTCTGCAAGTGCGTGCTATGACTGGGGATTTGAGGACAACCCAGTATTACTCCACAAACTCCACGTGACTAACCATTCTAGATGGAAACTCTATTTTGAGCATTGGCGAATCTGCAAGTGCGTGAATTCGCCGAACTCTGGTTGAATTTCCCTTCACCTAGTGCGAGCTAAACTCTTGTTGGGCGAAAATCCGCCAAACGAGGGGTTGACACTGGGAAGCACTGGGTCCATCCCGAGAATGTGTTTGGTGGATGTGAAAATCGGAATGTGGCTCCATGACTGGTAGCACTGGGCCCAATCTTGAGAATGGCGAAACTCGGGCGCTAGCTCCCCCAGTGTGCCCTGTACGAACTTTATCGGGGGAGGGTTCCCCTACTAAAATAGACTACTGAAAAATAAACTACTGAAGAAAGGGTACCTGGAGTCTCCATGACCCTTAAAGAATGGGGTCATTACCCAAAATTAACGGGTCATGGACCATTTTTTAAGGGTCATGGAGACTCTAGGTACCCTTATTCCAACCCAGGGTTGTGGGATCAAGGGGTTTCTCCCCACTTCCGCGATACAAGTTGGAATCTTTCCTTCTTTATGGTGGATTAGTCTTGTGGGTTAGGCCCATTCTGTTGCATCACAGATTCGTGGGTTCCATTTCCCACAGCCCCTCCCCCCGCGCCCCGATTGCGCCGATCTCGTCGACTCGTCGAAGGCCCTGGCCGCCACGGGCGCGGCGGCGGCGGCGGGGGTCACGGTGCTGCTGGCCACCAGCGCTGCGGTGGTGGTCGGTGGCACGGAGGCGAGATGTGAACATCCAAGCAAGCGCGCCAGGAGAATGACACATGAGGTACACACACACACACACATATATATATATATATATATGGTACCCCCCCCCAGTACCCAGGTGCTGTTGCATCATGTATCAAAACCATTGATATTTACAGTGTATTTGATTGAACTCATGCATTTTCTGCAAGGCCATTTTGTGGACCAAAAAAAAAAAAACAATCCTAGCCCCCACCATGGCTGGGATTCTTTTGTTTTTTGGTTTTTTGGTTTTTTGGTCCAGGGAAATGTTGCGCAACAAATTCCACATGTTGCGCAACATTTGCGGAGCATGAGAGGATATGTGAACCTGTGTGAAAGAAGGCATGTTCTGGGTGAGAGGATATGTGAATTTTCTGTAGAGAAGAGTTATTGAAAAAGACATGTTTTGTGTGAGATGCTATGTGAGTCTTTGTGGAAGAGTCAGGGTTACAGTGATTCATAAAAGTACAGCCAAAGACAGCAAATATCATGTAAAACCACCATTTATGTAACACAAGCTGTCCCAGCCATAGCCTGGTTTTATTCTACACAGGGTTCACTTTCCTTGGCAACTCTTTCACATATGCTGCCTTTGTTTCATTGAAAGAAGTCTTGTAAAAAGACATGTGTTGGGTGAGAGGATGTGTGAATTTTCTGTGGAAGAGTCTTTGAATGAAACAAGGCATGGTTTGTGTGGGAAGATATGTGGGTTATTTGTGGAAGAGCCTTTGAAAAAGGCATGTTTTGGTGAGAGGATATGTGAACCTTTGTGAAAGAAGGCATGTAAAAAGACATGTTTTGGGTGAGAGGATGAATGAAGTTTCTGTAGAGAAGAGTTATTGAAAAGACATGCTTTGTGTGACATGTACAAAGACATGTGTTGGGTGAGAGGATGTTTGAATTTTCTGTGGAAGAGTCTTTGAATGAAACAAGGCATGGTTTGTGTGGGAAGATATGTGAGTTATTTGTGGAAGAGCCTTTGAAAGAAGGCATGGTTTGTGTGGGAAGATATGTGAATTGAATTTTGTGTGGAAGAGCCATTGAAAAAGGGCATGGGTCACGTCCAAGGCGTCTTTCTTCAATGAGGCAAACCTCCTACCTCTGGTCTCCCAGTGTGCAAATCTGAGCTATTCTTCCTGCCTGCTTCCGCTGTCAAAGCACATCTGAACTAAGCCCAAACCTGGGTACCTTCAGGGGGGGGGGTGTAGCATATATATATATATATGTGTGTGTGTGTTTGTATGTGTATATATATAAATATGTGTATATAGGTATGTACAACATATATGTATGTCTTATAATATGTTTATGTATATATATATATATATATTACTGTATACAAACATAAATATATACATATGTATGCATATCATATATATATATATATATATGTATATATATATATGTGTGTATATGTTATAGATGTAGAGATGTACGTCTAGGAATCGGTTTGGTAGCTTTTGTTGTGGATTTCACCTGTCATCCCCCCTGTAGGTATTGCTTTCAGTGCTGTTTTAGTACCCTACAAGGATGGGTCCACGAGAAGCGCATCCAAACCGCTTCCGAAGGCACCATTTCAGGGTTCTTTGTGTACAGCTAGGGAAAGTGTATATACTCTTAAAGTTCTGCAAAAATTGTGCATGACAAAAAACTTGGAGATTGTGAAGGTGGCTTCACGCTGGTTTCCTTCAAAACCTATAGAACAAAGGGGTACCCTCAAACAAAGGCCTATATGCCATGATAAGCGTTGGTTAGGCCGAAGTAGGTTGAGCATCCAAAGGCCGACGTAACCAGAACGGGGTTGCGAATCAAGTCATCATGGCCACGAAGCATGTATGCATTGTTTGTTTCACTAATTTTGTATACATTCTGTTTTCACGTACTTACACATCATGAGGGACCCAACATTATGCCCCTCAGATGGGCGGCCAATTTGGCATCTCATCATCGGATGTATTCTGGTGGGGGAACTCCGCTTTTGCAAGTCAAGCTGCTGTCTCTACAGCATGGGGCATCATCCAGCGTTGACTCAAAAAGCGTTTCAGCAACTAGGCCCTGGTTGCCCTTAATGGGAGAGGTAAGCATGCTTGGACGAGTTTCGACCCGGGGCTGGCCCGCCTACTGTTGACCCCAATTGCTGGGACCGGCAGGGTCGCTATTAAATGGAGGTCCATTTCCCGCACATGTCCCCTGGACCTTTGTCACAAGGAGACCCGCGACATTTGTCACAAGGGGGGAGGGAGGGGGCCCGAACTTTTTGCAGTAGCTGGGATCGTCTGAAGGGGCAGGGTACTTGGTAGTTGTTTGGTTAGCAGCCATGGCTATTGCCAGATTTTAGGGGACTTGTGACAAGAAGTGGGCTGCAACCATGTATTTGGTCACGGTTCAGAGTGTCTCCCCTTAAGCATCACGAGACTTTACATTGACCCAGGTGACGTTCAAAATTCAGGGGGGAAACTGGGGAACCCTTTTCTTACCTCTTAAAACCACAACTCTTCAACTTTTTGGGGGGCAACATGGGCTGTATGTCTGTAAAAGATTCTGGGCTTGGAGTTGTAAGGGGTAAGTTGCCCTCCACAACGAGCCGCCAGGAGCCCGCCGACTTGCTTCGCCGGCAGCGGGTGCCGCTGGTGCCAGGCCGTGTCTCGGGAAAATTTTCGGAGCGATGGAAAACCCGGGCACTGCTCAGTTGTTCGGTGGCACCGATTCTTTTTCTTTCTTTTTTGAGGGGGGGGGCTGTGGCGCCCTTGTTCCTTTCTTTTTTGTTTTGGGGGGGGGGTGGCTGCCCCACTAAGAAAGGTCTTGCCAAAAAAGGGTTCCCTTTCTTCTCCAGGGTCACTGAACAACTGAGACTGTGATCTACAGAAAGGCTCTGTTGCCCAAAGCGAGTCGACCGGATCTGACCAGTGGGTTTTTCCATGTGGGTGTGGCTCAAAACAAACAGGAGGGTTACGCAGGTTTTGGTCCATGTTTCCACTAAAAAACAGGGTTCCATTTTGGTACCGGTTTTTCGAGCCACAGCCATGTTGGTCGATGTTGGCCACCGATTCTTGGTGGTGCCAAAAGGTGATCACCTGTTATTTCCAGGTCCGAGCTGGGCACGTGACAAGGTGGTTGTGAGTTCTTGTTCCGTGAAATCCGGGTTCGCCCGATGGAGTGGAATGAGTGAGGCGGTTGAGTTGCCGTAAATCCTATGACAGACAAGTTGGGGTCCTTCACCGCTTCCGCTGGCCCACCCCGTTGTGCACCCCATTCTGGCCTGTGTCATAGAAAAAGGCGCCAGAAATGCGGGCGGGGTGGTTCTGAGCCAACCTCAACAGATTACCTTTAAGAAATTTTGCTCGCCTTTTCGTTTTGTGAAAGCGTTTTTGTCGTTGAGCCATCTCCCCGAAGCAGCGCAGACGTCGCTTTTGGCAGTTTGTTCCTTGCAACCTCCAAGCAATGGCCGTTTTTGGCCATCGCTCTGTTGCTCCTTCTGCGCTCAGCCCAACACACGGTGCTGGACAATCTGCCTGAGCTCATCGACGAGAGCTCGGTGGCGGTGGCTACGGTGCGCCAGGCACGAATCGACATGCTGCATGCCAATTACTGGTTTCCTTTTGGCACAGCAACATGTGTAATTTCAAAACCAGAGGGCCCGTTGTTGCAGAAGTGGCCCAAGCCGTAGCCAGCGTTGAAAGAGATCCAATCAGCTGCAACCAAAAGCGCAGCACTGTCACAGGGCCGCCGGGTGCGCTTCAATCTCACCCAGCGCCTCGCAAGAGAATTGGGTTCCTTGAAGGGCTGTTGAAAATCGCCGAGTTAGATGTTGGGTTGCGTCCATTTGCTGAACTGGATATGTTTTTTGTTTCCTGCTTTTTTAAATTTTAGTCTATCACTACTGGACATATTTGCGCGCTTGCTTTCTCCCGACTGTGAAGGGTTGGAGAACAAGTCAGCCCTGCCTTACCCGCAGCCGTGAACAGTTGCGGCGGTTCACCTTCCAAGTCGGGCAGATTGGTCAGATGGAGCCCAGTGGTTTGGGCAATGGGCAAGGGAGCAGACAAGAACCCGGGTTCCCGAGTGAAGTTGCCCAAAGCGAGTAATTTTTTTAGAGCCCGGGTTTTGTAGTGAACCAGTTGCCCAAAGCGAAAAAGTACCTCTTCAGCTTTTGGTTTTCTCGTTTTGGGTTCCCATTTTTAGTGATGGTCCTAAAAGGTCTCAGCGAGGCTTACAGATTAGGGAATCCCCGCCCGTTGGACCACCTCCTCAGGGGCTCCAGAACAAAACAACTCCGGGGTCAAGTGGCTGTGGGTCAAAACCGATGGGATCCCATGTTTGGGGTAGGGGCAGCACCCATTTTAGGCTTCCTATTTTAGTGGTTGGATTGAATCGGATGTTCACTGGGGCTAACCGATTTGGATTTTGAAAAGCCCATGGCCAACTGCGCACAAACAGCTTGGCCGAGGAATACGGTCCACGAGATCACCCCGTACTCAGAGATCTACGGCATGCACCCGCTGCTGGGCGGAATTTTGTTTCTTGTTTTTTTTTTTTCTTTTTCCCGTGGTCTTCGGATTGATTCAACTGCGGTGCTTTGAATGAGTCACCGGGGTTTAGGTGGTAAGGCTTTACAACGGAGGCTGTGTTTGACGAGTTTCAAGGGGCTGTGTTTGTCTCATGTCCGCGCGCGGCCCCTCGACGGGCGTTTTCCACCTTCAAACGCCCAGGGCCCTGGGATTCAAGCGGGTTGCTCCATGTGAATAAGCATTGTGAAGCTTTTTAGCCGAACTCAGGCGATTGCTTCGCATACGGCCTGGGGCCGAAAACTTGGAGCCGATCCAAAAGGATGACAGCGATGAGGACGGGATCTGTCACTGGCGAGGAGAATCTCGAGTTTGTTTCTCTCACTGTCTCTCACTACAAAGAAGTCAGGTGTTCAATCAGCAGGGGTTAGATCAGTATGGTTTCACAAAAACCAGGTACCTCTTAGTGAGTTTTTGGGGGCCGAACATCTCGCGAGGCCATGAAATGCCACGAGTGATTTTGACCCCGCAAAGTAGGCGCGGGCTGGTCGTTTCGCGGAAAGAGGTGCAGGATCAAAGCCTTGGCAGTGCGGCAGTTCCTATGAAACTATGGCTTTCCGTTCCCCTTTGAAGCCCACCTGACCGGGCTGGCCTCGCAAACCATCCGGGAGTGGACGTGGATGTCACAGCTGGTCGGTGTGCCAGGAAGAATGTTTCACCAGCTCCTTGGCAGGGCATGGCGGCATGGCCGGACAGGGAGAGACCCACCGGCCGTTTGCGAAGTTTGCGACTTTGTGAATCGGCCCAAAAGACTTTGGTGCATTTTGCCAAGGGATGTTAGGACTGAATAACTTTTCGCCAACTCATGGATTTTCCGCATTGGTTAGGACTTACTTTTTGCCAACTCATGGGTTTTCCGCATTAAACCACTAAAAGTTATTCACTTTTCGCAGGGCTTCGCAGAGTTCGCAACCGAGAAAAGACTCTCAGATGTGATTTGCTTTGGGGAGAGGGAAGCTGCCCGCCGGCGCATTTGGCGCATTTCGTGGCGAGGTGACCTTTCTACCTGGGTGCTGGAATGCCTTCGTCGAGGGTCCTCAAAGGCGCGACTCACAAGCACTAACCCAAGGGTACCTCTAAGCTGGATCTCGGGCTTCCATTTGCTTAAGAATATGGTTGTTTATTATTTTTCGCTGGTTTCAAAGGCAATCTACTACTGGAAATATGTCTTTTATGTTGTTTTTTTTCTCCAGGGGGCTGAAGCAAATGGAGGTCGGTTCCATGTTGAAGGGAAGAAACTGAGATGTTCCGCGTCGGCCAAGTAAGTTAGAGACGGTATGCAGCCGCAAGACGCAGAACGAAGCTCGTCCACTGGCTGGCCTTGGAATTGGGTGGGGATTGTTAGCAACCTAACCTTTTCAACTGTGATTTCTAGAATAAAACTACACACCCCATGCAACTCATGTAAAAGCCTACAAAACCCATGTAAACCCTACAAACATCCCCCCACCAACCGCATTTCTTTGAAGCCCAACCTTCTCGTCAGGTTTGCGTGGCTTCGCAAGCCTTTTGGCAACTTTTTTGGGGGTCGGGACCCCAAGAACAATACACAGAGAAATGTAGCCAGCCCCCCACCATATAAAGGCAGCGTTCTTCCCCCTGGGCTAGGAGGCTCAGCCAGCTCAGCCGGGATCCTAAAAACAACTCAGGCAACAAACGCACTTTTCCCACTTGGCCAGATGATTTCCACTTCGCCTCCATTTACCCCAATGCTTAGGCTCTTCGAGCCTCAGCCTCTTTGGGCCACATGTTTCAATCACTTTTCGTGGGGATTGCGAGGCTGTAAAACAGCAAAAGGACGGAAGCGGCGTCTCCGTGGGCGTCGCCAGGCCGTGAAGTTTTGGCCGCTGGGGATCTGCCTTTTCTGGCTGCGGGCCTTTGGCGCTGAGGCTTTGCTGGCCGCCTGGCACGAGAGAGGGTGTCGAAGCCCCCCTCACCCCCCCCCCCCCCCGGCCAGGTGGACACTTAGTGTCTATTTTGCAACCTCCTTCTGTTGGGGTTATTGGGTTTTGTGGGGTATGGTTGCTGAATAGACTCTAGGTGTCCATGGCACCTCACCCCCCCCCCCCCCCCCGGCCAGGCGTGGACAAGGTCCGGAAAGAGGGGTGTGGTTGATCACAAGTAATTTATCCCCACCCACTTCTGTGAGACTTGTGGGAAAATCTCGGCCCTTGAACTGGTTAGTCTTTGGGGAGCTAATACTGTTGTCTCACAGCACTGGTCATTTCCCACAGCCCTGTCCGGAAAGGTCCGGAAAAAAAGGATGGATTATGAGATGATGACATTTCTCGGCTCAACTTACGTTGGAAGGGCCTATGTTCCGGTCAGGTGCGTGTTTATGTATGCCGCAGTCAAAAATAGCCGACACGTTCGATCGAGCTCATATTTGCAGGCAACCCTTTTGACATCCATGTTATACTTTTGGCTGATCAGCCGCCCAAGCCAAACAGTTAAAGCGTGGTTGGAGGTGGGAAGCACGGGCTCGCTCAGTCAAACATGTTTTGTGGTTTCTGCTCCAAGCTTGGCCATCTCAGAATCTCGGTCTATTGGCCCGCAAGGTTTCAACTCCATGGCTCCATGTCGAATGCCCTTAGGGCATCCAAGGGAGCAACCTGCCTTTGCTCCTCACCTTGCCCCCTTGCGATGCAAGCTCACCGGCTCACCACCTTGTTTGCGAGAAGTTCCTCAAAACCGGAAGCTTTCCTCTTGGCTTCCCTTGCAAACAAATGAGAAGAACTGAGCAAAAGCAGGTGACATGCGGGTTCCCAGCGGGATCCGATCGCCTGCAAAGGGCTTTTCGTGCATCGTATCCGAAGGGAGCCCATTTGTTAGATCCTCATGCAGGGTACCAGGACTGCGGAGCCTCAGATTGGCAGAGTAGCCATTGCTTTAGCCACACTTAAAATCCGCGCAGACGAAGGTTAGTAAGGGATACTCCCAACCAACGAGTGCAGCCGCCTTCGCAATTCCTTGCCTGGCAAAATGGAGTACCATTTTAGTACCCAGGTTTTGATTATGAACCGCAAGGCTCAGATGGCTCCAGCGGCTTGACCCGCCCCTAGGGCCGGGTGTCGGCCGCGCTTCGCGAGCCATGGCGAAGATGCCGCCCTGGGCGCAGCCGCCGGCGGCGCCGGAGCTGCGTCAGAGGCTGTGGGAACTGGGTGCCTCGGCCGCACGGAGCCGAAAACCCCATGGCTTGGAACATGGGTGTGGCTTGTTTTGAAGTTTTTTTTTTTTTTTTTTTTTTTTTTGGGGGGGGGGGTTAAAACAATAAAGGGAAGCTAAAAGGAAGACTGGGACATACCCGGGTGTTCAAAGCGAATCCACCGGAGCTGACCTATTGCTCTTCCCATGTTGGGTTCCCATATTTAGCTATAATTACCCGTTTCTTGGGCGGTTTCAAAGGGAAGCTAAAAGGAAGACTGAAATCCAGCTTAGGTCCAAATCCTGTGACATCTTCGAATCAGTCTCTGATTTCAACTTCCTGCTTTTCCTTCCCCACAACAACTGTCTGCTTGTTTCAGCCCATTCTTTCCTAGCGGTTCTTGGTTTAGTGGTCTCTTCACGCACCTGGGCCTGGTATGGAAACCCAAAGGAAAACCGAAGCCATGTTGCGGGTCTCCAAAAAGAAGACACACCCACCAGGCTTGGTGCTTGGTTGGATGAATTCCTGTTGTGCTCTGATGTTCTTTTCCTTCTTTGCCTCGCTTCGGTCTAGCGCTTGGCACGTGGACGGGGTGGAAGTGCATAAAAAACGCCGTCAATGCTTATCCCTAGCCTTTGGGGCAGAGGGCCTTTTTTGACTACATGGGATTGCCACTTGTGCATTGACATTGATCGCGCCTTTGGGCCCGAACAGTGGGCAGAAACAGGGGGTGAGTTGGCATCCCGGTGCAGCAACAAATTGCTTGCTAGCAAACAGGTTTTCGATTTTGGACGGGAGTGCCACTTGTGCCATTGGCCCGTTCGTTTTTTCCCCCCCGAGCATGAGTGCTTTGACCACAACTTCTTCCAGCCGGGAAGTGAGTTTTACCTCGTGTTTCTTGGGCCAAATCAAGGAACTTGCTGCGACCCGAAAAGAAAACATGTCTATGCCAGTCCCAGGACTGGCCAAGATGCACGAACATGTTTTTGTTTTTTCTTGAGGGACGTCTGGAAAAGAAGCCATGTCGTCCTGGCAAACGTTGATTTTACCGGGTTGTTTTCCCGGTGTGTGTAAAACAGGAAGAGCTTCCATTTGCTTAAATATTTGTTATTTTCCCCTGTTGGTTTTAAAGGGAATCTATCACTACTGGACATTTTTTTACTTTTTCCAGGGGTCTTGACCAAATGGAAGAGAAGGATACTTGGGGACTTCAAGGCTAGCTAGCGCTTCGCGGTTTCTTTGCCGGCTTTCTGAGGCCTGCAGCATCACCAAAAGGCTTTGGAAGGCGGGCTCTTGGATTGGCTGGCGGTGAGACGCTTGAGCCAAGACTTGCTCGGGTGTCACCCGCAAAAGTCGTCTTTGGTGCATTTTGCGAGGGATGTTAGGACTTTAATCAACTTCTTGCCACCTCATGGGTTTTGCATTAAACCACTAGAAGTTAAACTTTGAGCTGGGGAGCAGAAAGCAGCCGAGCCGCGAATTTTCTCATGAACCCCCCCGAAAGGGGACGCCCCTTATTCATCACCCAGTTGTGTACTGCCACATTGGTTCCCAGCAACTGAGTTGGAATGACCCCGATGTCCTTGAAGGGGATCCTCAAACGGTTCCTTCCAAACACCCGGAAGGGTCGCTCTGTACTGAGCACCAGCAAGAAGATGTCCGAAAGAGTTTTTGGGCACAAGCCAGCGCACATCTTCTGGCTTAGCATCTTGTAGCGCCATGGGGAACAGCTGCTCTTCCACAGACGCCAAGCCTGAGTATGAAGCTCTGACAGCGGCTGCTAGCGCCACGGGGCGAAAGAGGGCCGTGCTGGTGGGCATCAACTACGTAAATACCCGGGCGGAGCTGCGTGGCTGCGTGAACGACGTGAACAACATGCAGAAGGTCTTGGTGGAGCAGTATGGCTTCCAGATGAGTGACATCATGATGATCAATGAGGACCAGGACAAGTCACGCTGGCCATACAAGAAGGTGATCCTGGAAGGCATGCAGTGGCTCTACCAGGATGCCAAGCCAGGAGACCTGCTCTTCTTCCACTACAGCGGCCACGGCTCCCAGTACCTTGTCTGCTATTGGGCAACGGATCTTTAGACTTTAACTTTTTGGTTGAAATCATTTGGGGTTTTCCACTAAACCACCAACAAGTTAAACTTTTTTGCAGGGGGGTCAACAGCAACCAAGGTACCAAGTGGACAAGAAGTCAATGCCCGCGGACTGCATTTGCCCTTTGGAATGTATCCAGCAGGAGTGGCCGCAGTCGGTCATCCTGGATACAGACATCCACAAGAAGCTCGGCAAGCCCACCTTGTAGCCTAGTGTTTGGTCGGTTTGTTTCTTTCAAGGTTCCAAAGGTGCGCCCTGTATCCCCAGGTCTTCTCATAGGTTTGGGTGTGCCTTGTTTTGAGGGAACCCTTGTGTTCGTAGTTTCAACAAAAAACGAATGGGAACGAATCTGCATTTTGGGCGTGCCCAACCTCAAAACAGACGACCCGTGTGAGGAACCTCTACGACCCCCTGCCCGCCGGCTGCAAGGCAGTGTGCTTGTTCGACTGCTGCCACTCTGCCACCGTGGCCAACCTTTGCCACCCAGCCCAGCGCACGAACACAAACTTTTCTTTTTCTGTTCTTGCATATTTAGTTTAATAGTTAAAGAATATTTCTTATTTTCCCCTGGTTTTGAAAGGGGATATATCACTATACTTGTTTTTGTCGTTTTCCCCTGGTTTTGAAAGGGGATGTGTCACTATGGTGTTTTTTGAGTTATTTTCCCCGGTTGGTGTTTGGTTTTGAAATGGGATGTGTCTCTACTGGACATAGTTGCCGATTTTGCCAGGGGACTTCAGCAAGTGTCAAGAGTTTCCGTGGGTTCCTACCTCTTATACTTCCACCCTCCCGCGCCTGACAGGAGTTCTAAGGGGAAATTGATCTTCCAGGGACCTGCTAGGTTGGGAGGAAGGGATGGAAGGGTAGGTGGCTAACAGCACTTCTTGAGCTTCCTTTCAATCTGGCGGAAGAGAAGTCGGGAAGCCAGGCGAGACAATGGTCGTGAAGGAGGGCCCCTTGACAGAAGCGGCCAAGCAGAAGCTGGTGGCAAACCTCACGAAGCAGAAGGACGCGCTGGAGACGAAGGCGAATCGATCTGATAAAACCGATCGAAACGGCGAATCGATCTGGGGATAAGGGGTCTCCGATCGCAGGAGGTTCTCAGGCTCCATCCAAAACTAGGTCCCCCAGTAGTGCCCTTTTACCCTTTTTTGGGGGGAGGCTTCCTCTACTGAAATTGACTACAGAAAAAGGGCACCCTTATTCTAACCTCTCTACTGGAAGGCCTAGAAAAAAACATAGAACACATTTATTGACATCCATGGAAGGTGGGGATTTGTTTTGTTTGAATGGGGCACGAGGGGGACCCCAGAACATGTGTTTTGGCTCCTGCTTCCCTGGAAGCCAGCCTGAAACGGTTGCAATTGCCCGAGCACGCATTCAACTCCCGGTTTGTTGCCGATGGCCCCAACCTTCTCCGGGCCGGTTTCCGGGTTTGGGGTTTCACCTATCTTCTCTCAGTTGTCCCAAGCGAATCGACGGCTTAACCTTTTGGTTTTCACATTTGGTCCATACTTAGTCCAGGTCCCAAACGGTGATCAGCTTTCATGTCCAGGTCCTTGCAAATGAGTTCTTGTTGCATATGCTCCACATTGTCATTGGGTTTGAACCATTGGTCCCCACTCAAAACGGTCCGCCTTTTTTTTTCTCCGCGCCTTACCTCGATTTTTTACCCCAACGGAGGTGCGGTTCTTCCAGGAGGTGAACTCGGGCAAGCTGGACATCAAGAAGAAGAGCCGCGAAGAGCTCAACGAGCTCCTGGCGAAGAAGGGCTTCCCCAAAGACGCCAGCGACCTGCGGGACGACGGGTCCGGGTACAGCTACCTCAAGGACCTGGCCATTCAGACCTTGTGCCACGGAGATAGAAAGAGAGGGAGAGAGAGAGAGAGAGAGAGCTTAAGACGCTTAAGCCGCGGCCTTCCTTCATTGATCTTCAGTTTTTGGTCTGGCAACCAGGAAAAAGGTGTGTGCGCGTGTGTTCTTTCTGTCTTTCTTTCTTTCTTTCTTTCTTTCTTTCTTTCTTTCTTTCTTTCTTTTCTTTCTTTCTTTCTTTCTTTCTTTCTTTCTTTCTTTCTTTCTTTCCTCTCTTCGATTGGTTTTTGTTTGTGGGGCGGTGTTCGGTCCAGGTGCAACGAGTCCGTGCAGAAGGCCCAAGGTCTGTTGGACGAGAAGGCGAAGGCGCTGGCGCAAGTGCTGAGCCTGAAGCCCGGCGAGGGCGCCCAGATCTACATCGGAAACCTGGAGGAGGACGCATGGTTGCTGGGAAACCCAGGGATGGTTCATTACCCTCCCCAAAAAGGCGCAACCCCTGGGTTTCAGTCTATGTTGGGTCAAAAAGTGGAACCCTGATGGAGTTAGGAGCCGCTGGTGCCCCAGCAATACTAGGTGCCCCAGCCAGGTGCCCTTTTAAACCCCCTTTTTTGGTTGGGAGATTCGGTTCCCCTACAAAAATGGACTACAGAAGAAAGTTGGTACCCTTATTCTAACCTCTCTGCTGGAGTTGTTTGCTCCCCTTCCAACGTCAACCAAGGATGAGCAGGAGGCTTACAAGGCCAAGGATGGACAGACCAAGGAGGTGGGGAACGTCTCCACAAATTTCTCCCCAAAGGCAACCTTTTGACCTTTTGGGGGTCCAGTTTTTCTGTCAGGTTTTGGATGAGTAACCTTTCCAGAAATAGGGATGTGTAGTTTCCCGTTGGTTTTCCGTATTCAGCAACTCGACGTCAAGGGGTACTCTGTTGCCCAGTGGTGCCCTTTTTCCCATTTGTTTGGGTACCGGTCTTCCTTTAAACTCAACCAACCCCCAAAAAAGGGTGCCGATTCTTTTTTTCCCATGGCCACTGGGGATTTGAGAGTGCCTCCCCACCCAAAAGAAAAAAATCAACCAACCCCCAACAAAGGCTGCCGATTCCTTTTTCCCCATGGAGTTGTTTTTTGTCTGGCACCGAGAGGTCAGGTCTCTTCCATAGCACAAATAAACTACTCAGGTCAATGAAACTCTGCATTCTCCGGAAAAAAACATATTAGAAAAACCAAAAACAAACTCCCCATTTGCAGGGTAGCTCCCCCCCAAAAAATATATATAAAGGGGACGTTGAGGTGAGAATCCGGTACTTCCCACAGCCCCAGATGGATACCTCAGAGGCTCGGGCCAAGCCCTTAGGCACTGGACTACGCGACGTGCTGAGGAAAGAAACTCGCCTTGCCCAAGGCGAATCGACCTTTTGGCCTTTTGCTTCTTTCCCTGTTTGGTGTCCACTGTTTGTTTGTTGCTTTCCTCTTTTGGTTTGTTGGTGTTTGCTTTTAGTTTGTTGGTTTCCATTGGTTTGTTGGTGTCCACTTGTAGTTTGTTGCTTTCCACTTGTTTATTGGTTTCCAATTTTAGTTTGTTGCTTTCCACTTGTTTGTTGGTTTCCACTTTTAGTTTGTTGGTTTCCATTAGTTTGTTGGTTTGCACGTTTAGTTTGTTGCTTTCCTCTTTTGGTTTGTTGGTGTCCACTTTTAGTTTGTTGCTTTCCACTTGTTTGTTGCTTTCCACTTTTAGTTTGTTGCTTTCCACTTGTTTGTTGGTGTCCACTTTTAGTTTGTTGGTTTCCTCTTTTGGTTTGTTGGTGTCCACTTTTAGCTTGTTGGTTTCCATTGGTTTGTTGGTTTCCACTTTTAGTTTGTTGGTTTCCTCTGTTGGTTTGTTGGTGTCCACTTTTAGTTTGTTGGTTTCCTCTTTTGGTTTGTTGGTGTCCACTTTTTGTTTGTTGCTTTCCTCTTTTGGTTTGTTGGTGTCCACTTTTAGTTTGTTGGTTTCCATTGGTTTGTTGGTTTCCACTTCGAGTTTGTTGCTTTCCATTCGTTTGTTGCTTTCCACCCTTAGTCAAGGTCCCAAAAAGGATATATATCTCCTTGGGCCCTTTGGGCTGAGGAAAAGTACACGGACCACCAGCTCTGGGTTTACTCGGGATGCCAAGACGACCAGACCAGCGCTGATGCCCATGCCCCTTGGATGAAACTAGGAACATGGAGTTAGGAGCTTGTTTCAAAGATGGACTGTTTCCCCAGCTATACTAGGTCCCCTAGTAGTGCCCTTTCTCACTTTTTTTTGGGGGGGAGGGTTCCCCTACTAAAATGGACTATAGAAAACAAGTTACCCTTATTCTGAGCTCTCCACTGGAGAACCTAGATAACATTTGTAGCTGACGGATCTTTGGACTTTAACTTTTTGGTTGAAGCACCCACAACGCAATTGGCAGCTTGTTGCCGGGGGGGGGGGGGTAGGGGGCGTCGCTACAGCAACTTCCATTTGCGTAAGAATATGTTTTATGTTGCCCTGTTGGTTTTTAAGGGAATCTATCACTATTGGACATATTCTTTCATTTTTCCAGGGGGCGGAAGCGCAAATGGAAGGCAGGACTTTAACTTTTTGGTTAAAACACCCACAAAACAATTGGGGGGGGGGGTCGAGTCGCTTCAGCAACTTCCATGTGCTTAAGACTATTCTTCATTTTGCCTTGTCGGTTTTAAAGGAATCTATCACTAATTATTGGGTTTGTTTTTAATTTCTTTCAAGGGGCGAACACACAAATGGATCGCAGGACTTTAACTGTTTAGTTGAAACACCCACAAACCCATTGGCAACTTCTTGCAGGGGGAATCGAGTCGCTGCAGCAACTTCCATTTGCTTAAGAATATGTTTTGATTTTCCCCTGTTGGTTTTAGAGGAATCTATCACTATTGGACTTGTTGTTCATTTCTTCCAGCGGGCGAACACGCAAATGCAAAGGCAGGACTTTAACTTTTTGGTTGAAACACCCACAAAGCCATTGGCAACTTCTTGCAGGGGGGGAATCCAAAGGAATCTATCACTATTGGACTTGTTGTGCATTTCTTCCAGCGGGCGAACACGCAAATGGAAGGCAGGACTTTAACTTTTTGGTTAAACCACCCACAAACCCATTGGCAACTTCTTGCAGGGGGGAATCGAGTCGCTGCAGCAACTTCCATTTGCTTAAGAATATTTTTTTTAATTTTACCTTGTTGGTTTCAAAGGGAATCTATCACTATTGGACTTGTTTTTCATTTTTTCCAAACGAGCTTAGGCACGCAAATGGAAGGCCACCAAGCTAAAATCATTCCGTCCCTTTCTCGACTTCGGCTCGGCCAGGTTGAAGGCATCTATCAGGGAGCCTTCACCTGGGCCTTGCTCAAGGCCTTGAAGGCGGATGGCTTTGCGGAGAGCTACCGGGACCTGCTGATCCAGATCAAGGCGAACCTGGAGACCGGGCGCTATAAGCAGGTGCCCGCCCTGTCCACGTGCCACAAGATGTATCTGAACTATGGCTTCTTGGGAAAGAAATAATTCGCAGTCACTGAGTGACCTTTGGCAGTGCGCTTGAAAGTTCGGAGCGCACTAGAACTCGAGGCACGCCGGCATTTCTTAGAGAATAGTGCCTCTCCTGAAGGAGACGGCTCGATGCTGGACTGCCTCGCAGTGCGTTTTTTGGCACTTGGCCACAGGAAGCCAATAGTCGACCTGCCAGGGTTGGGGCAACCCTGCGGGCAAAAGTGCAACTCACGGTGACTTGCATTCTGGGTGCTGAAGTTTGGTTTTGCTTCTGAGTCAATGTCCGAAGGGCTTGACCTTTGATTGGATTGGATTGCGTCGCAAGTGAGGTGTTCGATGACCAACTGCAAGTTCTGCATTTGCCGGGTTCTTCAGCGTGTGTGCGGCGCGTAGCCACAATTTATGTTGCAACACATTGCCGCGCCGCGCCCATTTCCCGGTTGCAAGGCTTGAACCCACTGGGTTCTTTGCGCTGTGTGAATTTGCCGCCGACCGTTTTGCCGCACGGCCAACCCCGAAAGCCTTACACAGGTTGGTCGTGGCGAGAAACTCGCACCCTCCAATCCCCGCGTAAGAACCGCTGAAATGGGAGGGCCTCGGCTTCCCCAGCATTCCTTAAAGGATACCATGCAAAAGTCGCCAACATATACAAGCATTGGGATTTGTATCTGGTAAGACTGTGATGCGTTGCCTGGCTTCAGCTGGTATCCTGGAGCCCTGCTCACACAAAAGCCTGCCTCAAAATAGGGGAACCCTTTTTGGATGGGTTTCAAGGGAAGCCAAAAGGCAGCCACCCGGAGGGGTACCTTTGGAGAAACACCCAATTGTTCTAGGGGTTGATCCCTCATTCTTTTCAACCAGCGTTCTTTTAGAAAACCGGCTGTTTCCCCTGGGTTTTTGATGGTTTCCTGAAAACACGGATCCCTGGAAAGAATGGAACTGGAAGGTACCCCTAGACTTGTCACTTTTTGCTTTGTCAAACGGATTTGCCAACTCCACCGCCCGACAGCCGGAAAGAGGCGTCACCAAGTTCACCGACCAGAGCACGCCAATTGGCCACACGACGCTCTGCAAAGCGCGGGCGCGGGCTCGGGAGAACGCCAGGGATGAGCAGAGGCGCGTCCGGAAGCCTCCCGACAGCGCGCACGCGTGGTGTTTGACTGGGTCCCCCAGCTAGGTGCCCTTCTAAAACCCCTTTTTTGGTTGGGAGATTCGGTTCCCCTACTAAAATAGACTACAGGAAAAAATGGTACCAACTTATTCTAACCGCTCTACTTGAGGACCTAGTTGAGCACCCTTCTCACCTTCAGCTGGGAAGGGGAACACCATTTGCTAGATCCTGGGTTGACACCTGGATGGTTGGTTGCCTCCCTCAGTACTCCCAAATTTCAGGACTTCAGTTGTTTCTTGCATTTGTATAGTGGTATGTGGACCCCATTGACGTTCAGAATTCAAGGAGCCGTGCCCATCCCAAAAAACGGTGTGCCTTCTTTTTTTCTCATGCTCGTATGCATGTGCTTTAGATATTTGTTAGGGTGGCGTGGCGGTGGCCCGGGGAATTTCGTGAGCCGGGCCAGGAGGGATATCCACGCCGAGAACCTCCACTTGGCCTCCCGCCTCAAGGACAGCCTTACGGCTTCGGACAACAAACATGCAGCACCCACTGAGTTATTACGTCAATGAAAAGTCTGTGAAATGCGTTTGATAGAAATGGGATAGCTTGTCCAACAAAAGCCAACACCATGCCTTGACAACGGCTTGGTCATGATCCAGTGCCGGATCATCTTGATACCATTGGAAGGGCCTGGAGGTTGAGGTTTCTTGGTTTTGTCGAAATTATCCACGTGCTTATGAGGAACCAGTTGAGGAGACGGCCTTTGAAGGAACTTTGTGAGTAAGAAACCCTTCCATGGCTTATGGCTTGCACTGGATCTTCCATTTGGGAAATCCCTAATGTGTTTGTGTGTTTGTGTGTCTGTGTGTTAGCTGTACCTATTCTTTGTGTATGGTTGCAACTCAACGGAGGCCAGCTGGACACATTTGGGGCCAGCTTCCCGTCGCTCCCCAAAAGGAGACTACCTGGAGCCTCGCTCCCCAAAAGGAGACTACCTGGAGCCCCCAACATTGACCGAGCAAAACCAATACGCCATGAGAGGGGGTGGACAAGAACCCGGCTCTAGAGCCAACTTCTGTACCAAGGAAACCCCCCTGACTGTGGCATAGCGGAGATGTTTGTGGGTTAAAACCAATGGTAGCATTTTGGGGTAGGTGGGGATTGGGATGTTGACTGGGGATACGATATGGCTTTTGACCCATGGCCAGATGGGCATTTTTTGAGGAGATCGTGCAGAAGCCCGGCACGTTGTCGACGGCGCCACATAGCTTGCAGCGGGAGCAGATGCGAGAGGAGATGCTGCGACGGGACAGACAGATCCGCCAGAAGAACATCCAGCACGAGCTCCTGGGGCCAAGTTGCCATATCGGCTTTACTTCGGAACCCCTATGTGCATCTCCTACATGAATGGCCCAGCAAAGGCTCCCAATCAAATTCCATATATGCCCATATGGGTATGCCTCTTTGGGGAGTCAAAATCCCTGTAACATCCTTGAGTTGCTACATTGGGTACCTTCAGCGACGAGCTCACTGATGGGGTAAAACAGGCTGTGGGCAGTTTTCTCAATGAACCGGTGCCTTGAGTTCAACCCCAATGAAAAGAGATGATGAAAATCCTTAGGTAAATCATGGTAGTAATATTGACCCAACCATTTTTTGCAGTGGTTTGAACCCCAGGGTGCAGATATATGGCGAGCGCGGCCGGAGGGGTATAGTAACCCCCATGGCTAAAAGTGGTGGATTGAACCCCAGGGCGTTTCAGTGGCCACTCCTGTGGTCTCCTGGCAGTTGAAGAGACAAAGATGTCATGTCTTGTCTCGCGAAGCGTGAAGCCTGCCACAGGGCTCGCTTCTAGCTCTACATGTCAAACATGAAACGGGCTGTGTATGCGTGTGAAAACTGCATGTTGTGTCATGCCCATGGTTATCAACTGACTCCCTCATGATGTGTTCCGCAAACATGTCATTTTGAAAGGGGACAGCCCTTGCTGGTCGAAACGTTTCTGCTGCGACATGGCCGCGTCATCCATGGCAGGTTTATCCAGACTTATCCACTCGAATGCAGGTGCAAATGGCAGAGCCTCGTAGGGAGCGCTGAGTCGGTCAGCAGTATCCCCTCCTTTTGTTCTTCTCATAGCTTACCCCGTTCTGATGTTGCCACACTGAAGCTGTGCAGGATTTTTAAGTTGAAGAATCTCCTGCACTTCACCCGCCCTTGATCCTATGTTGCCCTCCACGAACATGGACCCTGGGCAATTGGGCGTTTTCTACTCGCCTGGTCCACTGGTGGGTTCTCTGGGTCTTCGGGCGGGCAATGAGTTTGAAGCTGGCAACCAGGAATCGGTTCCTGGTGCAACGGCTGCTCTCTGTGAAGAGCAGTCTGGATGTTCATGGCCTCGAGAAGGACTATCGCAGGCCATGGTCGCTGGGGTGGTCGCTGGGTTGGTGGGTTGGTCGGTTGGTGGGGCGCACAATGAGAAAACCAGACCCAGCAGAGACAAAGAAATACAATAGATGAGCTTGGAAGAGAAGAACCTGAATAAGACAGCGAGTGTCCAGCACCTCCCCCAGAACCTTCTTGCAGCATTTTTTGCGTTCCTGATCAACCGCCGCCCTTGAACATTATTTACACGGTTTCGGGTGGACCGCTTTAATAAATGTTGATTAAACAAAAGTGAGTTGGTTGTGCCCAAGCGATGTTTTGACCAAACCTGAGCCAACTTGTTCTTTGGGTGCGCAACCTGGTGCCCAAGCCATGCTATCACGACTTGCATGCAAGTCATCGTTGACCCATGATATGCCGTGTTCACAGTCTTGGTAGCTCAGGGTGGTGCGTGCTTCATCGAAAGGCGTAAACATAGCACGCACAAATGGGTGTGCGTCAAAATGGGGGACCGAAGCCACACCCATAAGCTGGTTTCCCTTGCCAACCTGAAAAGGTACTCAACAAGAGCCACACCCAAAAGCCAGGAGTCAGGTCCCATGTCACATCCCCGATTCTGGGGTCCGGTTGACGTCCCTAAGCCGAGAAGGGTTCCCTTCCACCAATTGACATGGAACCTGGTCCTGGTTCGGAAAGTTTCCTAAAACAGAAGAAGAAGAAGAGAACGGTATCAGGTTGCATGTCAACTAGTAGGAGAGGTACCTGTCAAAAATTAGTCCGGCACGCATCTGAGACTCAGGGGGCCTCTCTAGGATTCCCTCGCCCAGGCACCGGAATGAGGTGGGCCGTATGCAACAGCTGCGGAAGAAGTTGCCAAAGCTCCAGGCGATGTCGAGATGTCGAGAATCGGAAAGTCGGGGGGGATGCGGCGGTGGAGGGTTCTGCCTGTTTTCTGATCAGGGGAACGAGCGCAAGCCATGAGAAAGATCCCTTGCTTGGGGGTCCAATTCTTAATTCAGGTTTCGAACATATTGTAAAGTATAACCCTACGATGATTCCCCTGTACAGACCAAGCAACAATGACCCTGCAGCTAGGAAACCTGATGATTTCCCGCGCAAGTATCAACAAACGTTACGGTTTCAACCATGGGTTCCAAGTCACCACCTAAGATTTCCTCTGATGATTTCCCGTGTAAACAACAAACAATAGTTCCACCCATGGTTCATTTCGTGGTGCGAACGCATGTCGTCCATTTGCAGTGGAAGACTGGTACTCCTTTTCGATTTTCCACTCCAGTGTGGCCCAGATCTGGCGACCTCTGGCGTTTTTTTTTTTGTTTTTTTTGTTTGTTTTTTTCCAGAGAGGGGTCCATGTTACGATTTTCACTGCCCCCAACTTCTTGTTTCCCTATGGCCGCTGGAGGTGTGGGGGCCACGCCATGGGTAAGCCATGCGAACGCTATCCTTGATCCCAACTCTCGAAGGGTCGGCGCGTGGCCCGCTCGTCCGTGCAGCTGACGCCTGAAGATCTGAAGCCGCCTTAAGAAACCAGACAGCCAATCTGGTCCAACCCGCTCCAACCGGGGCTCTCTGAATTATGCCCACGATGTGGGCCTCATGGTCGGATCAGAAGGCACGGTAGGCTCAAAGAAAGGGTGGCAAATGGCCAATATTTGTTCTGCCTTGCAAGAATAGATGGTGCAACGAGCGAAAGCCGCTTTGCTTGGACACTCCTTTGAGGTGTTGGAACCATAGCCGAAGGAAGTTGAGTTAGACACTTCCGCCATCCAGCTTTGCTGGCGCATAGCTGGTAAGTCTTGCAGGTTTGTTTCAATATCGAGAATACTGAATTTGGTGCAGTCAAAACAAGGTCCGATCCCGTTGCTGAATGCAAAAGATTGCAAGAACTAAATAAAGTTGATCTTAGACGAGGTCCCCATTGCCCACATTTAAAGCAACCAATTCATGGGGATGGGTTGCTTGTTGCCAGGCCCCGCTCGCGGAAGTCAAGAGTAGCTCCCGCACAAGCGGATTCAGGCAGGATGCTCCGAGTGGATTCGTGGTTTTGAGGGCACCTTTGTCACTTTGGTATAGAGCTACTTTTGGGGTCGATGTAAAGAGAAACCTCACTTGCTCAAAGCGAATCGACCTTTTGACTTTTTTGCCTTTCCTGATTTGGCCCATTTCTAGTAAAGGTTCCTACAGCTTAACCTTTTATCATCTTTTATGTCTGGGTCCGAACTGGGCAAGTGAGGAACTGGTGCCGCATCGACAGTCCATCCGCGGTTCAGGCGTCCGTCCCCATGAAAACCCAAAGCCGGCAAGGCCCAGTCGCCAGCACGCCGCGCTCACGCAGAGCAGCTCGGCGCCGCTGTTGCAGGCGAGAAGCTGGGAGTCACGGTAGCCCCTGTTGGTTTTCAGTAGTTACCTGGGCTGAAGAAAGATGTTACATTGTGGAGGGGGGGGGTTGAATATGGAACAACATCTAGGCATATTATTTCGGAGTACCCGAGGTGTGTGTGTGTGTGTCACGATTTGGGCGAGGGTGGACTGTGGAACTCTTGGTTTTAGGACAGGCCTCGTGGGCCCAATGCGCTATGCCTATAGGTGCAAGGGAAAGCATGCTTACTTTTCGTGGCAACCATGGTAGGACATGATTGCGGTTCGGTATCACAGAACCGGTCATCCCTACAACTGCGCTCCTTTTGGTTTCCGATTTCGAGTGTTGCTCCATGCCATTTTTTTGGGCCGAACCTGGCGGGCACGACCCCTCGAGCCTAGCATTGGCTTGCCAGTTCTCAGCCCGGGATTTGTTTCGCCGTCGTCGGGGATCAAAGCGCAATCATGTTTGGCGAGCGCTACCTAGATGCGATCGCTTTTGTCAGTCACTGTTGCTGGTTTTTGGGGTAAAGTGGATGGAAAAAACAGCAACTGGCAATCCAGCTACTTTCATAGGCCCAAGTTTAGTTTCATAACCAATCGAAACATCCGCTTTTCGATCAACCCTTGGCACATCGGGGCATTTAACCTTGCCTCTGCATTCCCCTTTCAGCCACTTTATGGCTATTTCATGTCGGATCTTTGGACTTTAACTTTTTTGGTTGAAACAGGCCGATTTTCCGGTGCCACAAAAAGTTGAAAACTTGTTGCAGAGGGGTCTCTCGCAACCAAGTCCCGCAAGAAAAAGCAGAACGACTGGCACACGCCAAGCGGTTGTCTGCAGGCCCTCCCGGGGCGCCTTGCCCCTTCGAACGTGCCCAACCAGGCGCAGAAGGGCAGACCAATCTTAGAACCATACATGTGTCGGATGTCCCATCCGAGCCCGGTAAAATCATTCAAAATCATGCAACATCCGGTTAAAACATCGCCTGGGCCAATTGTGGCTGATTTCTGTGGCTATTTGGGATCTCTGTTGAGAATATGTTTGTTTTTTTGGGTTCAGGTTCCGTTGAATACGGGGGGAACTGTGTGTTTGCTGCATCTGCCCGAGAATTGTGGTGATCTAGCCCGTGTCGTCGCGCACCCCTGTCCCTGTCCACCTAACCCACTCTGTTGGCACAGTCGGCCAACAGCTTCCATTTGGTTTACCTTTTCTTGGGAACCCATGATGTCTGAATTCGGCCCAAATGCAAAATCATGTTCTCTCAAAGTGTGTCCGCTCAAGCAAACCGCGTAATAAGTTTTGAGTGGATGCTACGAAGTTCTCAAGTCATTTGTTGCATTTTTCTTGATGGTTATTCCAACTCTTACTCTTATTCACTACTGTTGTCCCAGTTGCCCAAAGCCAACCGTTTGACCTTTTGGTTTTCCTTGTTTTGGTCCATACTTAGTCAGTCATGGCCCCAAAAGGTGATCACCTTTTAGTCCCTGAGTTGTTCTTTCTTTCCATACTTATTTTATGATCTCAGGCCGTCGCCCGGTCTCCGGTGTCGAGCTCCATCGAGTCCGAGGCGGAGACCGGGAGACCAGCGGCAAGGGCCTGTCCTTGGGGTAGACTTAGGATACATTTTACATTTTCATGGTTGTTGTTGGGAAACGGCTTTTACATTCTTTTGCTTATTGTGGTTTAGTGGTTGGAATCCCTACTTAACCGCTAAATTTATTTTTTTGCTCCCCTTCCAACGTCAACCAAGCTTGACCAGTGACTCAAAGTGAAGCAAACCATAAAAAAGTCATTTTACTGGGCCAAACTCTACTCATTCTTTGTTTGGCTTTGGGGTGAGGAATGAGCTCAGGTGATATCCCTAATTGCATGCGGTGCTCTTTTTAGTGCTCGCACCACCCCATCCAACCCTCGTGGAACCCTGGCGGCCGTGAGACCCCAAAGCTTTCAGCTGTTGGGGAAAAACTACCTGACCAAAGGGGTGGCAGCTTACAATACTCACTTCCTGAGTGCCTGGACTTTAAAGTTTTTGAGAAAACCATGTTGGTGGTAAATAAATGTGTCAACTTTTCCCGGCCAATCTACTCGGGAAGTGAGGAAAAATGGAGCCACAAATTTAGGTTCAAGAGGTTTCCACTCGTGAGTCACCAGGGGGATTTCCTAGGCAATAAAGTAGTGTTGGGAATCCGTAATCCACCACTTTGGTATCACAGAAGATGCGATTTTCCGTGACCGTGTGGAGTTCTAGATCGGGGAGGATTCCCGCAGGATTCCCCAGTTGATGTTTCTGAATTTTGCTTGAAGCTCTGGCTGCAGTTGAGCTGGGTTCAAAGCACTTTGGACCGCTTGAACGGGGGTGGTTACAAGGGCCCCATGCAATGTGGCGGCGCAAGGCCACACCACTGTGTTTCGCAAGTGGTGCGCCGAGGGTGATCACGTAAGCTACCCTGCGCTCGCGCAAGCTCGCGTAAGCACCTCGGTGTAAGAGTTGCTTCTGGATTTGAACAGGTTTTTTGAAGCAGGCCTGGCGCTGAAGGCTTGCGGATTTGGGCTTCCGAGCTTAAGCCAAGTTGCCGGCCGCAGTGACACCCTGCATGACACGGCTACTCAATTTAGCTGGTGTCCATTCTGCTCAGAAGTGGCCTTTGGGGAAGCTGTTGACCGCTCATTACGAGGGGACCATTCACACACCTCAGCATCTCGGCCTGTCCAGAGCACGGTGCTTGGCTTTTGTATCCGAACTTGTGGCAAGTCGTAGTTCCTATTGTGAAGCTTGGCACTGTGGCTTGGGTGGGTATTGGGTGCGGTGAAGACGCGGATGTGGGTGCAGGTGTGGGTGCAGCCAAGTCTGCCTCCAGAACACAGTTCTTCCAAACTGAAGCCATTTTGCGACTGAAGCTGAGCAACTTCGCATCAATAATGATTGCTCGGTTTGGTTCGAGTTTGCAAAACTTCGAAAATTGAGTCTTTGTACTTCAAGTCGCTGGCCACGGGACATTCAACATGCTGCTCATCCTCCTTGTCAAATGAGCAGCGCCGAAACGTTCGAACGTGTGGGCAGTCTAGTGGGTTCCTGGCTTCATGGTGCTCGTTGGCCTATTAAAACCTTGGGTTGGATCTTTAGACTTTAACTTTTTAGATTGCACTCATATTTCCTTTTAGCCAGCAAACAGTTTAGCTTGTTGCTGGGGGATCAAACCTTGGTAATCATGTTGGGGCCAAAAGTCTGTGGGTTTGGGGGGGGGGGGGCCGCTCCGGCAGCGTGCTTGCGCACACAGTCACACAGTGGCCAGCCGTACGCACAGGACCACGCAATATAACATAATTGCACCCACGATTGCCGATCTCGTCATGTCTTTTGCGGCTACTTTAGGTGGCCCTCCGGTCCCAATCCTTAAACGTGAACATTTCCAAGACATGGCAGACTAGGAATCAGAAGTGGCTTTTTTTGTTTGACTGGGTTTCAATTTCACCATCAAAGTGGGCCAAGGCGATGGCCAAACCGAACTCGAGCGACATTTTCGCAGGCCGAGGTCAATCCCTGCCTCAATGTCATCAAACCGCGCGAGGCCTGAAAAAAACGGGCCCAGGTGAATGGCGTAGGGTTGCTTCCGCTTGGAGAGAAGAGGCCATGAATGTTGATAGGTAACAAAAAAAACAAACTAAAATGTATGCTTGGGGGCATATATAAGCCGCCAAGTGTCCACGACAAATTCCCCAATGAGTTTCTCGGAAAACCCCGCTGGTGGGTCGAATGGGTCGGAGCCCACATGGGTGTCCTGGAGGTTGGCTTTTCGGCGGCCCAGTCGCCAGCTTCCGGGGGCGAATGATGCGGGCCGCGCGTCGCGTTGTTGAGAGCCAACGAGGGCCGTCTTGGGGGCCAACGACATCTGGATATCCCTTTGAAATGGCGGTGGCCAGCTGTCCGGGTAGGGTTTTGGGCCTTTGCTTTGTTTCATGCTTGGGTTTTTTAGCCCACTAAGAGTTGTGTTTTTTTTGGGGGGAGGGGATCAGTTTGGACAGCCCAGCTTTCTGGAAGAAGCCCTTTTTCTCACCAGCGCCACATAGTCTACGACATAGTCTTTTGTCAGTTGTCGGGGGGGGGGAGAAATTTCCAAGAAATGCAAGGGGGCCCGGGTCCCATGTTTTCCCATGAACACATCTGTATGTCCTTGTTGCTCACATTTGGATCCTGGTGATTGCACTCTTGGATCGCATGGCTGGATTTCAGATTTCTCATTTTGACTGCCTGGGATCCCCGCACCCATACAAATGGGGGGGGGGTGACCGCAGTTCCACTTGTGGCTCCCGGACTGCTGGAAGGTGGCAGACGCGACCAAGGAGACTGACTCAGATGGAATCTGCGAAAGACGCGCATATCAGGCGAGCAGATTGGTGCGGCCTTTACTTTGCTGGGTGATTGTTTGTGAGTGGTTCGACCCGGCTGCCTTCGCAGCAAACGGGCACGGAAGGACCTGTCACTCTCTGATTTTTCGGAACACATAAGGCCGGTTTCTTGATTCTTTTGTTTCAGCCGTCGGAAGTCCAAGCCGGGCATTGCTAGTTAACTCGTTTCATGGGAGCACACCCCAAAACATGTCACGTATGTTCCGACAGCCACCTTCCATAAACAGCTTTGCCTTGTGGGCTTGCACCGCTTGCCCTGCACGAGGAGGACGTTCCTGCCTACGTGGCTGCGTTGCTGCTGAGATGCCTGGCCCTGGAGGCCGTTTGGGTCGTCCATGCGTGCAGGGTGCAGCCAGTGAATTGCAGCTCAACACGGGAGCCTTTCTGTCAGGAAAAAAAAAGGTGCATGTTTTTTTCTTTGGCGCTGTCCCCATTATCCTAGTCTGTTTACCTCGGCGCTCACCAAGAGGAATCAGTGGTCAGTTTGGGGTATGCTTTGTCAATAAGGGTGAGGGAGAAATGCATGTTGCAATGTTGCCGCCAGCAAGTGTTGCCATAGCTGCTATTCGGCTCCGCTCAGCCTTTCCTTGCAGGAAACGCCAGAGCAGGCTGCGCATGAACAAGAGCAGGCTGCGCCAGAGAAAGCTGCGCAAGAACGGGAGCCGGCTGAGCCAGAGCAGGCTGAGCCAGAGCACGCTGAGCCCGAGCAGGCTGAGCCAGAGCAGGCTGAGCCAGAGCAGGCTGCACAAGAACAGGAGCAGGCTGAGCCAGAGCAAGCTGAGCCAGAGCAGGCTGAGCCAGAGCACGCTGAGCCCGAGCAGGCTGGGCCAGAGCAGGCTGCACAAGAACAGGAGCAGGCTGAGCCAGAGCAAGCTGAGCCAGAGCAGGCTGCGCCAGAGCAGGCTGCACAAGAACAAGAGCAGGCTGCGCCAGAGCAGGCCGCGCCAGAGCAGGCCGCACCCGACGTTGGAAAATTGGTCTTTCACAACTTACAAAGCTTAGCGTAGCCCGTATGGTGCTCTCAATTGGCTGCATTTTGAGCCCGTCCCGGAGTCCCTTGTTGAAGTCTTAGCTTTGTCTGGCCAAACTCCTCTGAGGGAAGGCACGCGTTTGTTTGGGAGCAAATCAGTGAAGCAGTAAAGCCCAAGTTGATCAGGGGTGGGCCGCGCCCATTTAACAAATTAAGCGGACGCCTTCAATTTAAGAGGATGACATCGCCAACTTGAATTGTCGGGGTGCGTGAAGTGTAGTATGGCTGGCTTGGAAAATAGCAACATATTATCAAGGCAACGCAATGCAACAGTGTAAGCAAGCAAGACAACGTTATGTCGGAATGCTGGAGCGGCAAAAGGGGTTAACCCTTTTGGAAAGTTCTGCAGCTGTATTTTGTGGGAGCCAGACAAAGTGAGTTCGCAATCCTCGACTGCCTCTGCTGTGTGAAAGGAGGTTCCGTTACATGCTAATGTGAACCACGGATACATAAGCCCCTGGTTGATTTTGATTGGGGGGTGTCCCATTTTAGTGGTTGGATTCAGACCACTTTTGGAGGGGTCCCCACCCCCCTAATTTACGGGACGGGTTCTACTTAGATCCTGCGTCAACATTAGGAGCGGAAAGAAAGCGTGAAGCTTACTCCCTCAGGCTGGTCGAATCGAGCCTGGCCCCTCTTTTTGTTACCCTAGTTTACCTTGAAAGGTTCAAAGTGCTGTGACAGACAGGGGCAGCCCGGACCAAATTTCAAACTCTATTCCCTTGATCTTCCAGGACCCTGGAAAAGCAGGCCTCTGGCCGAATTTGGAGCCAAGATGAAAATCAAGAGGGGCCCTGGTTTTGCGGGTCCTTGGAAGACCAAGCTTGTTGTTTGGGGCCAAAAGTTCCTGGACTCTTCTGCGACGTCCTTCTTCTCGCAGGCCCCCGGGTCTCCCGCCCACGTTTTCACCAATCTGGCGATGGAGGTCATCCATGAGCTCACCTCGGAAGCGCCGCGGACGGCAGTTCAGCCATCAAAGCCGAGGGAGCCCCAGAAGTTGGTGTGCTGTTTGTTTTGGATTCCATTTGGAACTATCCAGGTCCCCCAGTAGTGCCCTTTTTGAGCCCTTTTTTGGGGGAGGGTTCCCCTACTAAAATAGACTACAGAAAAAAAATGGTACCCTTGTTCTAACCTCTCTACTGCCGGACCTAGTATCCCAAAAAGGGTACCGTCAAAAAAGACACCCAGGTGAAGGGCACAATGAATAGGTGCGGGTATCCGCCCTTTCAATGATTCACGCGGCTTTGGGTAGACCACTGGACAACCAGATCTTGATAATGATTCGGATCAGCTTGGTTGGTTTCCTTCTGATTAACTGCTTGTTCTGATTGATCCAAGAGAGATGAAAACTAAGGAGGCGCGCGTGATAAGGAGCCGCTGAAAATGCGTCATGCTTCCAACGATCGGTTCATTGGGTGAGCCGAAAATTGGAGCCACATACCCTCCCCCAGACTAACCTTCCCCAGAATTAGCTCCCCTTCTTGCTTTTTTGCTTTTTTTACATGGAAGCTCCCAGGACCTGTGTGGAAGACTTGGTTCCATCAGCGGCCTTCTGAAAGCTTCCGGCTGTTAGTCTGAGGGAGTGTCGCAAGCGCGCAGGCGCCGCGAAATACCAGCTTGGCGGCGGAAGTGGTCCACGACTTGACGGCGGACGCGCTTGCGGCCCTGGACGAAAGGGTGGCTGGGCCGGCAAGAGGAGAGGCGTTTTCGAGGGTGTCCGGCCCGGAAAGGCGGAGGTTGTTTTCCCTCCATGTGCTGAAGAACGTGTTTTTTTTTTTTTTTTTTTTTTTTTTTAATGTTCCCTTGTTGGTTTTAAAAGGAACTCATCACTACTGGAAATAGCTTTTTTCCTGGGGCCTTAACCAAATGGAAGTTTCCGAGCTCACTGCTTTTTTTTGTTTGCTGGGTGCCGAACAAATGTCACTTAACCTGGGCCGGAAATTCCAGGGTTGCCATGGAGATGACTCGGTATTTGTTGCCTAGCACCCGCTGACGCGGGTTTTTTGCGGGGTTCCACCACCTTTTTCGCCACACACATCCCCTCTCACGGGCTCCGGAGTGGTTTGCGAGTCTCGAGATCCCCAGCGGGGGGGGGGATTTCGAGCCCAGATCTCCATGGCCACCCATCTTCCTGAATACAGGGCTCCTTAAAAGATACATTTTGCCCATTTGAAACATGGCTTTTTCCACCAAAATAAAGGGAAACCACCATTTACAAGGCAATGTTCGGGTGTATAATGTAAGGATCCCTGCTGAAGGTAGGGATCTCTCGAGGCAATGTCGACCGCCACCAGCTGGACAGTGCAGTTCAACTCCACCATGGAGTCCTTCAGGTGATGCGTTGAGCCTATGTCGGTTGAGGGGCTCGGTGAAATCCAGCACCCGCTGAACCCAAAGCCATAACCGCGACACGCGGGGATTTTGGGCGCAATCCATTGATGTTCGCCAGGGATTCTGACAAATGATAAGGTTCACAGGTGGATATCGGCCATGTTGGGCTTCTCGTTGGAGTTGGTGGGCGAACAAGGCCAATGTTACCACTCGGTGCTGGAGCAAAGTGCAGGCAGATCGGCCGACAAGCCCTGAGCACAGCTTTTTTCTTGGCTCGGGCTTTCGCGGCGCGGTCGCCCGGGACTGCGGAACACCTCGGAAGCCACTTTTGCAGTACTTTACCGTCTGTCTTGACTGTTGTTGGGTTGAATCTTTAGGCTTTAACTTTTTGGCAAATCAAGGGGTTGTCCACTAAACCCACAAGTTAAACTGTTTGCAGAGGGGTCACCCGCAACCAAGTCTAGTGTTCTTTGATTTTATGTTTAGCTTGTCAGGCAAGGAGCGGTCCAAACGTCACATTGCGAGCGCCGATGTTGGATTCCATGACCTTGCGAACGGCTGAATTTCCCGTCTAAGACGGGAAGGGTGGCAGTATGAGGCTCTTGACTCTTGACGCGGGAGAAAAGCCTGGATTGTGACCGGGAGTGCCAAGATCTCCCCTTTCGGCTCATTTGAAGGGGAAATGTCAGCTGGCCCTCCAGCTACCGGTCCAATAGCGGCCGGTCACCTGAGCAATCACCGGTCGCAAAGGGACTCGAAGCCTTGCTTCCATTTGCGTTGTTTTTTGGGAAAAATATATTTCGAGTAGTCATGGTTGTCGTTGGGAAACATTTTGCATTTTTGCTTATTGTGGTTTAGTGGGACATCCCCACTTAACTGCTAAAATTTATTTTGTTGCTCCCCTTCCAACGTCAACCAAGTAGTGATAGATTCCCTTTAAAACCAGCAAGGGAAAATAAACAATGTTCTTAAGCAAATGGATGCTTGAAATAGAGAGCAGCACACGGGAAAACCCCGCGATTTGAGGTGCAAAATCCGAATGGCCCGAGGTGGTTTTGGGATGTATCCTTCAACAAAAACGCGCCAAGGCACTTTGTTCTTGGATGTATCCTCAATGGCTTCCCTAGCAATGCAACACACAAACCCTTGAACCCCCTTAATATATATATATATATATTATATATATATATATTTGTATCTATATATGTATATACAAATGGCAAGAGAGGATGGGTTTTCCCTTTAAGCACAAAAAAGGGGTGTCCCCCCCCCAAAAAAAAAAAGGACAAAGAGGAACACACAAGCAGATATGTTTTTCCTGTTGCTTTCCCTTCACCCTCAAAACAATAAGACACCCCACCGCAATCCCTATCCCCCCTCAAAAAATCGAGTTCCTGGTATTTCTCGCCCATTGTCCCTTTTTCAGGCATCTAAAGCTGGTGGACCCCACAAAAACCCCCCACCTCTGCCTCCGAATCTCCGCCCGCCTATCGCCGCAGCTGTCGGCTCGGCGGCCTCGCGATGCCGGGGGCCCCGAGCAGCGCCGCGGCCCAGGCGGCGGCGGCCAAGGCCCAGGCGGCGCAGCGCGCCGAGGCCCAGGAGAGGCTGAAGCGCCGCTCGGGCGGTGACGGCGCGTGGGGGGAGCGCGCGGACGGCGGGAGACCAGGGGGAGACGCGGGGGAGACGGGGGGGGGGAGGAAAGCTGGGCCGGTTTTGTTTTTTTTTGTTGCCCGGTGTTTTCGTCCTTTGAAGGGAATTTGGCCAGGCACCATTAAAGAGGGTTTTGACCGGGGGTTTAGGGGATTTCCGCATTTTTTTTTTGGGGGAGGGGGAGAGGGGAAAGAGATACTGACCGCAGGTTTCTCAAACCTCCCCCTCCAAGAAACATGGGTGGCCCTGTGGTTCTCTTTTTCAATCTCCTATGGCTTCCTTTGAGTCGGATCCCTAGGCCGTGTTTTCTTGTCCTTTGCATCCAGGGCAAGCCATTTTGAGGTTACCCGATTTTTGACAAGCCTGTGATAAAACTAGCCCAAATCAAGTCTCGGAGACCCTAAAAAGCTCCTTGAAAAGCCCCCCCCCCCCTTGGATTCTGTTTTCCTGGTGGTTTCCCTTTACCACTAGACAAGGGCTGCCCGCCCTTATGGCTTGGAACGGATCTTTGGACTTTAACTTGGTTGAAGCTAGGCCGGATTTCCAGGTGGGCACACAGAAAGTCGACAGGTCAGCAGCAGGCCAGATGAGGCTCTCGTTTTTTGAGGGTAGTTATTCTTTTGTGTGACTTGGTTAACGGAACACCAAAGAGGCTGCCCCGGTTTTGAGACACACTCACATCTGTTTTTCTCATTCTGGTTGGCGACGGGCCAGTTTCAGATGTTTTTTTGTTTGGGGCCGGGGGGTGCTCGGCCTCTAAATTCAAAAGCGACTCCCGCAAAATGACACATGACCTATATCTCTCCAGGATCGGTGTGTGTGTGTGTGTGTGCTTGCTTGCTTGCTTGCTTGCTTGCTTGCTTGCTTGCTTGCTTGCTTGCTTGCTTGCTTGCTTGCTTGCTTGCTTGCTTGCTTGCTTGCTTGCTTGCTTGTTTGCTTGTTTGTTTGGTGCGCTTTGATTTCTTTGTTGAAAGCAATGAGGTCCTCCTCGCACTTGGCTTAACTTCATGTGTTTCGTTTGTTTTGCGTCTTTGTTTTTTCTCGTCTCTGTGTGTTTGGGGGGGCTGTTTCATTCCGCACATGTGAGTCGCAGTTGTTTGTTTTTCTTCCGCTGAGTGAGGCGAGATAGTGGCTGCGACCTGCTATCCCAATGAGGCGGCGGACTATTTCCAGGACCGTACGGGTTGGTTGCAATTTTTGCCCACCCCAGGCCCGTTGGAAAGGAAACCAAAGAGGTCGTTTGTTTTTACAACCCTTTGTATGGTAGCAACACACTTTGTTTGTTGCAGCCCCCCGAACAGAACCAACACGCCTGAAAACCTGCAAGCTAGCTCAGTTGTCCCAGACCTTACCTTTTGATTCTCTCATGGCGCATGTTTAGTCGTCCCAAGCTTGACCTTTCAAAAACCAGGTCCCGAAGGGGCATGTCAGTTCAAAAGTTGCCCAGTGGCTTCCGCCTTCTTTTTTCAACTTCTTTTTTGGGGAGTCCCCCTGTAAAGTCACCCAAGCAAGAAATTCGGACGCCGATGAGTTTTTTTCTCCCATGGACATCCACTGGGCCTCTGAGAATTGTGTTTTTTTGTGTTACCCTCCCCCAGGCTAACATGGAAGCTCCAGGACCCGTTTAGAAGACTTGGCTCCATCTACAGAGGCTTTTTGGGAGGTTCCATGTTCGTCTGAGAAAGGATGCCCTTTTTCCCCATGGAAATTTACTGGGCATCTGAGAGAAAGTTTTTTTTTTTTTTTTTTTTTTTTAAATATATATATATATATATGTTAAGCCATCTTCTTCACCGAGCCTCCTTCGAGCCCACCGCAACCGAGGAGCGTTATGCCCACCGCTTGCGCTGGGCGCACGCGGTGAATTCCCAACGCCTGCTGCGAGCGGCTTTGACCTCGAACTCCCACTTTATTGAGGCAGGGTTGGTGCTGAAGAAGTCTGAGGGATTGCTTCGCAGTGCTTCGCTTCCTGAGGTCGGACTTTAAACTCTTTGGGCTGCCAGTTGAGTGGAATTTTGCACTAAGGTCCAGCCTTAGCATTCTTTGGCGCATGTTGCTTACTCATGGGTTTTCCGAATTAAACCTTAAGCTTTTAGCAGGGGAGCAGAAAGCAGCCGAGTATTGAGGCAGGGCTTTAGGTATCCCTTAGTTGCTTGGTGGCTCCCAGCCATCCGGTTCCTTAGCTTCTAGCCTTTAGTGTTTAGTGGGGATGTCCATTTAACCCACTAAAAGTTAAACTTTTAGCAGGGGATCTGAGGGCAGCCCAGGTTGGTTGTTGACCCAGGATCTAAGTAGAACCTGTCCCATTATTAGGGGGGTGGTCTGAATCCCCACTACAAGGGGACACCCCCCCTATTAATCAACTATTAATCAACCAGGGGTTAACATTAGTTGGTGATTTGGGTTCGCGGTTTGGGGATTTGAAGCCCTGGCTCTTGTAGAGGGTCGATTGGAGTCCCTTAACCACCAAAGCACCAATCCAAACCACCAATTAGAGGCAAGCTGAGGGCTCGTGCTGAAAAAGTATTGGAACGAAGGTATTGTTTAGCTTCCCTCCTTTACTCGCTTTCTGAGCTCTGTTTCGGACTTAGCAACTTTTTGGAAGGCCATTTGAATGGTAAATAAAATGTCCCCTCGAATTCCAAAGCACATAAAAAAAGTCCTTTGTGATAAAGCACATTGATGGGGTCCAGAGCACATTTTTGGGTTTACAAAGCACATTTTCGAGAAGATGCCCTTTTACCCCTTTTAGAGCGGTTTTCGGCCGCGTGTGCGTACTGAGCACTGCTTTTCACACACTTCCTTTCATGACTGACTGCGCAAACAAAAACATGCGTTCTAGAGGGAAAAACACGTCCTTCCTATGGGTTGTCTACGGGTTGTCTACGGTTTGTCTACGCCCCCTTTTTTCTGAAGTAGAAATCGGTGGAAGCTCAAATCACCTGTTTTTTTGGGTACACTGCTCGTTTCGTTTGAAACTTGGCTTGAAGTAGTGATGAAACCAGTTCCGCTGCAACACGTGGGCCATGCAGGGTCATGAGCAGGTGAACCTAGCGGGCCCAAGATTAGAGACATTCAGAGACCCAAGAGCCCTTCCCAAAAACGTTCCTCGAGTTCCTGGAAACGTCCTTTGCCCAGAGCAAACAAAAACACGTCCGAGGAAGTCTAGTAGGGTGTGTCCAGCCTTTCTTCGGCCAATCCGCTCAGAAAGTGAGTTTATGGCTGTTTGGTAACGGATCTTTGGACTGAATGACTTGTTGGTTGAAACAGGCGGGATTTTCCAGTGGACCCACACAAAGTTGAAAGCTTTTTGCCGAGAGGTGAATAGCAACCGAGCCTCTACTCCATGGTTGTCGTTGGGAACCATTTTACATTTTTGCTTATTGTGGTTTAGTGGGAAATCCCCACTTAACTGCTAAAATTTAAATTGTTGCTCCCCTTCCAACGTGAACCAAGACTCGGTGCTTTGGATTGGAGATTTGGTGGTCCCTCTGGAGGGTGTTGCTGCATTGTGGGGTTCAGGGTTGTGGCTCATTGCCGGAAGTCGTGGTTTTGTTGTTTCCAGGTTGTAGCAGTGCCCCTTTCAATTCAACCAACAAAGGTGGGAGCTTTATGCCATGGCCACATGTTGGTTAGGCCATTAAAAAAATGTATGTAAGCGACATGTCTAAAAACGATGGGAATGGTATCGCAGGTTAAGGGATAGATTCTCCACCACGGCCCAAGGGCTTGCTGGAACAAACAAAGCCCAACCAGTGGATGGTGTTTTTTTTTTTTTTACATTTTCTTGGGAAGGGATTCCCTGCAAATGGCAGTGTGGCTTCTAAGAAGGCAAGTCGGGTCTCGCGATCACCCTACCAGTGTGCCTTTCTCCTGCACCAGACTTCTTCAAAACGTTGTTTCTCGTCTTCGAGGGGTTTCCATCAGGTTGTCGTGCATTCGGCTCGATTTCTTTCCTTTCATAGTTTCACTCGTGATCAGGTAGGGCTGACACTCGAAGTACTGTTTCAGTTGAAACTGTCAGTTGAAGCATGTGGACATGTTTATGTATATATATATATATATTTAGCCATACCTGGTACCATTTTGGGGTTTTCGGTGCACCACCCATTTTAGAACCTATTTCAGTGGGGATTGGGATGTTCACTGGGGGTACGTTTTTTAATTGAACCAATTATTTATGTTTTTGTTTAATGGAAAATAGTCCTACATTCCCCCCTCTAGGTGTTTTTACTTAGCCATACCCATGGTTCAAACCGCGGACGCTGGTTCCACGTTTTTCAACGCTTAGGCGGATGTCTCGGCCGGGCCGCTGATCGAAGAGAGGGACGGCAGGAGGGCGGCCTCCGTGGTGCAAACCTCGGTGAGGACGGCCTCGAGCCTCGGTTTCCATAGAATCCTTAGCATAGGTGTCCATTTTAGGTGAGCCTGGTTAACAAACATGGCACTGGTTTAGATGGGTTTCGTTTCATTTGCTAGGGTCATTAATTTTTCCAAAAGGCCACCTATGATCCTTAGACTTGTATTATACCCTGGGAATACAGCCTCTGGGTATTGACCCATTTAGGCACATTTCCGGACAGAACCGTGTTATTTTGAAGCATTCTGGGTCAGTTCCCAAGGGTGTAATCCCAGGGTGTACTACAAAATCTCAGATTTGGTGAGGACCTAAAAGCTCCTTCTGACCATTTTGTTTTAAATGACCCTTTAAACATGGGGACATTACCAGGTTTCACCACATTTTTTAAAAATGACCCTTTAAACATGGGGGACATTACCAACTGTTTCTCGCCTGGCCCTTTACAAAATGGAGAGTCATTCCCCAAAAGAAACAAAGAAAGGGGCACCTCCATTTTTGAAAGGTGGAGACGCCAGGTAGAGAGATTTGGGCTTGTGTCAAGTTTCGGGGATTTGCAGAATGGTTGGTTGTGCCCGGAAGAAAAAAGGTCCGTTTCTGAAATGTCCGGGAAACCCTTAAAGCCACTAACAACATCCAACACCCGGATTAAAATCGCAAAAAAAACCAGCCAAAAACGGGGTTAAAATCACCAAACATCAAAATGCAACAAAGACTTGAAATATCTAGGCACGGCAAACTCAAGCCATACCCTCACCTCCTGAGTTCATTGACTTTAAACGTTCTTCTTCTTTTTTTTTGGAGGGGGGACCAGTCTAGTGGTACACAGAAAGTTCGGACCTTTTTCGTGCCACTCGGGATCAACGAAGCGCCTCAGGGACCTGCCGCTGATCATGGCCCACTACCCCACCCAGCGCTCCAGCGACCTCTGCTTCGAGCACTTTCTGGCAGCGGTGCTGAAGCACAACGCCCAGGCCGCTTGGCGGCGTTTTAGGCGCAAGCCGCATGACAGCCAGGGGTCCCTAGATGAGCCTTTTCGATAGTGTTTCTTGGTGGCTCCCAGCCATCCATTCCCCTAGCTGGCTTAGTGGTAGTTTCCATTTAACCCACCAAAAGTCGAACTTTTAGCAGGGGATCTAAGGGCAGCCCAATGTTGAACATCACATTTGTCCATTTGAGGTGAGCTTCCCTTCATAAAGCTGCTGTTTTGAGATGGGAAATCCTGTGGGCAAGACCATTTTTTGTTTTAGTGGTTGTCCAACCCATGGTCATCCCATGTAAAGGACCTTTTGATCAACCCTCACATGAAAGCCACATGAAAGTCACATGAAAGCACTGATGAATCCGGCCCCCCTTTTTGACCACGAAAATAAAATAAACGAGTAATCTAGTGGGAGAGTTACTTGTCTCGCTTTTTTCAGTGGTTGGAGCGGCGTCCAAGACCGGCTCCGATTCGCGGTTTGAGTAGATGAGAGTAGGAGCTTCTACTGCCTGGTGTTAAACCTTTGTAGACATGCTGGTAGAAGCAAAAGTAAATGGGTTTCGGGTTCTGCTCACAGATGAGCCACTGGCAATATTGTTACTATGTCTATTGATGGCTGGAGCGAGAAGGAAGAAACAACCCCAAGTTTCCCACTTTAAAACCAGGCACTTCGCTTTGGTGCATGTTGCTTGTAGGACTTTAACTTTTGCCAACCATAATGGGTTTTCCGTATTAAACCACTAAAAGTTCGTCACTTCTAGCAGGGGAGCAGAAAGCAACCGAGTCTATTAGAATGGTTTGTGAGCCCGCTAGCCTCAGGTTGACGGCGACTTTGAGGACGAAACGCCTTCCAGCCCGAGCAGAGTACCCCAGCGCTCTCCCTTTTCCGAGCCGGTGATTCATGCCGAGCATCAGGACTGGCAGACTGGGAGGTGCTCCGTAGGGTTGTTGGAGCGAACCCAGGGTCCCCTTAAAGCAAGCCACAAGTGATGGTTTATAGGGGAATGACCATTCCCACATTCCCTACTGAGCACCAGCAAGAAGACTCCCAAACGGTGACGTTGCCGCATGACGGGGTTTTGCATGCTCGTCGTTTTGGCGTTTTGGCCCTACCACTGGGGTCATTATTTTGACGGTGTTTGGGGGGTTGTCAAAGTGAGTAAATGGGGTTGTTTCCCTTTAACCCACCACTTCGGGGGTGAGTTTGATCATGGTAAAATAATGAGGTCAGTACCGAAAGTTTCGGATATTGTTGGACTGTGGGCCGCGGAAGTGTGAACCCCTTGACTGATATTAGAATTTGGGCTCCCCCCCAACATGGAAGGCTTAGCCAATAATCAAGCTGCAAAGTGAACTGCCCCATCCTCCCCCGCGGCATGGAGTGCAGCGGGCTTCCCACGTTGTCGTTGAGTGCCAAGTGGATTCGCGGAGCAATTTGGCTGCTAGTGCGTTCCCTTCCCTTCTCAGGCCTACCGTTCAAAGAGCCACAGTCAAACCCAGTCTTCGCATGGTTTTCGGGTCCTCTTCACAACCAGGTGTTGGTTGCAACTCATCAAAAGGGGGCTGGCAGCAGTCAAGCAGCTGAACCTATGAAAGCTGAGTAAGCAGCTGCTTGCGACTGGCTCTGCCATACGTGCGAACAGAATGGCTGCTGCATATGCCACATGCCATATGCCACATGCAGGACAATATGGCATCTGTGTATGTATCTAGGCATGCATAGGTAGGTGTATGTATCTAGGCATGCAAGGTAGGTGGTTGGTAGGTATAGAAAATTGCCACCACTTCAAAATACCCATAAATATAGTTTCCTCACATTTGTAAAAGCGAAATCAGCGATTTCCCCTCCTTGTTGTCGAGCCCGCGGCTGCGTTGTGTGTCAAACACATGCGTGTTTTGCGCGCAGGAGGACGTGTTGGTGCGGTCTGCCAGTGAAAAGGTGGAAGATCTTGCACTGCGGAGCTCGCACTGCCAGGCAGGCAGCCCGCAGGTTCTGCGATTGAGGATGGTGAGCCCCAGCGGGTCCGAAAGAAATGGAACGGGAGGAATTGAGGTCCCCCAGCCCACCCTCTGCCTTAAGGTAGGGGGGATACTGATCAAAGTATTTCCAGCCTGCTACTGTGGTTCGGTGAGGACAGGAAGGGGGTCGACCTTTAGACTGAGGAAACAAGTCATCTGGTCTCATGTCTGTCTCACTTCTTTGAGGAAAAAGGGAGCCCCGTGTCTCGGTCCTTATGGCAAGCTCACCGGTCTGGGGGAGAACTTGCTCATTTTGATGTAGATTTGTTACTTGGGCTTCTTCTTTCCGGTGGTGGAACGATTGTACAGCTTCCAGGCACGTGCGAGCCCCTGATGCAAAAAAGCAGGTGCCAAATTTCGGCATGGAGGCAAACCATGTTGTCAACACTGGCCACCCGGATTTCAGTGTTTGTTTCTTCTTTTTTGCTTCCCTTGAAACCAAGCAACCAAGCAAAGCTCAAACCGGGTCGTTACCGAGCCTCACGCCTCAAGCGTCAAGGAAGCCGCGGCCTTCGCGGTGGACTTGCACAAGGAGCTCGAGACCTTGAACCACAACGAGGCGCGGTCTATGCCTTCAGCCGCCGTCCGCCGGGCGGAGGGCTGGAACAGCCTGTTGTCGCGTTTTGTTTCTTCTTCTTATATATATATATATATATGCGGGGATATGTTTTTGTCGTTTTTTTGGGGGTTGTTTCAAAATGAAACCAAAAAAGGAAGGATTTTGGAGGGGTCCCCTAAAAAAGGAAGCAAACATTTACGTGCCTTTTAGTTTCCTATTTGCCCTTTGAACTAAGCGCTGGGGTTTACTCGTGGCTGCCACTCAGACAGCTTGAAATGGTTTGCTGAGGTCTCAGAACAGATTTAATACATTTTGAGGTTGACTGGGTAGAAAATTAGGGTATTTTTAGGTTGACTAACTCAGTTCCCTGGACTTTATTCACTGTTTGGGTGTGGACCGTTGTAGTGGTAAGCAACAAGTTCGAACTGAGCTAAGTACAACAATCTGAACATCTGATTTGGGGTCTCTAGAAAGCAGTTTGGATGTGGCGAATCTGTGGATCCACCCCTGTAGAATATTTACAAGAGTACTAAAAGAGTACCAGCAAAGGAGCAGGGGGAATGACCTGAAGAAAAAAAAACATCCACCGTTACCATCCTTAAAAATGGAATTCGGGGAGGGGGGTTCCATTTATAGTTCCATTTTCATTTTTTTATGGGGAAGACTAGATACATGGAACTGGGGACCCCAAATCCACCCCCACCCCCCGCAAGGTAGGGGGATCCGTTACCACGGGGACCGTCCCCGAGGTGGTGATGGCCTGCATCGGCGCTCGAAGGGCCAGCAACCACCAACGCGCCTACACCAAGAAGGGCATCAAGTTGGACTTCAAGGCGCGCACTATAATAGCTTGAGGTCGTTCCCAGCCGGGCCCAGCAGGGTTTCGAATCCTTGGGTGTCCATGGATTCAAAATCCGAAACCGCACAAATGAGATACCATGTTTGAAGCCAGCGATTTTGTTGGTATTTAGGTTGGGGAATGGTACATGACTTGAGAGGTTCCCAGCCCTGCCCAGGATTTCACCTTGTTTGGGTGTCAACCCCAGAGTAATCAACCCCAGTTTATTAAGATAGTTGTTTTGTTCTAAGCTTTGATGTCAATTATCTTCACCCATCCTTCTCTTTGTTGGAACCAGACACGCACCCAAAACAGCCAAAGGTGAACAGCTTCGCTGTTAGAACCAACTGAAGGCTGGGAAGGATTTTTTTAATAGTTGCCTTCTGCTTGTGGGAGGAAGGGTGAATATCTGCAAACTTACCTCAATGCCAGAAGCTGAATTGAGAATTGGATCCCCAAGTAAAGGACGTGTGTCATGGCTTTCGATCGTTATACCCCCGATCGGTGAGCCGCTATAGGCACATAATATGGAAACCTCAAAAAGGGCCCTGGACAATAGGCAGAAGGCCAACGGTTTGACCACTTTTGGTTTCCATATTTGGTGGCTTCATGTTGGCTATATTGACCAGCCACTTTTGGACCACCAACCTTACATTTTGGCTTCCCTGCTTTCCATATTTGTTTGGTTCCAGCAGGTGACCAAATATATGTCCAGGTCCCGCTCTGGTGAGCCGTGTGGAGATCAACCACCTCCTTTCTGCTTATCACAAATCTCCAAAAGAAGTTGCGGCCTTCGCGGGGAACTAGGTTTTGGGGTGCTGAAAACGGGTTCCGAAAGAAGGCAGTAGCTCTCAGCTAACTTAACTCTTACCTATCCCAAACTGTGTGTGCGTGTGTGTTTTGTTTGTGGGGGGGGGGCGAAGTGGGATGATGTTCCTGGTGTTCCATTTTAAACTCAACCAAAAATTGTGGATTCCAAAACCAGACGCTCCGAACTAAACTTTAACCTGAACTGACCTCACCCTTAACTACATTGAACTATTGGACTTGGATTGACCTCAACCAACCTTGATTCTGCTTCACTGACGTTCAATAGCCTTCAGTCACCCTAGCCAGCCCGGCGTGTACACCGAGACGTTCGCAGGCCACGTGCCTTTGGTCGCCAGGTTCGCAAGTTGAGAGGAGTTCGCCCGGTGGGTTCTCCTGCAAGAGCGTTGCAGGACACACCGTGCAGTTGGGTTCCCTATATTCCCCTTTGGTGTCAAACATCACCGGTGGGAATTTCAAGCGTAACATTTCTGGCGTGATGTTAGGCTCAGTCTAAACCTAGGTCCGCCAGTAGTGCCCTTTCTCACCCCTTTTGTGGGGGAGGGTTCCCCTATTAAAATAGACTACAGCCAAAAGGGTGCCCTTATTCTAAGCTCTCTAGTCTACTGGAGGACCTAGAAACCGAGCTTTTCACCTTTGGGCTAAACGGGATCAACGGAGGGAACCCTGCAGCCCATGCCTGCAGGTGTTCGAGTCGGTGGAACCAGCACTTAGACACCTGCAAAGCACGGATGCCGCAAGCGGCTCGGTTTTGGTTAGCCGAGGGCTCACCGGGAACCAGCTCAGTGGATGGTGCCACCAGTAGTGCCCTTTTTCACCGTTTCTTTTTTTGGGGGGAGGGTTCCCTTACTAAAATAGTCTACAGAAAAAGAAGGGTACCCTTATTCTGGTTTCTCTACTGGAGGACCTAGCATTAAATGTTAAAGAAGGGCAGTCACACCAAAGTTCTGAGGCAAAACCAATTGCTAAGGGTATCCTTGTAGCTCCTACTTGATGTCTGCCCGGGTTGTCCTAGTATGCTGTAGGTGCCCCTGAACATCGGTGGGCGCCTTTTTTCGTTGCCTTGCTGAGTCAAGACCCTCTGGATGCAACGGCAGAGGCTCCAGGCGCACTTGTTGCTTTTGGTTAGTGGCTCGGGTCCCCCGAAACTGGTCAGCAGCACTTCGGCTGGGGAACCGGTAAAGCCACCAAATTCCTTACCCGTAAACCCAGATCTCGCTAATATTAAAATACTCGTAGCGGTTCAGACATGGCTGTGGTTGTCAAAACCGTTTTTGGATCCCATTTTGGGGTTTTCGGTGCACCACCCATTTTAGAACCTATTTCAATGGGCAATGGGATGTTCACTGGGGGTACAGGATTTTGACACATGGCCACATGATGTTGGGCTTCAATGGTAGGGGGGGCAAGCCGCTTTGGCTTTTCGGTTTGAACGGCTTCCATTGGCTTAAGAGTTGTTTCTATTTTCCAATCTTGGATTTTAAGGGAATCTATCATTACTGGAAGTTGTAGCTTCCATTTTTTCTCAGGCCAAACCGCGTTTATGGAAGGTCGAGGGGCCGCTTCGCCGCTTCTTTGCTCCGAGGAAAGCTGGGTGGGCACCTGTGGCTCAACGCGGATGTCTTCGCTGGGCCTGGCTATCCTGAGAGATTCCTGTCTCCCATTGATGCCAGGCCGGGCCGGAGGGGAGGGGGGGAAAGAAGGGGGGGGGGGGGGTGGTGATTTCGGCAGAACCTTCTGATATTACCTATAGATTGATCTCTCTCTCTCTCTGTATATAAATAGATGTCCACCAAAAGTTGTGGTCGCGTTTTGGCGGATATATTAATAGCCCCAGTATGATTCCACTATCAACGTCACCACCCCCAGTTTCTGACTTTGATACCTCCCCCTCCCGAAACAGTCAAAGTACTCACGCCAGTTGGATACTCTGCAGATTCTCACATCAGTGCCCGAACACTTTTTTTTTGGCTGCTTTAGGGGGAGGGGCCCTGTCACGTTTTTCTTTGTTTGGTGATGCTTTGCTGCAGATTCGCATGAGTGCCCCAATCTTGGACATTTTGACAGGAGCTTCCACTACCAGGTTTGGTGGGCCTGGTAGGCAGCATGGTACGGCTCAGGCTTCCGCTGCATGTGTTCATTTTTGCTGTTGGATACTCTGGAGATTTGCACGGGTTCAGGTACCTCAGAAAATCTTGGTGGTTCCCAACCATCCGCTTAGTTTTGTAGCTGTTCAGTGGGTATTTGGGATCTGAGGACAACCCAGAAATGTTTGGTTTGGATTGGACCAAGCCTCCAGGGCTAATTAAAGGTGATGAGTGCCGAGACCCTTGGCCGCATAAACCTCCAAGAACCATCTTGGAGGAACCAAGCTTCAGTGGGCACTCGCATGGAATCCAAAAGCGAGGATATGTCAGGATACCCTACGGCTTAACAGTTTAAGCGGATCGCCTTGTAAAGCATGTGGTTCAGCTGCTTTTGCAGAGAAGCGCGCACTCCAGGGAGAAGTCCAAGGAGTGACCAAGATACATCGGAAACGGAAACGGGCAAGCTGGCGCGGCAAGAGAGCGCAGATGTACCTTTAGCGCACTGCGCCGGAAGTTTTCCTGAGGATGCCCCCCTTCCTATCAGACAGCTTGGGAGTTTCTGATGAGAGAAGCTTTCCAGAGGGGCTGTTCCTTGTGCATTGAGCCTGTCGCATGTCGTGGAAAGCCGCATTGTCGTACTTTTCCCTCAACAACAAAACTTGGGTTTGGCGTGAAGCGCGCCCTGCAGAGCCCTGCAGGAGATTTGTCCAGCTTTGCGCGGAGCGAGTTCCCGACGCAGTGCTGTCACTGACTCTTTGCCAGCAGCGAGAGGCACCGTCATGGGCAAACCACTTTCCACTCACCCACCTGGCTGTGGCTCAAAAATCCGGGTAACCCCAAAATGGGTTGCCCTGGCAAGTGGAAACATGGACCAAAACCTGCGGTTTGCCCCTCCTGTTTAATTTTGAGCCACACCCACCTTGCCATGGCGGTGTTTGTTAACTTTTGGCTTTTGGCTCTCAGCTTGTTGAAAACCTGACCAAACAGAGACAGACAGAAGACAGAGACAAAGCAAGTTCCTAGACCTTTGTCATTGAGGTGCCAGCGCACAAAGAAAGCTATCGCATGTGGCTGTGGGTCAAAAACATGTACCAAAATGGCACCTTGGTTCATGGAACCAGAGACTAAAACCTGCGTAACCCCAGCTCTTTACTTTTGAGCCACAACCATGTGTCTTGTACGGTTGTTAGTCGTACTTGCTGTGGATCCTGCCGCGCGTTTGTGGCGTTCGGGGAAGATGCGTTCAGCTGCCAGCTGCCAGTCAGGGCTATCGTACGTCACGTGCGTTTCGCCCGGCGCTCATCCAGTTACACATCCAATAGAGTGCGACATGTTGAACCAACCGTAAATACTGTGAGTGGACGAAATCCTGCATAACTTTGATTCGTGGGAAACCATTTGTTCGTTGGTATTTACAGGGGAATCATCAGTCCAGAGAAGCTTGGGTGGTGCAGGATTTCGTCCATCCACGGTAGGAATTGCAACCTCAGCTTCCATTTTCTCAACTCGCAAGAGGGTGCACCCAAGTTGCTGGACGTGCAGCCCAAACCAAGCCCCCCCTGGGCATGAAAACCTCCGGCGGTCGACCCATGGCGACGAGAACTACACTGGGGCAAACGATGGTAAAAGTAGATGGCAAAATCCGGCAAGCAAGGTGAGACCATAATGGGGGAATTTGTGCCGTTTATGTTTACTCGCAATCCCAGGTTCCAGCCTGCAATCGCCGAACCTCACACTCGCCAGCTAGCAGGCGTTTCATGCATGACAAAACGGTCAAGCATGCATTTGCTATGCGAATCGTCACAAGGTTCACTTGGAGAACGACACCCTGGAAGCAACAGCAGGCAAAGAGACAGAGGAAGAACAAACATGGCAGCAAAGAGAAAGTAGAGCTTCACTGTTGTTGACACCGTGCCAAGGGCTGGAAAGAAAACACAATTCAACTTCACCTCAGCGGTTGTCACCCATTTGTTTTGGCGTTTGCCGCTCGGCCCCAAAAACAACAGTCCGAGGAGCTGGGGGAGCTCATCGCTCTCAACCAGCAGGCATGGCCGGGTAAAATGAGCGAAAGCCATTTTGAATATATTTTTGTCTGGGGAGGTCCAGCTTTTTAATTTCAGATTTTGGGATGAGTGTAGAATTTGCGGACTGAAACATACTAGGCCTTTCTTTGTTCAGCCCACCGTTCAGCCCATTTTACCCCCACCCGGCCGCTTTTCTGGGCCAAGAAGGCAGGTGGTTTCCGAGCTCCTACACCTGGCCAAGTTGGCGCGCTCGTCCCCATGGGGCTGTTGGGTTTCTATGTGTAGAACAGCCTGGAGCCTACAAGTCCCTAAAACCGGAAGGCCTTTCAAAAATCATGGTTTTTGTGATAAAATCCTTACTTTTTGCAAAAGGGGCGTAATTTTCTCTCGGGCGGTCATGAAAACCCACGCGTGGAGACGATGATTTTAAGGCTTGCTTTGGTCCGAAGGGGCCGTGACCAGAACCCAAACGGAGTTTTGACCATCCCAGCGCGAAAAAGTCGGAAGCGATCTGGAGAGTTGGGCGGAGGTCCTACACAGCGGACATGGTGAACAGCTGCTTGCCTGCAACAAAATGGTCGCCTGTGTCCTCCCCGCAGGCCCTTGCCGCCTTGCCTTACTCCCCGAGTTCCGTTTAACGGACTTCAATCTTTGGGGGCTTGGAGAATTTTAATGTCGGAGAGTGAGTAAAGGGCCCCCCCTCAAACGAATTGGGGGGGGGGTCAATAGCGAAAACCCCAAAAAACAACATGGGGGTCAGCAACAAGTTTGGTATCCATAGGTGGACCCTTTTTGGTGGTTGTGGTCCAAAAAATAGATGGGGTTCGATTCCTGGCTTACCTGGTGGTTTTTTCTCATCTACCAGGGCCATCTATTTCCGCTACAAGGACACCTATGGTTTGGACTCAGGAAAGTAAGGAGTCAAAGCCCAAACGCTCAGCCGGCACTACAAAGATGGCCAGAAAACAAGGCAAGACTGGGCGCAGCTTCCGCGCCTCGCTGGTTGGTTGAAGGAGTGGCATCCATGCCAACTTATTTGACGATTGCGAGTTTGTTTGGCCAAGTTGGTGGAGTGCGTTTCCCTAGAATCCTAGGCGGACGGATAAAGCGACTTGCAAGCAGCTCACCGATCTAAGGAATGATCGAGCTGTGCATGTCCCCCATCGTGCCCCGGGCTTTGGAAGTGTCTCCCAAGACTCAGGCGGGCATCGGGTATTCATGTGTTTATGGAGGCTGGGGGGGAATACGCCCCAATCAAGGCCCTCAATTCGGGCTTGTTTGGGCCCACCTCCCTCCCCCCCCCCACGCCTTCATGATGTTACGCAGCTTGGGTAAAATCGGCATTCAGCTTGGCATTCCCTGGGCCTCATGAGCCCAAGCCAGGCACTGAGGGAAGGATCTAGTTGTGATGTGGCAACATCTCAGATCGCTTCGCTGCGGGACATGGGTGAGACGTCCTGTCCCGTTCCTATCAGATCACGAATTGCGCGCTTCCCACTCATGGCTTTGAGCGCGCAACGACTGTGACCTGGCTTCGGCTTTCAATGGAAGACCCGACCCCTCCATTAGACACCCCGCTTCGGTGGTTGGGGGTCTCAAAACCAGGTTGTTTGAAAGCCCTAAATCAATCGGCAGCCTCTGGGTACTTCCCCAGAATTAGCTCCCCTTTTTGCTTTGTTGCTTTTTGGGTCCCTTTGTTTTCCGCCAACCAGGCAAACAAATAGAGATATTTTTTTGCTGGGGTCCTAATTCCAGCCTAGGGTAAAGGTGTTCAGCCAGAGAGGGCAGCATGACCTGCAGGTGCCTGAGCAGCTCACAAGACAGGTACGGCCTGAGCTGCGCTGATGCGTTTGGGAGGGGCCCTGTGCCTGGGTAAAGGGCCAACCACTTCCAGACAAAAAGAAAACCCCATGGCCCCGAATGATTACATCGTTCAAGGGAGCCCGCAGTTGAAGGCACACCCTGTGGAGGTTCAAGGGGGCACGCAGATGAAGTACCCCTATGGCCCGAATGATTACCTGCATGATTCAAGGGAAGCCGCAGTTGAACGCACACCCTATGGCCCAACATTCTGTTTGAAGGGACCGCGCAATTGAAGGCTTGCACGCGCACCAAATTTTTGGCACGAACGATTGCCTGCATCGTTCAAGGGAAACCGCTGGCAATTGAAAGTACGCCCCGTGCCCACAATGATTATGTTCCTCGTTCACTCGTAGACGTCACCGGGATGTGAAAGGGTTCACTCTTAGAACTCACCCATGGTTTAGGATGTGAAAGGCCTTGTTTGGTGTTGACACTAGTGTAGATGGAGTACCCACTTCGCATCAGTTGGGACGGATGAACGAAAAAAGCCTATGACTGGGACAATCCATCTTGGTGGGCAGTCGATTCGAGTCAGGTGTTCTGTCAAAATCTCAGTCCGAACCGACCTTACCTGTTGGCTTTCCCATGGTCCAAACATGGTTGTCGTTGGGAAACAGTTTACGTTTTTGCTTATTGTGGTTTAGTGGTTGAAATCCAAATCCACTTAGTCAAGGTCCCAACGAAGTGATCCCCTTCTATTTCCAGGGCCTGTGGCACACTCCTTGAGTTCCCTTTCGGACCTTTGGGCCATGGCAGGCCAAAACAGTTCGCTGACGGTTTTTGGGCCAGGCCACTCGATCGGAAGTGAGAACCAATTGAAAGTAACTGGCCCAAACACTCAGCCAACAAAGATGGCCTGCAAACAGAGACCAATTTGGGCGCCGTTCTCGCGCGCAGGACACCGCCAGTTTTTTTTGAAGCGGCATCCCTGCCCTTGGTCGAGAGTTGGTTTGGCCCAGTTGCTGAATCAGGATTCCGTTTTCCTAAAGAATCCTAGGAACTTGTTCCGCTTCCAGTGCAAGCAGGATGTACGGAGAGTTTCTGGAGGGATTTGGAAGTCCAGACATCGAGCTTTGACAGGAGCTGCCAGAGCTCAAAGAGGCCAACTGCTTAGCTTCCGTTTTGCACGTGCAGAACGCGCGTGTTTTTTTTTTGGTTTCGGGGACCCTGGACATAAAAGCCAAGAGGGAGTACACCAAAAAGTGACTCCTGTAAGTTTTGTTTTAAAGGTTCACGTGTTTTTCTGCAACATAATCTTGAAATTGGTAGAGGAGTAATTTCTTATCCCGATGTTCAGGTCCCCTTCTTTTGGAGGCTAAATGAGGGAACTCCCAAGAAATCTGAGTGGCCCCATGGCTCTCTTTTTAAAGTCAGCCACTTGCTCAAAACCGATTCGGGTAGATGATCCGGTTAGTAAGGGCCAATCCCCTTGCCATAAATAGCTGCGGATTTCCGCCTTCTTAATCCTGTACAAGGTTCTGGGATTACGACCATTTTAATACCAGGTTTTGAGCAAGTGACTCAAGTCTACACCACGTCCCCTCAAGATGTCCCTAATCATAGCTTTGGTGCATTGTGCTTGGATGTTAGGACTTTAACTTTTTGCCAACTCATGGGTGTTCCGAATTAAACCACTAAAAGTTAAACTTTTAGCAGGGGAGCAGATTTCGCAACCGAGATAGGTGTCCTTTTTGGATTTGTTTTGGCAAAAGAATAGATGGGTTTCGATTCCTGGTTTACCAGGTGGTTTACTCATCTGCCAGGGAAACCCAATGAAACCCATCTATTTCCCCCAAAAGGGCGCAAACGTTTTTAAATGCTTTTTTCTTGCTGGTTTAAACATCACCTTTTCGGCCCATGAGAGGTGAGTCGATGATGTTTACAGGGAAATGTAGGGAGTCGTGAAATGCAAAACCTCCTTGGATGGTTTGACTTGCGATCGCTGCGATGAGTAGGGAATGTGGTTGAATGAACCCAGGCTTTGGTCGCCAAAGAATCCACCAGTTGGATGGTTTATAAGGTTCATTCCTTCACTCTGCTGAGCACCAGCAAGTTGATGCGTAAGTACGTCCTTCCCTGTGCAAAGCGAGTTCCTAATTTATTTTTCTGCAGAGGGGGGGGGGGGCAGGGATGCTTGCTGGGCTGGTCTTGCACACTTCGCAGAATCTGAACTGGGTTTTGGATTGACTCACTCGCCTGGGCCTAAGTGTGTACAAGTTCATTCCTTTTGCGCTACCACTGTGGCATGCCAATCTTTGCAACGCCGCATTCCCACTTACAGCTCATTCTTCCTGGCCAGCGTGGCACTTTCGTTTGCTTTTGCTGGCCCCCGTTCATTCCGAGAAGCGTTGCCGGGCAAGCCATTTCCAACAAGCCCTCCACAAGCTTCGATAGCTCACCCAGCCAGTGGACACACTTTACACTTTTTTCCTTGGTGGCTCTCCCTTTATTTTAATGGTGGCCCAAAAAGTGTACACTTTTTGTGGGCTGGTCACTAGCCAAGTTTCGAGAGGAGCACCCGCCAGAGACCGCGAATCAGCCTGACAAGGAGGAGCGTGATTGTGTGTGTGTGTGTGCCGCAGGTGCGAGGGAACTATTCTAGGGGTACTGTACCTTCCATTTCCATTGTTTCCAGGGATCCTTTTTTCAGGAAACCATCAAACACGGGGAAACGGATCCGGTTTTTGACAAAAGAACGATGGTTGAAAATAATGGGGAAAAGGAAAATCAAGCCCTAGAACAATTCGGCGAGAGTTTGTGCAACTTGGAGGTTGTTTCTTTCCGTAGGGTTTAGGGGCAATTTCCACTAAACCACTCAACAGGGTTCCTTAGCTTCTTTTTGTTTTTCCGTTTTGGGTTTTTGGTGGCAATTTCCACTACCTCAAAAGCTAGACTTTCAGCAGGGTCCCGATCTGAGGAGACCCCCAAAGGCGAACAAAGACGGGCCTTTGCAATTGCAACCGAGGGTTCTTTGGAACTGCGAAGAGCTACTCGAGTTGAACTGTTTGCGTGGAGTCCACTTCGCCAGTCTGGCGATGAAGTCCACATATCATCACATGGTCGTTGGGAAACATGTTGCTTATTTTTGATCTTATGGTGGTTTAGTGGTTGAAATCCAAATCCACTTAACGGCTAAAAATTAAATGTTTGCTCCCCTTCCAACGTCAACCAAGATCATACCCTTCACATATCAGCTCCACATACCATTGACATGGGCATTGAAGTCCACGTCGCCGAGTTTGGCGATGTTTTGGTTTGCTCGCATCTCAGCCGTCTGAATCTTCGGTTGGCCTTCAGCTGCCTTCTGCTTCAGACTGTTCGACTAGCTCGCACATGTGATGTTGAAGGTCTCATTGTGCTTTGAAACACTGGCCCAATGCATGAGTAGGAGACTTTCACATTTACAGTGTTTGTGTATTTCAAGCAGCCCATATTAGGCACATTTAGGCACATAGTCTTAGTTTTCATTGTGATGGCATGCAGTGAGTGCGCTCTAAGCTTGGCTGGCGTTTGAGTTTTGTGCGGTTGAGCGAAGATTGGGGCGTGCTGCTTCACTAAGAGCCACCCTGGCGCTTTGTGTTTGCTGAGGCTGGGTCTTTGCATGCCCCCTGCTCCGTTTGCGTTTTCCTGCCCGCTTTCAATTCCTAACCTGGGTGCTAAATACCTAGCCCATGTTTGTTCAGCTTGCCCCAAAGCCAAACCCAACAGGGGAGGGTTTGTTGTGACAGCCAGCAACCAGCCGCTGTTGTGCATAGCGTTAATGCTAGCCTCGAATAAGTATCCCCCCCCCCCCGGACAAGGTCAACAAGATGGACAAGGTCGAATTTGGTTCCTTCAAACAGGTGCTCGAAATACCGTAGTATTGGACAATAATGTCTGCTTTTGAATTGGGGAGGGTTCCAGAATTCCAGAAGGATTTCAAGCTGAATTCAAAAGGAATCCAGAAAGATTCCGAAAGGAAACTCAGTTGCCCAAAGAGTGATCGGTATTGAACTGATTGCAGTGATTGTGCCACCTTATGGGCTGGCAAAATGGATGGTTCATATGCTTGCCTGGTCTGGGGCACAGAAACCTACATACATACGCACATATTATACTATAGATGTATGGCATTTCTTTGTTCAGATAGCCCTCTTTGACTTTTTTTCCGGTTTCGGGGAGGGCCGGAAACAAAAGTCGGGTAGGAAAGTAGTTGACTTCTGATTGGTGTTTGGGGTGCGGGCCGGGTGCGGGCTGGGTTCGTGCCCAAAAAAGCGGCAGCTGGCAACCGCTGGCGCTAGGAGCCCCCCGAACCGGAGAATGAGGACAGGACATGCCCGTGCGCACCTTTGGGCTTTGCCCGCGGTTTTTATGGAGCGCCAAGGACGAAACCCCGGGCTTTGGGTTGCAGGGGTGTCCAGATGTTCCCAGATTTTTGGGCGGCTGCCCATTTTGGAGCCCAGGTTGGAGTTTCGCAAGTGTGAGGCATGCATGCGAAAGTGGCCCAATTTCAGCAGCGGGTGATTTCTTTGTCGCATGGCCTTGAAGGTGTTGCAGACCATGGCTTGGGATGTGAAAGTCCGAAAGTCCACAACTGGAAACTGCATCCATGGAGACTTGACCAGCTCCGGCGCAGCGTAGGTGTGGACCACACGTTGCTGTTTTATGAATTCCAGCCCTTTAAACACTAGGTTTTTTCCAGGGCTCGTTGACCCTTTTTTGGGGGAGGGTTCCCTTGCTAAATGGGCTACAGAACAAAAATGGGCAACCTTACTACTGGAGGACCTAGAACGGCATCGGACACCCTCTTTTAGTCGGTGGGAATGCTCCTAGGAGCAGAAAGAGCCCGAAGCGCAGCCTGACGAGGGTCAGGCCGGTCGCCGGTGGGTGTCCAGGTTTCTCTTGAAAGGTGGCCCCCAGCCGTCCCCTTAGCATTTTAGGCTTTTAGGGTTTAGTGGTAGTTTCCGTATTTAACCCACTAAAAGTTCAACTTTCAGCAGGGGATCTGAGGGCAGCCCAGTTTTTTGAATTTGTTCGTTTCGATCCGGCACCTTGTTTTCTGGCTACACCAGCTGCCGGCTGAATGGAACTTGTGTGTTTCGTCAATGGCTCGCGCGACCCCGAGCATGACACGTTTTTGGGATTTCCGGTGCGTCCCTATGCAGGACACAGCGAAGCGGGTTGATTTGAAGGCGCCGGAGTTGAGTCGAAACCAAGACCCAGTGCCCAAAATCCATGAAGACCTGGTGAACACGAAATCCACTGCAGTTTGCACCTGCGTCCAATCGCTTCGTTGGCTCGGGTGGAAGACAGTTCAACTTAGCAACCCACCCCACCGCACCCCACCCCAACCCACCCGACCGCCAAAAACCCCACCCCACCATATCCACCCCGGGATATGTGAGCGTCTACCTGTGGTTCAGCTGTGGGTGGCTTCAGGCGCCGGAGTCGGAGCTCGAGGCTCCAGAGGCTGGATCGCTGACTCAGATGGCAAGCCTCAAAACCTCACTGGGCGTGGCTTCAAAATGAAACAACCGGGGCAAAGCGCGGGTTTTTCAGTCTTTGGTTCCATTTGCCAGGGCAACCATGTTGGTACATTTCTTGACCCACAGCCGACGGCGCATTTTGGGGGGCAAAGCTGCAAACATTGACCACGGCATGGCTGTAGCTGCTTCCAACTCAAGATCGCATCTTTGCTTCCGGATCGGAAAGCGATGGCGGAGGTAGGCCAATGTTCTGAGGGCAGCAGCCCTCGTGAGAATGAAGCAGCGGCGTATATTGCCTGACGACAAGGACGTTGGCAAAGTTCAGGTCGAAGATGGAGATTTTGCGGCCTACAGTTCTGAGAGCGACCCCTGCCTACAAGGGGCGTGCGGGGGAAGTGCTGAGATCTAGCGAGACCACAAGTTGTTTTGCAACAAGAGCCAAATGATAGAGCAGATCCAAGAGTTTTGGAGCCACTGGCACGGAAAGGGGGGGGGCCTGGAAGAAATATGTACCTCTCTTTGCTGAAGAATGGGCTGCCAGCCGTACTGGGTCTTGGTGCTGGGCCTGGCCCTGTTTCTGCTGCCTGGAAAGCCCGGAAGTCTTTCGTCGGTGCCGCTGATAAATTGGCGTCTTCTTTAAGCTGCGGAGTGGTTCCCACGCGGCGCGGCAAGCGTGTGTTCCTGGACCGAGTTTGCATCAACCCGGAGGAAGAAATGAAGGGCGCGACAAGTTGTTCAGCAGGAGCCTGTCACGGCACAGGCTGGCATTGCAGGACAGGAATTAGTTGGCAGCTGGCAGCTGCGAGGCGATTCTACCAAGCACTTGTCTGGTGCTAGAGCGGCCTGTGCGCTGCCACTTGCTGAAAAATGACCACCTGATCCGACTTGCAGGTTTTAAAAACACCTGGGTTGAGTCATTGAGGTTTGCAAAAGGGGGGGGGGTCCTATATGAGGGCCGTCCTAAAACCCCAGTCTTCGGTTTTAATCATCGCCGAACGGGGAGAAGTAAAAGTTGTCAAAAGCTGTGCGCGCGCAAGGAGCGCGCAAGTGCGGCCCAAGGGACGCGCAAGGTTACAGTTTTGAAGGGTTTCATGTACTGATGTTGCCTAGCTTCATGAAAGGAGGTGATATTTTCTTGCTGTACTTGTGCTTTTTGAGTCAGTCAGACGCCAAGCGAAGCCAAAGCTTCTGCGGTCATGACTTCAACAATCAGCAATTGACACGACAAAATCCGCCAAGCCGCGCGCAAGCCGCGCGCAAGCCGCGCGCAAGTTGCGCGCAAGCACGAGAAGCCCCAGCAAGACATCTAGCCATGCTGTCTCGGATGTCCTTAGCGGCGCGGTTCAAGCAATGGATAGGAACCCGCAACATGCACTTTCCTTCTTTCAGGCTGTGTCCAAGCTGTGTGGCAGAGCCTGCTGTTCTTTCTGTTGCGTCAAGGGTATGTTGCTGGCATTGAATTGCCGGGAGCGACCTCAGCGGGAAAAGTCTTTGTGGGTTGCTGTGTGAACGACAAACGCACTGCTTAGAAAAGCTTGCGCGCAATCCACACGAAAACTTCGCAAACCAAGGTCAACGAAAACGAGTTTCTGCGGCACTGTGCGCGCGCAAGTCCGCGCAAGTGCCGCGCAAGTGCGGCCCAAGGGCCCAATCGCGGGCAAAGGAATATAGGACAACCCCCATATGATCTCCCTTTTTGAGTGGCTTTACTCCGCCATTTTAGCACCCTCTTTAGCACGCCAATGTTGCCTGAGCCTCTAGGGCCGTACATGTGCATGAGCCTAACCTTGGAGCTTGACATGTATTTGAGACACTCGCAACCACATGCAGGGTTCTACTTCTTGACCACTGGCAAATAGACTTAAACCCAGCATTTTCCTTTTTGGGGTACAGGACCCACCCATGGGTTTAAGATCTATTTGAGGGTCAAAAAGTGGAACCCTGACCACATGTCCACCCAAACATGGGAACTGTGCATCGCTGGGAAATTCAATTTGCCAAAGGAACGCCGGGCATCTCTCAAGATTTTAGCCTCTTGGGCGCCTGCTTCGCTTGAATGGTTCCTGCGCTTTCACGCGCATTCTGTGTGGTTTTGATGAGATGAGGGCCGACTGTAAATGATTTGAATGGTATGCGGTACTAACACTATTTAGCCCCATATACACAAGAGTTAGTCAAGGTCAAGCAACCGGTGTCGTTTCCCCGCGCAAAATGCGACAGCTACCGAAGTGACTGGACATTGCCATTCATGCGCATCGGGCGCGCAATCATTGATGTTCTTGCGCGCCCATGGCGTTTCATGAAGTGTTGTGAAAAGCCATGGATGAACTTTCCAGATCAAGGATACACAGACAACTTGCCGGTTTCATGCTCTGATTGACGTGCTAAATGGGCTCCCACATCGAGAAAGAATTGGGATGCGAATGCATTTCCATGCCCACCCCACAACAAAACACATTTGGATTAATTCGCGATGGCATTGCCTTCTGTTATAAAGCAAGGCTTTGTCAGCACCGCATGGTCAATCCTCAAGACAAATAGCCAGTACCTCCTCACTTCCTGACTTCATGGACGTTAAACTTTTCGGGAAGACCATTTTTGTGGCAAATAAAAGTTTGGACTTTGGCCAGTTCACTCAGGAAGTGTGCTTTCGGGTTGGATGAACTGGCCCTAGCGCAGTGGAAACAATCCCATCCTCGATGCGCAGCATTTTCTTCGCCTCCCGGGACCCCACATATTTTTCGTGTGGATGACCGTCGCAGCCTAGACGACTTCCATTTGCTTAAGAATATTTTACTTATTTCCCCTGTTGGTTTTAAAGAGAATCTATCACTACTGGATCTGCTACTTTATTTTTTCTAGGGGTCTTAACCAAATGGAAGATGAGGAGTTGCTGTTGCGAAACCAAGGGCCGGTTAGTCCAATTCTTATTTCAGCTGTGCTGCGATGCTGAGCCCGCAAGCGCCTTATGCGCATGCCAGGCTGCCTCCAGCATGAGGATAAGCACAGGAGGCGTGGTGGCATTCAACAGCAAAGAGCACAGGCTAGTTCCAATAGCCAAGGTGCTGACATTTGTCCGCCCTTTTTCAGCAAGCGAAATTGATCTGCATGTGAGTTAAAGTGCTTGGCCGGCTAGGCTCGTCGTTCACGTGAAACAAGCCGCAGCTCTTGCTTGAGGCAGCTTCCCATCTGACGTCAGGTCACGAAGCCGCCGGGTTGCATGCGGTACTGAAGATAGAAAGTGGTCAGAGAAAGGGCGGTAAGTGGGAGCCTCAAGGTGTCTGAGAAACAAGTCCCATGTTGATTCATGCCTTGCCCTCCTTCCAGTGGAAAGAATCAATCCATGTCAGCCATATCCAATATCATTCTGTCAGATTTGATCATCGGATGCGAGGGGCATCTCCCCCCATTCCTCGGGCACCCGGCAAGCAAGTTTGTTGATTCTCTTTTTGGGATTGCATACAACGTCCCCCAACTTGTTGTGTTGTTTCAAGGGGAGGCCGCCCCACCAAGATGTTTTGTCCCTTTCCATTTGGGAGCCAAAAACCCTTGTGCAAAGCTTCGCCTGAGGGTCCTTCAAGGTGCTTTTGCTCTGTTTCGCCCAACAAAGACAATTACTAGGTCCCCCAATAGTGCCCTTTCTTTCCTTTTTTGGTTGGGAGATTCGGTTCCCCTACAACTTATTCTAACCTCAAACTGTGGAGGGCCTAGAAAAAAAACAGGGTACCAGCGAGAAAAAAGACGAGGCACACATTTGGTGATGTTGCCTGGGTGCTGTGCTTAGTCTGCACCCCGCGACGTATTCTACTGGAGGACCTAGATTACTTCGCGGGGTGCAGACTGTTCGCTGCCAAATTCTGCACATCGCCAGGGGAGATCTACTGCCTCACCCCGGCGCCTTGGAGCCAAATAGCTGGTGCTCAGTGGTTGGTTTTAGTATCTTGGAGGGTCTCAAAGATGCCTCCAACATCATGCAATTAAAGTGCAGACAAAGAAGCTCTTTTTTGTGTGTAAGGCTAAATTTTAGTGCAAAGGTGTAAAGAAGCTTTATGTTTTTTGTTTGGGGTAAGGCTTTGCACTCTGGAAAGCATTTCGTCTTCAATGATGCGTTCAGTGTCTTCAGTTGTTTCCAAATACCAAGGTGCCATGTTTGGGGACCATTGCACAGCCATCTTGAATTCTGACGGCTGGACCCTGGGTTCCTTCAAAGGAACCCAACAGGAGGTTGGTGCATAGGACCCGGATGTGTGTCCAGTTATGATGCAATTCCAGCTCAGCCTCGCCGGAGTCAAAAAGGGTTGGTTCAGCAAGTCGACTCAATGGCAATTTGGCCCAACCAGACATCCAAGCAAGCGTGCTTGTAATCCACCGGGCCCCTTGCGCGAGTTTCAGCCATGGCTTGACATGATGGGCCGGTGACAATTTTCATGCGGCTCCAGGCTTTGTCGACCGCCCGGGCGATTGGAATTCCAATGCTCCCCCCAAAAGCCAAGCAGCTCACCTTTTGCCTTGTTGACCTCCTATTGATCAGTCCCGTTTTGTTTTTCTGCAAGAAAGGATTCTCAAATTCAAAAGGGCTCCCCCTTCACCTGGTGGCGCCCAGTCATCCGCTTCCTTAGGCGGTTTGCGGTGTGTTTAGTTAGTTTAGTTGTTGGGTGTCCAGTTCTCAACTTTGTTTAGCTGGTTTAGTTGTTTTTTAGGTTTAGTTTTGTTTAGTTGCTGGTTTAGTTCGCAACTTTCAGCATGGATCACTTTGGACAGCCCGAATTGTTCTCACAACTCGGGGCGGGGCGCCTCGGATTCTTTAGTTCTCCGGCATCTCGGCGTTTTGTGTGCGAGGCAAAGGGGGGGACAGCTGGTCTATTGAAAAAGGGATGGTTGAAAAGAAAGGGCGATCAAACCCAGATTTGGGTCTCCAGAGATTTAGGTCTCCAGAGATTTAGGTCTCCAGAGATTTAGGTCTCCAGAGATTTAGGTCTCCAGATCAAACCCAGATGTTTGGTCTCCAGAGATTCCCAGTGGCTGCACGGAAGGCTGCAAGCTGCCAGCACATCACCTTTGCCGTCGCCGCGGAGTACGCGCTCAACTCTGCACCGTTGCTGGCCCGAACTTCCAACCATCTAGGGCCTTAGACTTTTAGGCATTTGAAAACATTTGGAGCGGGAATTGGTGGCCTATCCAACTGAAACTGGGGTCTCCTCAGAAAGCATTCTGTATTTTCAGGCTAAATAAGTAGCCCAGATGTTTGATTTTAAGGGAAAAGAAGGACGGGCATAGAACCCCCTATTTAGCACCCATTAAAGTTCGCACAAAACTGTGGGGCACACGCATTTTCCCATCTCCTTGGGGGTAACAGGAGGCCGATTTGGTGCTCATGTGCTGCTTTTGTCGCAAGTGTAATCATCTAGAATGAGAGCGCCTCCACGCGTTCGTGCAAAAGTCGGCAGGGAAGAGCAATTATATATGTGTGCTTGTTTGATTTGTTTTTGGAGGTACCTTTGTCACCAAAGGGAAGCCAAAGGACAAGTTGCTATTTTATGGATTCCCCTAATTACTGCGGATGGACGAACTCCTGCACCACCGTTCAGAAACCCTGGAATTTTATTCGATTCCCCTGCAAATACCAGCGCACAATGGTTTCAACCATGGTTTCAAAGTGGATTTCGCGAAATGGATTACACACTCAAGCTCTTCTGTACTTGTGATCTCGACGACTTTTGTACAGGCATGTCTTGCATCAGCAAAATCTAGGCAAAAGCACGTGATCAAGAGCACTTCTATGCTCGAGTGGTAGAGTTTTGCAACCGCTGTCATGTTAACCGGCAGCGCGCGGCTGCGGGAGGCCAACCAAAAGCAGCTTGCAAGGGGCACTTGTTTTTGGTTTTGTTTTGCTGGTTCTCAGCAGGGAATGAGACATGGAACGGCCTCTTTTCCAACCATCCAACTGGTGGTGTCCTTTGAGGGGACCAAAGCTTGGGTTCATTCCCTCATCCCATCTCACAACTGAGCACCAGCAAGTTGTATTTGCACTCCCTTCTTACAGACTGAAGTAGCCTTGTTGCCCCTTGACCCTTGTGTGTCACCTTCCCTAAGCAAATCGCGAATGCCAAAGGGACCGCGTCTTAGGCACCTCTTGAAACTTTTGGACGCGGTGCCTGGGTCGTCGCTGACCATCTTCTCCGGCCTTTGGGCAGCAAGCGGTGTCTTTCTTTTCGAGACTACCCCTAGACTGGCTTGAAAGGGAAGGGATACGGACAGCCATTTTGGCATGTTGGGGAATTTGGGAGAACCCCGCATGGTGTTTTAGTTTGTGGTGTTTTGATTCTGTTTAGTACAAGGGCTGCAAACAACGCACCGTTTAGCCAAAATAAGGGTTGGCATAAGCAAACAAAGATGGACTCCACAAGACAGGGGTCCTCCAAAAATAGTCTAGAGATACATGTGCTTTGTTGCTTGCGCGTTTACCTGCAGGGGTCTAAGACACCACCCCCCGTGAAGTTGTGCATGGAAGGGGGGCGATTTTACCCACAAAAGAAGCCCCAGCCCAATCTCTTTCGTTTTGCATGGGGCAAGCCAAAGTATGGACAGGCACGTTGTCTTCCAGAAAATGTTTCGGTGAGTTGTGCTTGTGGCCAACTCGGAGACTCGTTGCACGTATGTGCCTTTGCACGACGCCTCTGACGAAACCCTTGGTGTTTGCTTCAGATTCAGCTGGGCCAGGGATTTTGTTTCTGAGCTCGGCCACGTTTCGTAGTGAAGTGATTGCATAAAGCACAGCGCGCACAAGTGATAAGCCGTTGGCCACATCGCTATTGCCAGATTGCCTTCTAACGTTCCAGGTGGGGCACTGGGAGCCAGGGTTGCTCCCGGAACATTTGGAACTGACAGTTGTGTCAGAGAGTTTTTTTTGGGGGGGTGTTTTTCGTTTTTTAGTCATGAGTAAAATGACAGGCTAACATCACATTATTTTTATTGGTCGACAAGGCCTCAGAACAATGACACGCCACAGACATGTTCTCTGGAGCTGAGCTGGCAGATCTTCTGAGCTGGCGGCACTCAAGCCAAGCTAAGCGCTTCCAAAGGGGATATTTTTCAGTGGGAGATTGAATCCCGAGTGCGGAGTACAGGAAACATTTGGCTCTAAGCCCTGGAGGCTTGTGGATGTGGGTTTCTTTCTTTGCCGTTCAACGGTTTGCGAGATCCTGGAGGCTTGTGGATGGTTTCTTTTTGCCGGTTGGCTGAAGAACGAGTGGTAGGGTGAGAGATGCTCGAGACCGGAGACCCTTCGTGCTCTCCTTGGGAGAAGCCGTGACGGTTTACAATCCTTCCATTTGCTGAAATGACTATTTTTTGTCCCCCTGTTTCATTTGTTTTAAAGGGAATCAAAATTCACTACTAGTAGGACATCTTTCCTCAGTTTTTCCAGGGGACGAACCTCTCAATTGGAGGAATCACTTACGTTGTTTTCAGCTTCAGTTCGTCGAGGCAAGGTGTTTTTCTTCTTTTCGAGCGGGAGAACTTCTCTCGCCGGTGCGAGAGGTGGGGAACCATTCCCTCATTTTCCTTTGAGAACCAGCAAAGAGAGGTAGGCATCAGGAACACAAATCCCAACCTCCAAAGGCGATTTGACCGCACAAGGCAGGCATGGCATGGGTATGCATTGAAGGTTGGCAAGTTGTCCTAGCTAAAAAAAAAACAAAAACAAAACAAATCCAAGTTGTCACCATGGCTTTTTGTTTTTTCAACAAGTGCATCCTGTCAATTCCAAGTTGTCAGTGTATGTGCCTGCAGGGTTTGCAACCTTGGCCACCGTCACCTTTCAACCTTCCGCATGTTGTGTTCCTGAGTTCCCTTGCAAGATTTTAAGGTCAAAGCATTTGAGACTCGAATGGGTCTGTTTTGCTTAAAAAGGAAAGGCCCGTTTTGCTTTCAATGGGAAACCAAAAAGAAAACCAGCCCTTTTGGGGGTCCACGGCTTTATGAGACACCTTCTGAGTGCGCGAGGGCGGCCATGAGTCGGCGAGTCGGCCAAAACGCCGGCTACGTCAGGCATGGGATCGCTGGGGATCTCACCCAGGACGATTCAGGCGGGGAAGTTCACGAATTTGAATGGGAAGCCGATAGAAAACATGTGTCGTTGTGTGTGGTCGGTGTGTGTCTCGTTGTGGTTGTGGCTTGTGTGCTTTGTGTTGGTGGTAGTGGTGGGTGTTCGTGGTTCTCATCTCTTTATGTGCATATGTTTATGTTTGTGTTAGTTTGACGGGTGTGAAGCGGGCATGTGACTACTTCGTCATACTTGAGCAGCCGAACCCCGTTGGTTTGGATTGGAACCATAATTGGAACCCAAAGACTTCTGCGCGTCCGACTTGTTTCTTCGTCGCATCTCGTCGCCCTAACAGAAACTGGGGTCAATCAAACAGAATCATTGAGAACGGGTTTGATTCTTCGGCTTGCGAGCAAAGGAACTAATCCAGAGGGGTAAATGTGGATCAATCACTCAATCACCGAAGACAGGACATTTTCTTGGATTTCTCTAACAGGTGATTTCGTCAATTTCATTCACTGCTTGTTTTCGAAGGCAGCTAAAGCAATGGCAGTGGCCCCCGATGACTGTTGCCCCCGAAGGACATCATCACCATCTACGGCACCACACGGTGTTTTCTGGACCTCCGCGTGACCAAACCCTGCAGAACTTGTTCACAGGGAGGCGGATGCAGCCTTCAGTGAGCTCGAGTTTTAGGTGTCCTTGCCGGCTTGGATTTGGCGAAAGAAGTTCGCCCTCCAAGACTCTTCAATTGTTTAGGGTAGACTTATATATGAAAATACGGCTTCTTCTTTTTTGTGAGCACTCCAGATGTTCACCTCTAGCCCATCCAATCTGGCCAGGGCTATGCGTGATAGTGCCAGCGGCATGCCTTGACCCATCCGCCAGATGCGCACGTCCAAGTTTTTGGCACTCCCCTTTTTTGAGGCTAGATCCCCTAGTAGTGCCCTTTTTTGGGGGAGGGTTCTCCTGCTAAAATAGACCACAGAAAAAAGATGGCACCCTGGCCCTCTAACCTCTCAACTGGAGGACCTAGGAGGTGTTCACCCATTCCGCTTGCCTATTTTATAGTGAGCCCAGCGATCGGGGGTATAACCAGCGAAAGCCATGAGGAAGGTCCTTGGTTTTGGGATCTTGAATTCAGCTTTTGGAGTTACATGGCCATGGGGCATGACCTATGGCTCTTTTGGGGTGGATGAACATCCATTTGCCACCTGTTCTGATGTTCACCAGGGGTACAGGGTTTTGACCCACAGCCATACATGGAGCTACCCAGAGGCTCCTGGCTTCGGCTTTCAATGGAAGACCCGACCCCTCCATTAGACACCCCGCTTCGGTGGTGGGGGGTCTCAAAACCAGGTTGTTTGAAGGCCCTGGGTCAGTCGGGAGCCTCTGGGTACAGTAAAACTTTGCGGGGACCCATGTTCGGATCCATCTGGAACCGACCAGGCTCGAAGCCACTCAGTTCTTTGCCCGTCGTTGCGCATCGGCTGGGGCGGGCAAGCCGGGTTTCACCGGACAGAGTTGCCTTCGGCCGGCCGAAGAAGGGGGCGGAAGCCTCTTCGATTTGCTCCAGCGGCAGCATGTTCGTAAGGTTTGCTTTCCGCGGGAAATCTGTGCAAGTGAGTGTCCCCATGAAGTTGGGCCTCACTTCTTCCAACCAGAATTAGCTCCCCTTTTTGCTTTTTCTTGCTTTTTTGGGGATCCCTTTGTTTTAGCCGGGGTCCTGAGATCCCACAGATCTGTAGATGTACCCGCTGGAGGGGGGTCTTTTGTAAGACCCCGACAGGTCCCAAAAATTTATCTGGGTGGCACCCAGCCATCCGGGCCCTCAGCCTTTTAGCCTTTGAGTGTTTCGTTTTGGCGGCGGATCTGAAAACAGGCCGCCCAGGGTATGTGTTTTCTTGGTTTGGGTTGCTTTAACCACGCAAGGGTCAACACAGATTTCAGCCCTTGACCAAGGGTTGCGGTCCTTTCCACGGCCCCGGGGAGTCGGATGGGAATGGGCAACGGGCAACGGCGCTGAGCGGATCTTTTTTTACACCTTTGGCTTGGGTTCCGCTGGGATTCTCGTAAGAAAGAGCCCGCGAAAACTTCTGAAAGCCGTGAGCGGGGTCAGCAGCAACCAAGATCATGTCGTGTGCATTTGCTTTTACATATGCATACTACGCTAATACCTATATATATATATATGCATGTCTTTTTGTACATGTATAGGTATATCATATATATATATATACACACACATATATATATATATATATATATATATTTGCGCTGTGAGATGCGGCACTTTTGCCAAAGAACAAATCGGAAGCACCAGAGCACGGGAGCTGAAGGGCATTCCAAGACAGGGTCGGGAGTCGGCAGCTGAAGGGGCGAAACTCGAGTCCATTGCCATGTGGGGCCGCTCAGGGGTGGAACACGCCAAACAGAGCTGAGCTGCGTGAGGAATGGCGAACCAGCACAGGAAGACAGCTACAATCACATCTTGAGTGTGAGTGTTTCTCAAAATTGCTTGTCCCGCAAAGGGTTCGTTGCTTTTGGTCCCCCTTTACGTACACTCCCCCACCAATTAACATGGAACCTGACATTCGGGGCCCAGTCCCTTCAAATCGAAAGTCTTCTACCAGCCCCCCAAACGTCAGGTTGCATGTTAGTTGCTGGGAGGGTAACCCAGTTGTCACCTTTTGGTTTTCCCATTTTGGTCCATTTTTAGTAGAGGTGCCAAAAGGTCAACCTTTTAGTTCCAGGTCCTTTGGGCAACTGAGAAAAGGAAGTCCACCAATCGGAGCACTTCCCAACATTTGGCGCTGACTCTGCGCTCTCGCTGCGGCTCGCTGCGCCGTCGAAATTCGTGAGGAATGTGGCAACTCAGCAGGCCGGCTTTCTCCAAAGCCCTGAACCACTAAAATAGGTTCTATCATGGGTGGTGAATGCACCTACCAACCAAAATGGGGTCCCAAAACGGTTTTGACAACCACGGCCATGACGCAAAACCCATCGTTTAGTCGAAGGGTTCCTTGTTCGTTGGGTGAGTTTTCCCTGAGTCGTGAACATGGGCCAAAGCTCGGTTGTCGTTGGGAAACATTTGTTTAAACGTATTTTTGCTTATTGTTGTTTAGTGGTTGGAATCCAAATCCACTGAACTGCTAAAATTTATTTTTTTGCTCCCCTTCCAACGTCAACCAAGTTTCATGGTGAACCCTCAAAAGTGGTTGGTGGACATGATTCCCAACCTGAAAGATGTCCGCCAAAGTGTCTTTAATTAAAAAAAAAAAAACAAAAACAAAAAAACACCCAAATGGATAAGTGCGTGTGCTTTTTGAGGGTACCCATTTTAGGTTGGTTTAGAGGGAAGCCAAGAAAAGAACCATTCTGGGGGCCCGCTATTTTGACGCATGCCCATTGGCACAAGTAGCTTGCAGAGGGTTGCTGCAGAAGCTCATCCTGCAAGTCGCCAGCAACTGGGCTTGCAGAGGATTTAAGCGCTCACCACAAGGATGTCCGTCGCCAAAGTGTTGCAGGCATATTGGAAGCCTGGCTCACATAGAAGGTGCGTGCTGGTTCGGATCCTAAGTCGCAGGCGGTGGGCTTCCCCCCAAAGAATCCGAAAGGGAAGACCACGTCTTGATTTTACCACCATAACTTGTCATAGCTCCCTGGCACTCGCCCGGATTTTTTTCTTTTTTGGCTCAAGCTGGAGACACCCCTGCTCAGCTCCGGGTCTTAGGTCCCACCAGTCTACAAACTTCCAATCCATGGCGTTCGTCTTCGTGGCAACGGCGTTTTGCTCCATTTTCCTCTCCACGGAGGCGACCACTTCTTTTCGCGGCAACCTGCGACAGGCCAACACCAGCACCTCAGAAGAGATGCTCACCGGGTTCCACTCTGAATCTTTTGGTGGTCGGCTTTCCCGCAAGGAAACCACTGGCAACCACAAAAAGTGTGTTATTTTTGCTCTCAGGGTCTCTGAGGAACTGTTGAGGTTTTGCCATTTTTTGTGCCAGGTATTCAGCCAGGCGTACCCTCTTTCAAGCAAATAAGGAAGTGCAAAGGTGGGGTGCAGGACTACTTCCATGACACTTGAAAAGAGGGTACCTATTTTTTTAGTTGGATCAGTTGAATATCACCAGTCTGATGGAGGACCATGAAAAACATCATATGCCCCACACATGGACATTATTTTTAATTAGGGTCCCTTTGGTGGACAGTATCTTGGTTGGGAATCATGTCCACCAGCCTTCTCAGGTGTTGTAACCTGCATATACTCGGAGGGTTGCCCGTGACAGCGGCAGGCGAAACATCTGCCAAACATGTATCCTGGCACGTGCTAGGAAAAGGCACTGACATCAGGTGATCAAATCTGCGCACGCCAACAGTCATGCAAGAGTTTTCCCCATCCAAAATTGCCTTATTCAGAAGCCGTTGATCGCAGCATCCCATGTGCTTGTGTCAAAGGGGGAACCCCGCAAGTGGTCGTTGACCTTGGCCTAAGCCATGAGCTCGGCCTTGGGAGCCAATTTGGATGATGAAACTCCCGGACGGCAATTTGTGTTGCGCCAAGGCACCTGGGGCTTTCAATGGAAGACCCGACCCCTCCATTAGACACCCCGGAGATGGTTGGGGTCTCAAAACCAGGTGATTTGAAGGCCCTGAGGTTCTATTAACCCAACCTTTGTCTTAACGGTGATACCCTCCCGCCTCTTTTACATGGAACCTGGCGTTCGAGACGCGGTCCCTTGAAAAGGAAAATGGCTATGGGTCAAAAATGCAAAACCCCAAAATGGTAAAGGGAACCAAGGACGAAAACCTGCGGTCCAATTCCTGGTGGTGACTAATTTTGACCCATACCCAACTGGCCATGGGTCGAAAACATGCCAATCCAACCACTAAAATACGTTCTAACATGGGCCAAAATGGGATCCCACTGGTTTGCATCCACAGCCATGACGCAAAACCCTTCGTTTGGTCGAAGGGTTCCATGTTCGTTGGGGCGGCTGAGCCTCCGGGGCGCTCCTTGAGTTTTCCCTCGAGAGTCGTGAACATGGGCCAAAAGGCCCCCCCTTGTCTCGGGTGTCGTTGGGAAACATGTTTTACGTATTTTTTGCTTTATTGTGGTTTAGTGGTTGGAATCCAACCACTTAACTGCTAAAATTGAGAAATTGTTGCTCCCCTTCCAACGTCAACCAAGAACATGGGCCAAAAGGCCCCCAAAGCCCTTGTCAGGTTGCATGATTGGTGCAACTGAACCCCGGGGCGCAGATATCTTGGTGGCTCCAGCCATCCCGGACCCCGAAGCTGTTTAGCCTTTTGGTGTTTAGTGGTTTCCGTATTCAACCAGGGCTCCTTAAAAGATACAAATGTTGCAACCATTTGAAACATGTTGCTTTTTCAACACCAACATACAGTTGGAAACCACCACTTTCAAGTTCCAATGTTCAGGTGTACAATGCCTCCGGATCCCTGTTCACCCACGAACAGTTGTTTTCACTTTTAGCGGGGGATCGGAAAACGGGCGAGACCTAAGGCACCCAGGACCTGAAAGCAGAGGTGCTCGAGGCCATCCTCGCCATGGGGGGCCGCCTCTCAGAGGCGCCAGCTGCCCGTTGCCGGGTCCAAGGGCGCCCTGCGCGGTCTGAACCCGCATGTGTTGGGGGTGGTTTGGTTTGGTGACCATTTTTCTCAAGGGCCCCGCGGTTTCATTGGGATGGTTGGAAGCTTCCTCTCCAGGTCTCGTTGGTCTTTGGTGACCGTTTGCCTCTAAAAGGGGGTTCCCCCCCCAGGGTTCGGTTTCATGCGGATGGTTGGAAGCTTCCTGTGAAGGGACGAAAGGGACCGGGTTTCAGGTTGGGAGCTTTCTGAAAGGCGCAGGCCTAGCACGGAAAGAGAAGTCAGTCCTTTCAGGGTCCTTCCTAAGTGGCGATCGGTCGCTATAGTTGGAACCCACCAGTAACTTGATCAACTTTTGACATCCAGCTAGCTCCAGATCACCACCTTCGCTGTTCCGCATGTTCGCCTTTCTGCAGATTTGGATTCAGCCATGAGTCCCGCTATCTCCCGGCGATTTGCCAGGGTCCCCTGCTGCATTCTGCATTTCTCCTGAAACATCGAGCCCTTCAATGTGCCGCAGGTTCCACCCCCCCCCCCCCCCGCCAGGAACAGGTCCGTGTCTCTCACTTCCTTTTTCGCCCCTGTTCATTTTATAGATATAATATATCAATGCAAGCTTCGACCAAACACTATATGCTAGGTCCCCCAGCTAGGTGCCCTTTTACCGTTTCTTTTTTGAGGGAGGGTTCCCCTACCAAAATAGACTACAGGAAAAAGTCGGTACCCTTATTCTAACCTCAAACTACTGGAGGACCTAGCAGGACTCCCTTCTCAGGGGCCCCGCGTTCATCTCCACATGGCCGTGGTTGTCAAAACCGTTTTGGGATCCCATTTTGGTTGGTAGGTGCATTCACCACCCATGTTAGAACCTATTTTAGTGGTCGGATTGGGCTGTTCACTGGGGCAACCGGGCTTGTGACCCGCCTAGGACTCCCCCTTTCCCGGACCACACGCATCTCCGCATCACTTTCTCGAGCGCTCAAGCCTCGAGCGCTCGCTTGAGCGCTCAGGGGCGGCTCGGGGACCTGGAGGGCGTCATGCGGCCCACCTTCGACGCGATGCCCAAGAACTCCGCGGGGAACTTGGAGCACGCCGCCGCCAGCTACGTGCTGCACCGCCTCTTTGTGCAACGCCACGGCCCCTTGGCGCGCTTTTGGCGCCGCCTGGAGATTTTTTTTGGAAAAAAAGGCAAAAAAAGGAGAAGGACGTTTTCGTGTGGTTTTCTACGTGTGGTTTGCTGTGGTTTTCTCCGGGTTTTGGTTTTGTATGGTTTGTATGGGGATGTATGGTGTTGTATGGTTTTGTGTGGGGGTTAAAGCCCCCTGTTAGTTGTTTATTTTTTTGGGGGGGGAAGCCAGGAGGACATCGAGCATTTTGGGGGCAGTCCCGTTTAGAGACCTTTTCTAAACGGGTGCCCTTGTCAGGGTTGCTAAGACGAGCCCAGTCCGGATCCGAGTGGAGAGGTGATGGCTGCAATGGCGACCTTCCATTTCCATTCTGAACCCAGGGATCCAAATCTTACCGCCGGAATTTTAGGGAAACCGGCTTGCTTTTTTTTTTTTTTTTTTTTTTCCGAAAAGAACGATGGTTGAAAAGAATGGAAAAGGAATCAACCCCTAGAATAAGTCCTTCCTCGACTACATCGTAGGGAGCTTGGAACATGTCAGGGTTGATTTATCCAGGGTCGTGTTTGTGAACAGCACGATGCACTCACGACGTGTTCGATGCGCTCACCAAATGTTCGCCACTGCACCGGCACTTTCCGCGACCGCTGGTGCACTCGCTGCGTAATCAATCCCTGGCAAACATGTTTTGTGACAGGTGCGTTGCACATGCTGCCAGCATTGCGTGTGCAAGAGCCCTCTTTGCACGGTACGAGGTTGTCTCCAACAGTGGCTATCCCTCCCTTTGCTGTTTAGATCTTGGCACGTGCGATCCTCAGGCAAGGTTCCAGCGGGATGTTCAACATGCCAATTGAGCCACAATCAAAACCCGGCTGGATGAAGCTTAGGACAACCCCTGCCATAAACCTCCCCAGAATTAGCTCCCCTTTTTGCTTTTTTGCTTTTTGGGGGTCCCTTTGTTTTCCACCAACCAGGCAAAAAAGATATGTTTTGCCGGGGTCCTAATTCCAGCCTAGTAAATGGGTGCCTTCGCCAGCTGTTCAATTCCAAGCAAGGTGCTGGGATTGCATCCATTTTAATACCGATCTTTGATTGTCACTCATTTTTAGATGGCCCAGGTCTGAGCTTCTATTTCTCCTCCCTTACCAGTTTTGATGGCTGAGTGTTTGCAGGCCGCCAGTGTCTCTGGGGCGATATTCTTCGTCTTGGATTCTATGGTTGGTCAAGGGCCCTGGCCGATGCTTGCACTGGGTTTCCAGAGAGCCATTGGGATTGGGGAAGTTCTAAATACCTCCAATCTGCTCGACACCCAAACTGCTACTGGTATATCACGACTTCCATTTCGGGTCGGATCACAGATTTCAGTTTTGTGATGTCTTACAATGTGTTTATTTTGCCGAGGAGGATAACAGTTGCTCACGTTCGGAAAATCGATTGCATGGTAGCTCCTGCGTTGCAAAAAAAGCTCACAGACTGCCCAAACATAGTCCAGCAAATAATTGTTTCTTGGTGCCGACTACGATTGTGGGAGTCCAGAACATATATCTTTTTGTTGGACGATTCTGGGAGAAAAAGTAAACAAAGCCGAACTTCTATGATGTATGGAACACTCAGTTTCCCCAACCTCCTAAAGTCGCCAAGCCGAACAGTTCTCGGTGTTTTTTGATTGGAAAACCATCTTTCCCCCCCCCAGATAGCTGAAAGCTATAGGGGTTCTAACTTCTAATAAAGAGGGGAAAGTGATTTGCGAGATTGATGGGCTGGTGCTAGGGGGCGTGCAGTTTGGGTTGCTGGTGTAGGCGCTGATTGGGGTGCTGTTTGAGGTGCTGATGGCAGCGCGGGCGCATCTTTTCAAGATTAGCGGTAGGGTGCTAGGGAGTATGCAGTTTGGGGTGCTTGTGCAGGTGCTGCTTTTGGGGGTGACGGTGCGCGCGTATTTTTGCATCTTGATGGTAGGACGCAGGCACTTTGGTTTGCTGGTGCTGATGGTGCTGTGGGGCGCAGTTTGTGGGGAGCTGTTTGAGGTGCTGGTGACGGTGCGGGCGCATTTTTGCGATATGGACGCTCGGGTGCTATCGGGCATGCAGGTGACGGTCCAGGCGAGGTTTGGGATTCAGTTTGGGGTGCTGGTTGATTTTCGCAAGATTGACGGCTGGGTGTCTTGGGGGGTGCTGTTTGTTTGTTTTTTCAGGGTGATGGTGTGGGCGCATTTTTGCTCGATTGACGGCCGGGCTTTGCTTGGGCGTTCTTCGGGGGGGTCCTTTGGAGGTGCTGGTGTGCAAGCACTGCTATCTGGTGTCTATGCTGGTGTATATTTTTTCCGGAGGTTCCTTGGAAACTCGGCCTAGGAACGCCGGAAAAAGAAGAAGAACCCTGTTCGCTTTTTTTTTCAGCGCACTGCCCGTTTTGTTTTCTTCTTCTTCCGGTTTCTCGCGCATGCGTGGCATTTGGGTGTGGCTCAAGATTAATCAACTGGGGTTACGCAGGCTTTAGGCGTTGGTTCCAGTTGCCAAGGTGACATTTTGGTACCGTTGTTTTCATTTTTTTCGGTCAGTTTTTGTTTGGTTTCTCGCATGGGGCTGGGCACTGCCCGTTTTTTCTCCGGCGGTTTTCGTTTTTGGCGCCGGGCGTGGCATTTGAGGCATGTACATCAAGGGCCTGGAGCCGGCGGGCGCCGGGTTCCAAAGGAGCTCCGCCACGGAGGCCGGCGGAGCGGAGGCGTTGATTTTCGGGGATGGGAACGGAGCTGAGATTTGCTAAAAACATAAAGCGTGTGGGTTGCAACAGAAATTTTGTGTTGGTGTGGGTTGCAACAGAAATTTTGGTGTGTTTTTTTTGTGTTGCTTTGTTTTTGGGTTGTTTTTCCCCTTTCGGAGAGCCACAAGAAGTTGCGGTTTTTGTTTTTGCGGAGGGGTCGGCAACCAAAAGGTGTCAATGGAAACAACCAGTAGCTTGCGGCAACTTTGAATTTGGGGGAAATCCAGTGACCCCATATGTCCTCCCTCGGGGGCGTTGGTTTTCGCATCGCCTGGGCCACTTTGAAGTGAGGTTCCTTGAGGGGCGATGATTGAAGAGGAAGCAAGGTGGGTGGGATGGAGGGCTGGAGCTGGTGGGGGCAACGTCTCAAAAATGTCGACCCCTGAGTGATCATCCAGCCTAGTGGGTGAATAGCGGGTGCGTTTGCCCCAAAGTGACGAATTCCCTGATACCCCCTTGTAACAGAGGTCATTGTTCCCGAAGTGATTGGATATGCCAATAAGATATCCTACTACAATAAGTGCAGGGTTGTTTGAAGCCTAGCTTGGTTTCGCGAAGCAGCCCATATTAGGGGCGGGATTCAAACAGATATGAGTCAAGCTCGTGCCCCTAACAGCCTGTCAACCTAATCCATTGGCGTTTTGCGTCTCGCTTGATCATATTTTTTGCCACAAGGCTTCTGTGGGTCGCAGCCCGTTTCCGGCGAAGAAAGGCAAACGGACCACAGTCGGACTGGTTTTTGTCGTTTCCTGGTTGGGTCCTGGTTCCAGACAAGTCCTAAGCAAGTCAGTTTTCAAGAAGGCGGAAGGAAGCAAGGCGCAAATGCCCAACTCAGCAGGCGCTCTGTGGAATGCGCCAGCTGGGCCCATGCAGGGAGAATCATGTCCAATCAAAATGACTGAAACTTGAAAGCGAACCGGCCACCACTCAAGTTTGGCTAGGTCCCCCAGTAGTGCCTTTTACCCCTTTTTGCGGGAGGGTTCCCCTACTAAAGTAGACTACAGACAAAAGGGTGCCCTTATTCTAACCTCTCTACTGGAGTAGGCACAGGGCGACATGTTGCATTCTTTGTTGCTTGCAACTCTTTCTGTCCAGACATCGCGTGGTCCGAGACCCGCATCGTGCCCGCACGAAGTTTGGCCCTTGGAAGTCATTCCCACGATTGTTAGGGGCGGGCCAAAGAAGCTTTGGGGCCCCAAAGCAGAAACCCCATCGGCTGTTTAATAGGCCTTAGTTGCCAATATTATTTTTCGGAATCGGTAGGCCCCGAATTTCGGCCCCAAAGTCGCTAAGGAATATTGGGGAATCGGCTCCTAGGGCCCTTAGAACTCGATGGAATGAGAGTCGCAAACACCGCCTTTATCTATCGGGAGTTTGGTGCTTGGGGAATTTGCGAATCGGCTTCTCTTCGGCCTGTCCATAGAACCAGTCAAGCACCTGATGGAATCCGTGGAATCCATGGGAGCTGGGGACTCGGCCCCGAAAAGGGCGGCCTGGAATCCATAGAGCCAAACCGACGGCGTCGTATGGGACGAGGTTCTGCAAGATCGCGTGCCCACCTTCGTCCAGTCCCTCTTTGAGGAGAGGTTGAAGGGCCAGGGCCCCTCGAACCGAAGCGTGAGGCTCAGTTGTAAGCGAATCCACCTTTTGAGTCCACTTGCTTAAGTTATATATATATATATATATGTCTATATATATATATATATGTTGTTGTGTTTATTTCATTATTATTTGTGCCTTCCGATTTTAAAGGGGATCTATATAAACACTATTGGACACATGTGCTTTAGTGGACTTAAGCAAATGGAAGCTGACTTGTTGGTTTTCCTGTTTTGGTCCAATTCTCATACATAGATCCCAAGAGGTGATCACTTCCTACGGGGCAACTGCGGCGAGGTTTGGGGAGCCCAAGCTGGGGAGCTGACCAAAGTCACTGGGGCATGGCAAGAACATTCGACGCGGTGGCTGTTGGGAGACATTTTACGCATTTTGCTTATTGTGGTTGATTGGTTGGAATCCAAATCCGCTGAACTGCTAACCTGTTTGAATGTTTGCTCCCCTTCCAACGTCAACCAAGTTGAGGAAATCCGGTTGAAGGATCTGCGCTGGGCAAGTGAAAGCAGCCACGGAGAAGTCACGTGTTTTGAGCACAACCTTCGAGCAGTTCCACAGCTCTTGAGCTTTTTAGTTTCTCATTGTTTCTACGGGTTGGACTATATATTGTTCAACCTCCCTTGGGACCCAAAGGTATTGTCGCGTTTGGCACCCACTTGGTTTTGCTTTTTGTTTCACTTTGAACAAATCTGTGACAAGTACCTTCGAACAGACACACACCCACACTTACGCACTGAGGCTAGCTGAGGATTGAGCTTGCGTCCAGTGAGGGTTTCCAAAGCCTTTGCCAGCCTTTGCCAAGGGCATCCTCAAAAATGACACGCAAAAAAGCAAGGTTGTTTGCCTCAGATTTCCATTCGACCAACTTGAAAAGACAGGAAAACCATGGGAAGCCTTAGGGGTGAAAAATCGCATGGGAAACCACAGGAGCCGGGTTGTGGGATCAAGGGGCTTATCCCTACTTCTGTGATACAAGGGAATCCCCTCTTTATATGGTGGGTTCGTCTTTGGGGTTAGGCCCTTTTTGTTGTGTCACAGAAGTGGGTTCCATTTCCCACAGCCTTTTGGACGCCGTACTCGTAAGGGTGGAAAATCGCATGGGAACCACACAATTTATTGTTTTGTTTTTGAAAACATAAAAAAAGAACTATAAACGCCCAGCCTCCACCAAATTGAGGCCTCAGCCACCCAGCCCAGCCCAGCCACCCAAGGCTTGAGCTTGCACGAGCTGGCGGTGCTGGCGGCCACCCTGGAGCATCTGATTTCAAAGGAGGCCATCGCCCGGCTGAGACTTGGATTGGCTTTTGGATCTCTTAGGCTTTGAACTGTTTGGGTGGATTTATAGGTCTTGAGACTTTTGACCCTTTTTGGTGGATTTGAAACTTGGATTGAGATATCTTAGGCTTTGGAACTTTTTAAGTGGGTCTATGGATCTTGAGACTTTTGACCTTTTTTGGTGGATTTGAAACTTGGATTGAGATCTCTTAGGCTTTGGAACTTTTTAAGTGGGTTTATGGATCTTGAGACTTTTGACCTTTTTTGTGGATTTGAGACTTGGGTTGCTTTTGGATCTGCTAGACCTTTTGACCCTGCTGGAATTTCCTTGGGTTTAGATATCTTAGACTTTGGAGCGTTTTGGTTGGTTTGAACATGAGTATCATAAAATGTTGTCCTGATAATTGTGTTTCTTGTTCCAAAAATGTTGGAATGCCAGACACACAAAACGTCTAATAAATAACCATTTTGCTTGGATTGCTACTAGATCTCTGAGACTTTTGAACTTTTTTGGTGGATTTGAAACTTGGATTGCTATGAGATCTCTTAGGCTTTGGGACTTGTTTGGTGGAATTTGAAACTTGGTTGCTATCAGAGCTTGAGACTTTTGAACGTTTTTTTCGGTGGATTTTTGTTTGGGTTTTCCATGTTGGACCCACGAACAAGTTGTGGTTACAGCTTTTTCTCGCCTCCCGAGTTCATGGACTTTCGCCTTGGGTTACGCCATTTTGGCGTACAAACAGTTTAGACGTTTTTGGGCCATCCAATCAAAGAAGTGGCTGGTGGTTGGAAGGGAGCCAAGGAGCTGGGGGTATTCAAATTTGCTTTTAAAGAGGGAGCTAAGGAGCTACCAGGAGTTCTGGAAGGGCATGGTAATTAATTATTTGCTGGCTCGTTGCAGCAAGGAAACTCGCCTACGCCGCAGAAAACTTCTCTGAAGCTGAGCGCATCAGCACTCAGGACCGGTCGGAAGGGACTGAGTTTCTGGGACTTTTTTTCGGGGGAATGCTTGGGTGTGCCTCGTTTTGTATACTCTTGTGGCAGATTTGCTGATGTGAGGGGGAATTAACGGAATCCTGCATCCTTTCCCCCATAGTTTAAATGGAAGCAAACGTGCGCCCATCATTTGTGGGTCTAGTTTGCACACACACACAACACAAAACAACACAATGCAGCGCAACGCAACGCAACACAATAACACACAACACACAACACAACACACAACACACACCACACAACACTACACAACACTACACTACACACAACGCATTGCAACGCAACGCACCACAACACACAACGCATTGCAACGCACTCCAACGCAACCCAACGAACACAACACGCACATGGACAGCACACACACGCACACAAAACACACAAAACACGCCACACATGAAATTACAGCACAACACATCACAACACAGCACAGCACAGCACCACACCACACCACACCACACCACACCCCACACACACCACATGCAACGCACTCCCACGCACAAACCACACCACACGACACAACACAACACACACACACACACACACACGTTTTTGTTGTTTTTTTCTTTAACACCCACCGCGCCAAGAGTACCCTGCAAAAAAGGCACACCCTGCAACCCGGTTTGGCAAGGACGGTCAGGGGGTCAGGTTCCGGCTTGAATTTAACCCAGGTGGTTTTAGACGTCACTTTTTGGAACGCCCGCTTTTGTTTATCCCCTGGCGGGGAGACAACTTGCCTGTTCAAAAACCGCCTCTAAAGCCTTTGGTTTCCCCTTAGCCCATGTGTTAAGGGCCCAAGGGTCCAAGACCGACTTTGTTGAGCACAAGAATGGGAGGACAACAGGGAGTCAGGAAAGGGCAACAGCAATCCCGTCGGCGCCAGGACGTGGATGAGCTCTTGGATACCTACATGACCATGATTTTGGTGGGCACATCAAACAAGCAGGATCTTCTTGAAGACAAGGCCAAGCTCTTCTCGGGCTACCAATTCTGGAACGAGACCCAGACCTTTGCGCGCCAGGCCATGGGATTTTCGGCGTCCGTCCGACAACCGGAGAAAAAAAACATAGAACGAAGTGGGACGGTGATCAACCTGCAGCCAATGGCACTGAATTTTCATGGGCTCCTTAAAAGATGCATTTTGCACATTTGAAACATGGCTTTTTCCACCAAAGTAAGGGGAACCCACCATTGACAAGGCAGTGTTCAGGTGTACAATGTAAGGATCCCTGATTCTGATTGCACTTGCTCATCGGCTGGAACCCCACTTTTGAGTTGATGACAACCAACCCACTTGCGTGAAGTGAAGCTTTTGCCAGGTGAGGCACCGTGCTAAGAGTTGGACCTGGGAATGGAAACCGCGCACCAGCTCCGGCGCGCGCCCGCGCATTCTTCCTTTTGCCGTTTGCCTGTTGCCGGACAGAACATGCACGCTGATTCGGGTGACACCTTTCGTTTCCATTCCGGCCCATCGCGGTCCGAACATGTCCGAACTCTCAACGAAGTCTCTAGGCCCTTTCTCAAAATGAGACACCCCTTCAAATTGTTGCCTCCCTACCCACCAGAACCCCTCAGGAAACTTGCCTTCCAGGCCCCCATGTTAGGTGCTGGGGTCTCCTGCAAACCCATGTTAGCTTTTAGAAGCGAGATGCGGAACGGAACCTGAAGGCAGTGCTTTTGGAGCGCCCCACGTGTGGGTCAAGAATTAGTCTAGGTCCCCAGTAGTGCCATTTTACACTTTTTTGGGGGAAGGTTCCCCTACTAAAATGGACCACAGAAAAAAGGTACCCTTACGCTAACCTCTCTACTGGAGGACCTAGCAGTGCCCACATTACCCTGACCAGGTTCGCAGCAGTGTGGCCGGCTCTCGAGAAGCCGAGGCGAGCGGCGACATGGGAAAGCCGTTTTCGGCGGCAAAATTTTGGCAAGTGCTTGGAATGTTGAGGTTTCACTTCACCGCAGCTTGAGTTCTTCCCATTATCCCGTGTTTACCCTAAGTTTTCTTTGCCTGGGGCTTTGCTGTTTTGACATCCTTGCCCTTGCACTTGGCCGAGGTCACCTAATGTCGGCCTTCACCATTAGTGGCCCACTCCCTCTCTCTCTCTTTTCAAGTTTATAGTGTGGCAACTTTGCCAAAAAGCGAGACGGGCGCAAAATGTACATAAAGAATTAAATATTTTCTTCAGTGCCTCAGAAAACATTCCGTGTTGATTTTGGTCCATTCAATGATTTGAGCAGCGCTCAACGGGAGTTTCGCCTGCACTCTACATAGCCGATGGTTCTCGGTCCGGCTCCAATGAGCCGGGCGAGACGGCAGTCAGGCACTGGCTGAGGTTTCTTTGGTGCATGCCAAGGGATGTTAGGACTGAACAACTTGTTGCATTCCAACTAATGGGTTTTCCGTATTAAACCACGTCACTAAAAGTTAGTTACTTTGAGCAGGGGAGCAGAAAGAAAACGAGCTTGGGCCAATTCGACCACAAGCGCACATTAATGGGAGGGTTAGCGCCAGTCACCGAAAAATCCGCGTCTCCGTCCTTATCAAGCCCGAACACTGCCATCACTTACGCGGACACTCCCACCTAGGCCATGTTGCAATCCTAGGTCAATGGTTTTGGAGAATGCCGCCTGCTTGCACTCGCAACTTAGTCCACCCCCTTGTTGATCAACAGAAAGCCGGGCGTGCCATAGGTGTCCTTTTTGGAAAACCGATGGCCCTGGTAGATGATTGAGCCACCAGGTAAGCCAGGGCCCTCCGTTTTTTAAGCAAACCAACCAAAAAGGACACCTTTCTGTTTTCAGATGAAGCAAGCGCGGCAAGCAGGCAGGGCAATGACTAGCAAGCAAGACGACACAGCCTCTGAAACCGACATAAAGCAAGTAAAGAAATACCGGGACGAACACATGTGTTGTTGGTTTTCGTCTTTGGTAGTTCTTTTCCGCTTTACGCCTGAAGCCTAAACCGCAGCCAAACTCATGCCTGCAGCCGCGAAAGCAACTTGAAACCATCCCTTATTTCACCCAACACCCCAAATTCATAGCTGCATCTTTCCCACAGCCCACATTGACAGCCCTGAGCTCCCGTCTTTTGCGTGTTGCGATTGCTCTTTTCACCGCCGAGGCCGCGGGAAAGAAAGCGTCCTGGAAACAAAAACACGTTTCAGGCCGAATCTCGACCCCGAAGCAGATCCTGTTTTGCCTTGTGTGCCACTTGCCGTGTGGATGCTTGCCAGTTGCTGATGCTGATGTCGGATTAATCCCCCCCCCCCCAACCCCTCCGCCGCAGAAGGTCAAATCTGTTAAACGGGTTCGGGGGAGAAGGTGGTCCGTGGGAGAAGGTAAGGACGCATCCGGAAATTAGACAACGCTTTCATTGGGCCGGAATTGAAATCAATCTATGCTTTGCGAGAAAGAAGGTTGTTGCCGAACGCGCCGTAATATTATAGTTTTTTTTTTTTTTTTATGTTTAGAATTGTTTTGTTTCGAAAGCAGGCCTTAGTAATCGGTGTAATCCAATGTTAACATATTGTTCAAAAAGTGGTTCACAAAATGGGAACAAAGACCACACCTGCGCAACCCCAGCTGTTTAATTTTCAGCCATACCCATATGCTAGCATCATTGCATCTCCAAATCTTAGCCACTCTTGCTTTTGACCACAGCTTCCGGTAGGGTACGGCGCTACTCAGCGAACTGGGCTTGGGATTTCAGTCCAGCGTGCGAATTCTGCTGCAGGAGCCGTTTGTCGAGGGCATCTCCTTCGAGGGCATGCGTCAAATTGTGGAGGTCGCGCGGGAAATCGGGGGAAGATGAGGTGTGTGGAATTCTTCCACCCCCCCAGACCCCCCCCCCCCCCCGACTGCCAGTGGCCAGAGGTGTCTCAAGTGGCTTTAGATCCCGGTAAACCCCGGGGTTGGTTAGCATGCCAAAGATCGGTCCGTTTCTGCATTGGCAGGAGTGGATTTCGGTGGTCACAGAGAAACGCCTTATGGGGGTGCCGCCTGCTCAACTGCAGCAGGATCCCTAAAAAGAAGCACGAGGGGGATAGGTGAAATGAAATACATCAGTCATAGAAACCAGCTACAGGAATTGGAGTTCTACGGCAAATTGTCCAAACACCCACCAAAAACCAAGGATGTCCGGTAGAGTGTCCCTTTCTGCCGGTTTCAAATTTTGGGGCTCCGGCACGTTGCAAGTCCATGGGGGTCCCGGGCCCGAAATGATGACTGTTTGGGTGGTTCAACCAAGGGGTTTCCGGGAAGACACCCACCCCATCAATCAACCAGGGGGGGATTTTCCCGGGTTCCCATTGGCAAGTGGTGGGAGGCAACAAGTATCAAGACATGCCTCGCAGCACATGGCGCTTTCTTGTCGAGCCTGCTTTCTTTCAAAAATATATTTGACCGGCTGAGGATTGCAAAGTATGTGGGCCTGTCCTTTTTTGAGGGACCCGTTTCTGGTGGTTTCGAAAGGACGCTACAATGAAAGGTTGCTGCATGTGGCATCCCAAGAACAGCGCATCATCCGCAGGGCAGGACGCCCTACTCGCCAATTGCCATGCAGGAGATTGGGGAGCGCTATGGGCGCTGGCAAGATGCGGAATGCCAAGACCTGAAACGCGCGCTCATGCAGCTTGGCATGAAGTACACGTTTCTCCGCTTTTGGGGACTTTCGGGGCTCAGAGGGCGGCCTTGAACCAGGTTGGTTCCACTGGTTTAGATGGGATAAACATTCCATCTACCAGGGCCATCGATTTTTTCCAAAACGGCCAGCTATGTTGGGGCGGCTTAAGCCAAATGGCAGCCAAAGGGAAGCCACCTGTTTTGGTGCCATGGGAAGTCACAGATCCACCTCGGGTCCAACCCATCGCCTGCCTCCCCCTTTCTTTGGTTGGGAGATTCGGTTCCCCTACTAAAATAGACTACAAAAAAAAAGTTGGTACCCTTATTCTAACCTCTTTGGCGGGAAAAAAAGGGTACCAACTGATTCTAAGGTCTCCACTGGACCCAGAATGTCAGGCATGTGACATGTCCATACGATTTTCTCTGGCACACTTTGCGTGCAAGAGCAACTCCCAGACCTGTGACCTGTCAGTTTCTTCCTTCGGGGAGGCGCCCGTAGTCAAGTACAAAAAGCTCTGGGAACGACCTCGCACGACCGAAGTCACCCCAAATGGTGGAGTTTTTGTGGGGAACAGCCCCCAACCGCCGCAAGTTTCGGGTTGGTGAAATTAGAATTCACCCAAAAAGCTGGGGTAGACTTAGGATACATTTTACATTTTACCAGCGACTCCAAGTGAAGCAAGCAATAACATATACATTCTATAACTGATGGCCTAACTCCAATCGTGAAAGGATTGCCCCTTTTTCCTTTGGGCCCAGGTGGCCTCAGAACACGCCTTCGCAAGCGAAGACATTCCAAAGAAGCGGTCCCTTGTCTCGCGGCCAATCATTCGGCGCCTACCCGGTTGGTGAACCCTTGTAAGAAGGTTTTATACACGCCTTGTAAGAAAGCTTCAAAGGCCTGGGATTGTTATTGTTTGATGGTTTCTGGCCAGCAAAGTTGCAAGACATGGGGTTCTTTCCCTTTAACCTACCACTTGGGTGACTTAAAACCTTTCTTGGTCTTGGGTACAGCGTTGTTTCCAGGAAGAAGGAGCATCGTGGCACCGGCCGCGTGTTGCTGAAAGACTTCTACAGCGAGGGCCTGACGCTTGGAGAAAGTCCCCCAGCGTTGGGGTTTTGGGGTAGTTTTTGGCCCCATATGGGTGTGGCTCCAAATTTAAGAGCTAGGTTACGCAGGCTTTAGTCTTTGGTTCCATTTAACAAGATGCAATTTTAGTACATTATGTTTTTGAGCCACAGCCATATGAAACAACCCTAGTTCATAAATAGGCGGGTGGGGGCTCCTCCAAAAGTGGTCTGATTCCCACATTTCACCCCGGCGCACCCCCCTATTACTAAACCGGGATTGATTTATATGGGGCCAACATTAGACGAAATATGCTTTATGTCTTTGGACAACGGTGGTGGACCCAAAAAAGGCTAAACTTTTGCAGAGAAACTGCAACCAAGTATGGAGCATAATCTGAGCACATCCCCACCCTCTTAGCAACGGAATTGGGGGCGGGGGGTGACCCTGGAAGTCCATTCATGGTTGCATGTTCCATTTTATGAGGAAAACTGCATTCCCCGACCCCCACCCCCCTCCCTTATAGCCAACTTATAGCCTTATGGCAGGGGGAATCTGAGCACATCATGTTTGAGGTGTGGAGCTTGGCTCGCCTTGGTTTCGGCGGTTGATTTGAAACAAATAAACGAAGGCTAGGAACTGGACTGATGTGACCCCCAAGCAAAGCTATGGGGAGGGGGGGCTATCCCTTATTACGACCTTTCGGCCTTATTTTTGGGCTTATCCTTGGGTTATCCTGGGCTTATCCAGGCATAGGCACCCCTCATAGCCCCCGCCCCAAGATTCCGTGAATGGACTTATGTGACCCCATGGGCTTTTGCGGCGTACGACAGAATTGAGGTGTCTGCTTTGGAGGAACGTCGCGTTTTCAGATTTTCGGACGATGCATGGCCATGGGGCCGTTTGGTGCATGCCTCTTCGGCACGCAATTCCCAGCGGGACACAAAGATGAGTTAGGGCGAGCACACGACTTCACTGCTATTGGGTTGGATCTTTAGACTTCAACTTTTTGGTTGAAATCATTTGGGGTTTTCCACTAAACCCACAAAAAGGGAAGTGGAGCAAAATTGCGCCATACGCTGGTCATGCATTCGGCACGAGCGCCAATGATGCCAAGCGCATGGTTCGTTGCGGGCTTGGAACGGAACCTGCTTTTGGGGCACTCGTTGGGGTGCCATGTGAATATTTGCAAGGATGTAATGGTCCGGGCTTGCCCAGCCAGGCAATGCTTGGCAAAGTGGGGAGGAATGATTCACCAGGCTGCTTCCAGTCTGTCAGCAATTTGTAGTGCATGATTGGTGTGCCTGGCTGATATGGATGCTGACTTCGCCCTGTGAACTGTTCAACAAACATAACTTCCTTGGCCAAGATCGCCCGTGGCTAAGCGGCTTCGCGCGCGGCAACGGGGCTTGAAAGACCGAGCCGTTGCTTGAGTAAAGGTGCCAACCGATTGCGCTGTTGATTGTTCTATTCTCGCCGCTGAAGTTGGCTTTTCAGCATCCCAATCCCCAATCCACCTTAATTTGTAGGCCCTGTCATTCGTTCGCAGCCTTGCGAAAATGACCCCTCTCCGCATCTCCGCATCGGATTTTGTGACGTTCCGTTTCGCTCGCCGTCTGGCGCTCGCCGTTTCGGCCAGGAAAGGGCAGTGGCAGTTCAGCGAATCTGTGGAGTACCTCAGGGAGCTCGGGGCGCTCCATGCTGGCGAATCGGTCTTCATCGCCAACTACGTGAACGCCAGCGGTCCAAGAATTCATTGGATGGAAAAAACCGGGCTAAGAGACGAATTGGGTCCCAACGAGCTGGTTGGAAGGGAGCTGTCAAGGAGCTGGGGGGGTATCCGAAGTTGCTTGTAAAGAGGGATCTGAGGAGATACCAGGAGAGTTCTGTCCATAGTCCATAGCTGTCCTTTTGATCGATTTTGGTTAGAATTTGTCCACTGGTTCAGGTTCCGTGCCAAAAAAAACAAAAAAAAACAGAGAGATGCATCAAATTGTCCAAAGGGTCACCGAAGCTCGCAGCTGTCCAAAACATGTCTTCCTTTGGGCAGGTCTACTCACTGCTGTTGGGTTGGATCTTAAAATTTTATTTTTTGGATTCCCCTCCTATCTCCTTTTCACCAGCAGAAAGTTAGACTTTTTGCTGGGGGATCTACCAAACCCTAAACCCTAAACCCTAAACCTGGTGCGCACATGCAACTCGTGCGCTTTTATCTTGCCACAGCGCCCCAGGCCAGAAGCGTTCCGGTTCGGGTTGCTTAAACAACTATTTTTGAATCCTTGTGCCAGATGGTAGTGATTTCCCTCGTGGTGTCCCACTGCTGGTTATGTTCCCCATTTTGATTAAAATGCCCAAGTTGTTCAGTGCCACCATTTGAAATGCTGTTTTCCTCCTCAGAGGAATCGGCTTGAAGACCTTCAACTATTCTAGGGGTACGTTCCATTTCCATTCTTTCCAGGGATCCGAATCTTTCTAGAAAACCTCCGGAAACCAAGGGAACACGGCTCCGGTTCTTGGAAAGAAGGATGGTTGAAAGAATGGGGAATCACCCCCTAGAACTATGTTTGTTTTTTCTGGGGCATGTTGTTTTCGCGAGGCGCACTCCAACTGCCTCTCTTCCAGCGGGCTCTATTCCATTTGCTGCATCAACGAGTGCGAGTCCTTGCTGGGCCACCTGGAGGCGAAGATCGCCCAGCCGGAGGCGGAAGTGGAGACCCTCCTCGCCGCCCGATCCCACGGAAGCCCTGGCGTTGGGGCGGGAATTCGAGCGCCCGTTTGTGGGCGAGAGGCGAGCGCCCGCGTAGGAACTGGATTGGAGGAAATCCCCTTTTCTTCGCCAGAATTAGCTCCCCTTTTTTTTGCGTTTTTGGGGTTCCCTTTGTTTTCCACTAACCAAGCAAAAAAGATAATTTTTAGCTGGTCCTGATTCCAGCCAAGTTTTGTGAAATGACCTAGGTGTAGCGTACGGTGATCTTGAAATACCTCATTTTTGATTTGTGATTTTACAGAAATCGCAGCACGACAAATGAGGCACACCATGGTTTTTATTGGGGAATCCAATCAGAAATTCCAGGGTTTCGTAGGTGCGAAATTGTTTTCGTCCATCCGCAGTGGCAAGAGGATTCCGGTGTTGGACTAAGGCAGACTTAAACCCAGAGTTGAATTCCCCAAAAGGGAAAGCCCCCTTGGCTAACATCTATAAGGTAGTCAAGAAATGAAACCTTGCAGAGGAAAGTAGTCGCTTGAGATTTGGTCCATCTTTAGTCAAGGTTCCAACACGTGATCACCTTCTATTGTTGGGTCCGTTGAGCAAGTGAGAAGGACGGCCCATGTTGGCATTGGATCTTGGAAAGGTGAACAGATGGAAAATGGGAACGGCCACATTAAAGTGGGAAAGTCGGCCGGATTTTGGATCATGGGCGTGTGGGTCCTAGGGTCATGGCCCGCGTTGGCATCACAAAATGGGTCTTTCCACGAGGGAAGACCAAGGTCAGCGGATACGGTCTTTTAGCTCCACAGACCCTTGGTGGCCGCCTTTTAGGGTTTTAGGGTTTAGTGGTAGTTTCCATTGAACCCACTGAAAGTTTCACTTTTAGCAGGGGATCTGAGGGCAGCCCAGTACCATCAGGGGACTTGATCCCCCTGAATCTAACGCTTGAAGGCAACGTCTCCCGCATGCCCATTGCATCCCCCGCACATTCGATGCTTGGGGGTTTGCCAAAACCCGAGCCGTTCGCATCGCGGGCTGAGCATGCTTGAGTGCCTGTCTTGGAGTCCGACATAGACCTGAAGCGCCCTTGATTCCTTGCTTCCTTGGGAGTGTCCCTTTAAAGTCAACCAGAAGGTGGGTGCCTTTTGCCTGCAGGGGGCACGAGCGGCAGCCCAAATCTGCACAATCAAGTACATGGATGGTCTACATGGTGTAAGCTGTCCCTCTGCAAATGGACAGGGGCCATCCTTGTTTTTAACGTTGTGATCTTTCTGTTGAACCGTTGTCCGGATTTGGAAACAAATCCCCCCCAACACCCATTCTTTTGTTTTTTGTGTAGCCGGCAACCTGCAACCTCCCCAGGCGCCCAAGACTCTACATAAGGCCTTTGAGACCCTAAATACATAGGCCTTGAACGCCCCAAGATCTCTCATATCTTGGGATTTGATGGCCTGGACTCTCGTAAGGTCTTGGAACTTCAGGGCCTGACTCCAAGAAGGAAGCAACGGCTCCACATGGTCGTTGGGAAACCTTTTTTTGGTGCATCTTTTTTCTTCTTGTGGTTTAGTGGTTGAGATCCAGCCACTTCACTGCTACAATTATTATTTTTTGGCTCCCCTAACCCAAAGTCAACCAAGTCCACAGCCTCTGCTCCCCTCCGACTCGACCTCCGACTCGACTCGACTCCGCTCGGCTCGCTCCGCTCGCTCCGAGGCCTTGGTCTCGGCGCTGCCCTCGGCCACGACGCCGGCGCCCGCCATCGCCGGAGACCTGCGGCGGCGCCTGGAGGCGCAACCTCCGGGCGGGGGAGAGTGCGGGACTTCGGGGGGGGCCCCCAGGCCCCAAGAGTAGAACACATGAATGGGGTTGAATGGGGTTTCTGGATTTTTGGTGTCCCAACTTAAATCCAGCCGAAGAGGGAGGAGTGCCCTCGAAAAAGGCCCACACCCACATGTGGTTTCTAGGGTTAACGGGTTTTCGGACGTTTTAGTTTCCCTGCAGACTTCCTGCAGAAAGGCTCGCCACGTCCATGAAACCATGCGTTTCATGCACCTTGCTGTGGTTCTGGACCCTGTAGCCGCGGGTCCTAAAGGGAGTTTTGACCATGGCACACATGTGCAACTGATAAAATCCTGTTGTAGACCATTGTGTGCCATTGTCAGTGGTAGCTTTGGTGCATTTTGCAAAATGTTAGGACCGCAACTTTTTGCCAACTAATTAGACCTCTAAAAGTTCAACTTTCAGCAGGGGAGCAGAAAGCAACCGAGGGTAGACTAGTTGACCATGCCACTGGTAGACTAGGCCATTCTTCTCTGAGGGCCCAGGTCCTTGCCGCTGCGCTCCCCAGGGGCGTGATGAACACGTCTCCAATGGCAGGTTTGCCAGCTGCGCTCCGACCGGCGGTAGGTTTTCCCAACCATGTTTTCTTTGATTGATACATGTTGCCAGGGGATGTGAGGACTTTAACTTTTTGCCAACTCATGGGTTTTCCGAATCAAACCACAAACAGTTAAACTTTTAGCAGGGGAGAAGAAATTAATGGTTTCACCTGGGTTGTTCCCTGACACCAAATGTTCCCAACGATGTTTTTCCTTTTTAACCGTCGGACAGCCAAATTTTGTCAACCATGTTTCACCTGGGTGTTCCCCAACCATGTTTTGTTTCACCTGAGGTTTTCCCGATGGAACGCCACAATTTCCGCCATGTTTTTTTGTTTCCATGACTTTTCCCTTTTCGCCAGGACATCGCTCGTCTCCATGGGGGTTTGGTGCCAATTCATGGGCGTCTCTTCGCCCAGTGGCTGCATCACGTCTACCCGTGCCGCGGCATTTAGACGTGCGGGCAGGGGGGGGCTGGTCTCTCCCCCCCTCACTCTCTCACTTTGTTTCCTTAGTCTTTCTGATTTTCTTTATCCGTTTTTGTTTTCTTCCGCTTTTCCTCTGTCTCTCTCTCTCTCTCTTTTTTCTTTCTCTCTCTCCTTCTCTTTTGCTTTCTCTCTCACTCTCCCTCGCCCTCGCCCTCGCCCTGTCCCTCTCCCTCTCCCTCTCTCTCTCCCTCTCTCTCTGTCCGTATCTTTTACTTTGAGTCCTTTTCGAAGTCAGGGATGACGGGGCTGGAGACACATGTATGTTGAATCAATTCTGGGGCTACGTAATTATGTGTTTACTCCCATATATATATACATATGTCTTCAGATTCCGGAGGCCTTCCGGCGTGGATTGGCTGGTTGCTCCCCTTAAAACTGCCCTCATGAGTCAGAAAGTGTCATAGTTTCCGTTGGCGTGCCGGGCAGCGTGCCTCAGGCATTCACAGTTCCACGTCCGTGACGTGGTTTTGAGGATGCTGAATCGTGGCGACAGTTTTGTGAGCAGGCTGATGTTCAGCCATCCTTGGTTGAGCTGGAGAGACCAACTTGGATCAACTTGGGGAGTTGCTTGGCTCTTCTCAGCTCCTCTGAGAGTTGGGATCTTTCATCCCCCAGGCTGCGCCCTGCATCAAAGCAAAACCTCGTAGCTCAATCTTTGAAAGTCTTCCAGGTGTTCCGCATTTATACACACAACACGGCAGCATGGCGATGCAGCTTGGGGGGAGCCTTAAGAACATGCCAGCATCGTGCAACATGGCACCCGATTTTCGCCACTTGCAAGGCAATGGTGCAAAATTGTTTAGCAGCCCGGGGCAAAGTTCAGCATGAGGGGCCGATGGATCGAACTTGAAATGACTTGCCATGCCATGCTGTGACCTCTATGTTTAAGTTGTCGGGGGAAACCATGTGAGTCTCCCATCAACTAACCAGCTCAAATGTAAAAAAACCATAAATAAACATATAGATACACAAATATTATACATACATATACATACCTGTATATATATATATATATATATATTTTCCGCGTGGCCCCACAATCAGCCAATTCCGAACTTCCCTGAGGCGCGAGTGCCCCTTCCCCCACGCCGCCGGGCGCACCAACCCCATGACGGCGGACGACTGGCTCTCGGAGAAGGGATCCGTGGTGAGCGCCACCACGGAGGAGCGGGGCCTAGGCTCAAGGCAGGAGGTGTGCTCCGGTTGCTGGAGAATATGTTTGTGTTCTTTTCCCTTGGTTTTTTTTTTTTTTTTTAGAAAAAACAAAAAAAACATAAAATAAAAATACGGAATTCATCACTGCTGGACATATGGCGGGTTTTTCCTTGAAAGTCAGACACATAGGTGTCCTTTTTGGTGGTTTTGCCAAGAAAAGAGATGGCGATTCCTGGTTTACCTGGTGGTTTTTTTCTCATCTACCAGGGGCCATCTATTTCCCCTAAAAGGACACCTATGCTCAAAGTGGCTGTGGTTGTCAAAACCGTTTTGGGATCCCATTTTGGTTGGTAGGTGAATTCACCACCCATTTTAGAACCTATTTCAGTGGTTGGATTGATTGGATTTTGACAAGGCATCTCTGTTGCCCAGTAAATTCCGCCATTTTTTTTCACTTTTTTGGGGGCAGGGTTCCATTTTTTGAAACTCAACCAACCCAAAAGGATGCCGAGTCTTTTTTTTCCCACGGTCCCTTTGAAAGGAAAATGAATGGTCCAAAGCAGGACCCCTCCCGAATGACAGGTTCCATGTTAATTGGTGGGAGGATATCAGAATCTCTTGTGATGTGTAATGCCACGAAAGAAGGTTGGGTGAGTTCCTGAAGGTTGGAGCCATGGATGCTCATTGCTTACCAAGTTTTAGCCGGGGTTCCGCAAAAAGTAACAAAAACTCCTTCTGGCAGAGAGTCGTTTCCCTTGTTGTATTGTCATCCCACTGTAGGTCAGGGATCTTCCCACTTGAAGAACCTACTCAATGCATGGGTCATGAGCTGTGCACCATGATGAATCTGGCCTTTCGTGAATCTGCGGTGTGATCAACGCTTTGGGGATTGGGTTCCAACATGTGCTTGTTTCGTGGAGAGGTTGCCGTTTGTGGGCAGCTCTATTTTGAGAAGCCTCAGGTCGCAAGGTCCAGAAAATCCAAAAGAGCACCGGCCAACCATGACGTCGGAAGGAGATGCTGGAAATCAGCATGAATGCCTCGGCCGCAGTCTTGGACCTCCCTCACTGGACTGAAGAAGAGGACAAACAAAGCAGATGCGGCGATAAACGTTTAAAGGGGAACCGCCCGAAATGTGGTGACATAAATCGTCATGTAAATGTCTAAAAGGTGTCCAACTGAAACCCATACCGATTGCATATTTGTGTGTTTTTTTTGCTTTGTTTTCTGGGATTGGTGCAATTGCAGCTTTGCATGCTGTAACATGCACGATATGTATAAGGGCACGTGATTCAATGCTCATTGTTGTTGACCAGTCTGGGTCGGGTTTGTCGCTGATCGTCGCCATTGATGGGCACCTCGCGTGCTAGTCGGAATCAGCTGCCTGTTGAAGAAACGTGCGTGCGTGCGCAATCCAATCCAGGGTAATATTGGCTTCCCTCCAACTTGAGGGGTCAACAGTCAACAGGGAACAAACAATTCCGCGTTGGGACAGAGTTGTGCCTGCTCGAGTAGTCTCCCAGTAAGTACTGAAATAGAAGGTTAAAGAGAGAGACTCGCCTTCCAGCGTGCTGGTTTCAGGAGCTGCTGGTCAAGCCAAAGGCTCAAATGTCCTTGCTGCCCAAGTTGGGCATCGCCTTTGCTTTGGGCTGCCTTGCGCAGTTGGCCGCGAAGGACGGGACGCGTTCACAGACCTTTTTGGCGATTTGGTTGACCCCAGTAACTAACTTCCTGAGTTCACGGACTTTAAGCTTTTAAACTTTTTGGGAAGACCGTTTTAGTGACAATCAAAAAGTGTTGACTTGTTGTTGGCCAGTCCACTCAGGAAGGGAGGTAAATAGAGGGCGGTGTTGGCCCCTCCAAAAGTGGTCTGATTCCCCACATTTCACCCAGATAGAAGCCCTCCCCTTTTTTGATAAACTGGGGTTGATTAATATGGGGTCAGCATTATTTGGTAACGGATCTTTGGACTTTAGCTTTTCGTTAACAGTGCGGATTTTCCAGACGGAACCCACACGAAAGTCAAACTTTGTGCAGAGGGGTTAAGAGCAACCAGGACGCGGTCGTACTGAGTGGCTGGAACGTATCACTCTTGGAAGGCAGCCTCCTTCCTTCCCGGTTCCCTTTGGATCAGATGCTTGAGCTTCTGGCTTGGTAGTGTGGCTAGCTGCTTGTCTCATTTGTCTCGGATTTAGGCGTGGAGAGCTGTTGCAAATGCAAGAGATCCGGCGCTTGGCCGATGTCCACTACTTTTTCCTTCCGGACACATCTTCAATTCAGGAATGCGAAGGCAACTTACTTCTTCATGGTTCTTGTTGGGCAACATTTTACATTTTACGTATTTAGTGGGAAATCCCCCCACTTAACTGCTGAAATTTAAATGGTTGCTCGCCTTCCGACGTCAACCAAGTCTTGAATGTGAATGGCACGAGGCTTCCGGGAGCACGCCGGGACTTGCGTTTTTTTGTTTTTTTCACCACGGCACGTGCTGTTTTCCAAGTGGGCAATGTCGAGGCGTCCAAGAAGCAGGTCCTGCTGCCCATGACTCAGAAGGAGCGGCTTTTTGTTCGCTGTGCCGGTGGGGCCCCTTTCTGGGCCTGGGCCATCGCAGAAATTGAGTTGCCAGTTGTTTCAAGTTCTCAGTTGTTCAAAGCGAATCGACCTTTTGACCTTTTGGCCTTCCCTTTTTGGCCCATTTTAAGTAGAGGTCCCAAAAGGTTAACCTTGTATTTCCAGGTCCTTTGGGCAAGTGAGATACCCCATGCTTAAGCTCCCCCCATGTTCGGCTTTCTCAGATGTGTGTCCTCGTGCACTCACCCACCTGATGTCGGTTTTATCAAGCCACCGGTGGTTCATGCGCTGGACGAGGCATGTCACATCCATCTTGGCTTGGCTTTTGTAATTAGTCGACATGCCCCTACACCAAGCTATGAAAAGAGGCGGCCAGATGCGTTTCCAATCTTGCTCCTGCGTGTTCATTGTCAAGCTGGTTCACGCAAAGATGGGGTTGTTATGAAGGTCAACACATAGCAAGTGCTAGCTGACTATCACCAATGGCTAGTCCATTCTTCAGTGCAAGGCTTCTGCTCGAAGCATGCGCGTGTGTGGACTTGTTTGCGCAACTTTGTCAGTTTTCGGGACGGAGGAAGAGAGAATATGGCGGTTGTTGCTGCTGCTTTTTTCGCCCATTGGTAGGACACTGCGTCGCACAAACAAAACTGTACCTCTATGTCCAGGCCGTTCTTGCAAGAGCCAGCCAAACACGAAACTCATTTTGGTGCTTCCCCGCTTGCGTACGCAGCTAAATGTCACAGTATTGTGTGATGATGTCAGCAACTCAGTGGCAAGCCCCGTGTTTCCCCTGACCATTTAGAAGGACAAGGCCACCGACTCACCCTGCACAAGACCCAACATCAGCCGTTCTTAGAGAGAAGGGATTATTTTCAGCAGTCCATCGTCCGTCAGTTGAGTATGTTGAGAAGAGTCTTTCCCTCGCGCAATTGAGAAAGGAGCACTTTTGCTGAGCTGCGGAGGCAAAAAAGCGGCCGTTGCATTGCTTCTGATATGTTTTTTGTTTTTGTTTTTTGACGGGAACGCCTAGACACCTGCCTGTTGCTGGCGGGCCATTGAGTTGTTGACATTCGAAGTCTATAAAGCACTGGTGTGCCAGTTTCATTAAAACCAGTTTCGGTGCATATGTTTTTGGAGGGAGCGAGGTACCTCGACAAAGATTGTGCCTGCGAGTCGTGCCATTTCAGTATGTGGTTCTACTGCGTTGTGGAAAAGATGATAGTACGGAGTTCTTGACAAGAAACAATTCTACGTTTTGGGATGCTTGCTATGCTATGCTCCAGCGATTTGGCAAGCTTTCATTGGCAACTGTCAGGCCCCGGGGGATCAGGAACAGATCATTCTCGGGGGGTATTCTCCTGGATCATTCCTTCCAGGGATCATTCTTTCTTGACCACCTTGGGACACCCAGGGAAAACGGCGGGTTTTTTGGGGGAAGAACGATGGTTGAAAAGCATGGGAACTTCACCCCTAGAACCCTAGAACATCGGTGACCTGTCACGAGATGAATCACGAGGCGCACCCAAGCGACTTAGGGTTTGGGGTGTAAAGAACCCGGCCCCCCTTTTAGCTTTTTTTGGGGGGAGGGTTCCCTGCTAAAATAGACTACACAAAAAGTTGGTACCCTTATTCTAACCTCTCTACTGGAGGACCTAGTTGTTTCTTGTCAAGTGGCAGAATTTCTAGGGCATCAAGGTGGAGGGCCTGGCTCCTCACCCACCCCCGGTGGTTGAGCAAGCTCTCAGATTTGGAGGACACCTGGCGTTTTTGGCTCTTGCAGTTTGTTTGTTTACATTTACATCAAACAATGATTACTATATTGCACTGTGTTGCTGTAGCATCGAACCCCTCACCCCTGTTTGCGAAGATGTGCCCTACTTACCCCGGACCCGCCAGACACCCCGTCCACAGAACCGCCATGGAACCTGAGGTTTCTGGGTAGACAAGTTTCCTAAATAAAAGCCGGGTTCATTGGCGCGGGCTTTGTCTTTTTGTTAGGCCCGACTCCACGGGCTTTCCCTCTTGGTTTCCAGCTCACCCACCAAAAAAAGGGCACCAACTCCAAAAACGACGGGCCATTTTGGAGCACGCGTGGGGGGTGGGGGGGGGTTGGCAATCTAAGGAGCTCGCGTTGCCCAAGGCCCTCACAGCTACTGGGCTCCGCGAGCGTCACTGGTTTCCACCAGAACTGCCACCGCAAATCCATGGGGAACGTTTCTCTTTCTTTGGGCGCTGCATGGCGACACTTTGGCGAGGAAAACTGTGTTTTTGTTGTTTCTTGTCCAGGTCCCCGGTGCCCTTTCTCACCCTACTTTTTTGGTTGGGAGGGTTCCCCTACTAAAATAGACTACAGAACAAGTTGGTTTCCGAGTAGTGCCTTTTTACCCTTTTTTGGGGGAGGGTTTTTCTACTAAAATGGACGATTCAGGAGAAAAAGAAATCGGGTACCCTGATTCTAACCTCTCAATTCTGCAGGACCTAGTGGTGGGATGTCGTGCTTCGCAGCTTGGGGCGTGCACCTTGGAGCCCCGAAGGCTCCTCACGTCATGGGCCGAAGAGATCCATTGAGTCTGGGTGATTTTTTGACGACCTCACACGGCCGAATTCACCCCAAATGGTGGTTTTTGCGGGGAACAGCCCCCCAACCGCCTTGTTTTAGGTTGGTGAAATATTAGAATTCATCCAGCTTGAGACCAACCCGGAAAAGGCCACCCCTAAACCAAAACACACGCTCACACATGTTTTTCAGCTCTATCCAGTTGGCGAAAACGACCACAAACATGTGTGCTCTGGTCAAAACTCCTGTAGATCTTTTGAGGCGTTCTGTCTTCTCTGCTCGACTTCAGGCAGTTGCACTCTTGATACTGCAGGGGAGTAAGGATACGGAAAGGCCTCGTTTCGTAGCCAAGCTGGCCCCACACGCCTGCAAGCTGTCCAAGCCTGAAGTACACACCTATGGAACCTGGTTGCAAAAGGCATCCCAAAGGGACATTTAGCGTTCGCCCAATGCCGCTTTTGCGACTTTTGCGCTCCTTCTCCTTAGCTTCGCTGAATTTACATGACATGGGAAGACCTCACCGCATTTTGGGGTTGCGCTGAGCTGCCGAGGTCCCTTTGTGACTGGTCGTTTTGGCACGGCCTTTGTCGAACCAGGCCAGATGTGTCTGAAACCTTTTGAGAGGGCACAAAGAAGTGGGAAACCAGCAGTTGAGACATCTTGTACATTGAAGTTGTTTGCCATTGTTCTGCCACAAAGATGTGAGAAAGTCGAGGATTAACAATTTGATGGCCCATGTTTACCTTGTTTTTGTTTGCAATTCCGCTGGTGAAGTGAGTCATCAAGTTGTGAGAAAGTCGAGAACAAGTGATGGCCCAGTGGTTCTGCAAGGCCCAAGTTTGGCCTTTTGCGTGAAGGGCATGCGTTTCGTTTTTCTCGGGTCAGCCGGGACGTCCGAGCGAACTTGATGATGCGAGGATTTATATAAGGTCTTTGTGCCGCGTTGATTGGCCACGCTTTTGCAAATTGTTCGAAATCCTCGGTGGCATGTTGCTGGCTGTGATTAGACTGCAGGTGAGTCGTGAGGTTGCAAGATGCAATTTGGAATCTAGAAGCAACAGCTTCTGGAAGATCAACTCCTCCAAAACCCTCACACGTTCACATACTTTTGGTAGGTTCAGGGCGGCACGCCCTGGTCGGATCGATCCGAACACGGCGAATTCGCCGTGCAGAGCCCCTGGCGGCTTCTCGGCGGTTTTATCACCGCGAATTCCAACTGCGTGTCGGCGGCTTTCCGCTGGGCGACCCATACGCGGACGACAGCCTTTTCACCGTGGTTCAAAGGGAAACTAACGTGAACCCCGGATTAATATTAATAGGGGGGCGTCCTTTTTTAGTGGGGATGCATCACTTTTGGAGGGAACACCCCCCTAATAATGGGACGGGTTTATTAATCCTGGGTCAAGAGGGACACTGCCATTTTGCCCGGGCCGAATTCCTTGTGCCACATGGCCGCAATTGGCGATCCCACAGCTGATATACAAGCAGCACTTTCGCCTTCGCGTTCCAAAATAGAAGTCTTTGATTAGTCGATCCAGTCTTTTTAGCACCAGTTCTGTTCAACACGACCTTTGCTGCACGGGGCTGGCCCTCGGTAACCTGCTGCCGCTGGGTGCAGAGAGCGCGCGATGCGCTCGCGATCGCGGCAAGGCTTTTTGTTTCCCCACTTCTGGGTGCATTCGTCTTTGGACACCAGAAGGCAGCCAGCCATGTTCACATTCCCCAATCAGAGTTGGAGACGAAATGTGGTTTACCCCTCCTTCATGGCCGTTCCGTTTGTGACAGGCTAAGCCAAGCCTGGCTGCAATGCATGTTCCACACACGGAAGCCTGCTCGGGGCAGCGCGGATGGGAATGCCACGCAATGCGCGAGTGCAACCACAGCAACTCAGGAGGACAGGATCAGACCTTCCCTGGAGATTTGTCCTAGCATGTCTTGGCCAAGAGTGCGATTCAACTATAGGCACATCCAATATCCTCTTGGTGCAGCGCTTAATCCATTCGTTTGGTCCCGCGCCCCGATTCCCTCAGACTCAGATTGGCTGGGGATGTGTCTGCCCCAGCGTAAGTGCATCCTCAGTTTGGCCTTGCGACAGGGCTGATCTGCCCAACAAGTCACGGCGCCTAATTCTTTAAGCGCTGAACCGGGAGTTAGACACCATCGGAGAAGCTGCTGCATGGTATCGGCACGCGTCACATCCCCTCACCCCATGTTCTCTCTTTCAAGACGGAACTATGAAAGTGCAGCCACGAGTCTTGACGCACTTGAATCGCATGTTACGGCAAGTGAAAGGTCTTGCAATGATATTCACATTTGAGGCGCTGCCCTTTTGAAGGCTTGTTTGATACTGCTCCGGCGCCGATTGTCGCCGCTTTGCTCGAACTTCAGATGTACAGCGTTTGCAGCTAAAGACTTCCCAGGCAACGCCTCTAGAGGAAAAGCCACCTCGGCACTCAATCTCGAAGGCATTTGGGCTTGTCTTTTGTCAGGGGACCACCCAAAATGGTGCTTTTCCTTTGGTTCCCCATTAAAACTACATAAATGGCACTGTGCCACAACAGAAACTCACACGCACACGGCAATGTCTGGTTTTGGGTTCCTAGTTGGTCTTAGCCAAAAGCCCTCGTGACGCGCAAGCTACAGTAACACGGCTGGCAGCCTGAAAGTGCTGGGACGAGCCACCCAGGGACCGGGCTTCTTTGTACTGGTGCTGCTTGTTTATATCGGTTTGCGTTTTTTTCTCGGGTGCTCCCTTTTTTGTCATGGAAACCAAACGGAACCTACAAACAATTGAAGGATTCGCCCCTGTTCACACCCACCCATATAGGCAAGGCATCAGTTTGTGACCAGAGAGTGGCGCTTCCGCGTGCCATGCGGTAGCTCGCGCCTGGCAGGCAAGGGATGGTCTGATCTTGAGCCAGTCTCGGGAGGTTCCGTCAAAGCACCGCATGCCTTTGCTTCATGCACTCATGGAACATGTTGGGGTCGCGGGTGTACATTATATATATATATATATATGTACCTGGAGGTTGTGGTTTTGGGGGTACTGGGTGGTGCGTTTTCAGCGGATGGCATGGAGTTGTCAACAGCTGTCCAGTCAATCCAAGGTTTGTTCTGAGGCTGGCGACCTGCATGAAACCAAACTTGACACAGATGCAAATGGGCCACAATCAAAGCCCGGGTAGATGAAGGTTATCAAGGAACGATCCCAGCCAGAAATAGCTGCGGCCGCCTTCTGAATTCCTGAAGCATGGTTCTGGGTAGACCATTTTAATTCCGGGTTTTGATTATGACTCAAATGGGTATGCGGTATGCGAGCTGGGTCAAGATTGAACCACCAGGATATGGACCCGCATGTTTCCATTTACCAGGGCACCCCATTTTGGGTTACCCTATGTTTGACGCACA